TTAAGGGATATAAACCTAGACCATGGTCTAGGATAGGCCTAGAACATGTCCCAGGATGTTCAATATTTGAGACAGCTCAATCTCCTCAAAGATGGAGTGTGCTGGGAGGGAAACACCAGTACTACTGTTTAGTAACAGCAGCTTTCTTTGGAAGGTTGAAAAATGTTTTGGATATAAATAAAATATTTTTGGTATAAGCAATACTATCTTCTAAACTAAAAGAAGACTTGCAGCTACCAGAGCACTAACTATCCCAAAATGAGTTAAGAAGATGCTGAGCTCTAAGGCATGTTCATTCAGAGCAAAATAAAGGGACAGTTTAAATACGGAGGAACAAGTATATGGTTCTCCTCACTATAACACACACGTGTGTGTGTGTGTGTATGTGTGTGTGTGTATATATATGAAGGAGACCACATTATAGATGCATCAGTTTGATATATGGTGCCTGCCTGGAAAATATATATTACTACAGAAATACATATTACTATAGTGCTCAGTTGATAAACAGCATCAATTCCTTATTCCTTGTGGAACATAAACACTGAGTTTGATTTTTAATATGAATAAATCTGTAGATTTCAGCAAATCTCTGGTAATATATACTTGTTTTGGATCTAACCCATCAATATTATTTACACAGGATTTCCCCAGTAGTGCAAAATTTATAATAGTTTCAATGATTTATTTATTTTAATGGGAGTCATTTATATTCTGTTTAACTAAGGTTCTCTTGCATGGCAAGGATTCTTAGGTTTAGAAAAGATGTTGTAAATAACTTCTCTGCAAAGAATTGTAGTTCACAATGGAGCTGTCAGAGAAGCAAACTGGCCCAAAGAAAAGATTACTTATGACATTTTTACCGTGTGTGTAGAACGTCACAAGTGTGCTATTGCATTTTTCTAAGAAGAATATATTAAACTTTAAAATATTAAGAGCCCTAAGAGTTTTGTTGCCATGCTCCTGAATTATGCATCATCAAAACTGACCTAGCATTGCATTAAGTCCCAAACTCAGAGCCTCCCAGCCTCACAGTCAGGTTTGATGGGGAACTGATTCAACACGGTATCAGAGTATGATTCTTGAGGCTGCTCACCAGCAAACCAGAAGACCAACGGTATTTATCAATTCCAGGAAAATTCTGGGAAGTAACTGGCTAGGTAGATTTCCAGTTACTGAGCCACTGGTTTTGGTTTTCCATTCTAATTCTTTGTAGCTATTGATGAGAACCTGGCCAGTCTTTACAAATACCACAGGTTGCTGCTTTTTGCATGCAGGTCTACAATAAATCTTCCCAACAAAGCAATGGCTGAGGACCACCCAGTTCTTTGCAGGCACTAGAGCAAATCCTAGCAGACTGGCCTCCTTCTCACTGGGCCTTCACTTACCTTACCAAAGGTGCCTCCAGCAGCAGCCTTACACTTCCTTAGAGCAATCCCTGGAAAGGCTGGCGTTATGGGAGCATCAGAGTCACTTCCCACATGCTTTGCAGTTGGAGAGGCATCAGGATGCCTTCCCTCAAACCTGTTCTTCTGACTGCCCTCCCTTCATGCTCAGCCTCCAGCTGATGTTGCATATAGCAGGAAAAGGCAGATGTGAACTGAGCAATTCAAGTTTTTAAATCAACAGACAAATGCAAAGCCCTTGCATTCAAATTTTCATCAAATCAAACAAATGATATTTCAACTTCAGGCCAACTATATTGATGTTGCCTCAGCCTGATTTTAGGCCCACTGCTAAGCTGAATAGCCCCTCTGTTGAGCGATGCGCCATCATACAAGCAAGATTCAAATCCCACTGATTTCAAATCCCACTGAAGGAACCGAGGCTTTGATCCTGCTGCACGGTGGCAGTAAAATGTGAAAATTAAAGTTATGGATCAGATTCTGTTAAAACCAGATGCAGCACAAGGATAAAGCTTGGGAACCTTTGCTTCAAAGCTGCTTATCAGGACATGCTAACCAAGAGAAAAAAAAGACCCTGGCCTCTGGTAAACTTCATCCAGCCTGAAAGGGGGCTCAACAGGCCAGCATCCAGAAAATACTTGGGGCCCAGAACACTTATCAGTCCTACAGCACGCCAGGTCCTGTCAGATCGTGAAAAGAAACAGAACCAGAAGATTGACAGCGTGTTTTTAGGGCCTTTGACCCTGGCACAGCTCCAATTAGATGTCACCGAAATGTTACATATACGATAAGGCATCTATATAGACAGTAAGTGATGTGCTGAAAAAAGCCCGTTGTTTGTGTAGTTCTCCCCAGAGATCAGATACTGCCTTTCTTAATAGACCGCACAAGAGGCCGCCCAGGAACACAAGGTAGTCAGTGTATATGTTAACCTTACTGTCAGGACAGGGAGTTACATAATTTACCAGTGTGTTGTCCTGCGTGGATGCTGTTTGCTTAACCGTCGTTTTACCCAAAGTGCCCCGTGTTGTTGAAAATTTCACAGTTCAGTGCACAATAAATTGATTCCTTTAGTAGGTCAGCCCTGGTAAAAGGCATTGATTTAAGCAGCTTAGCCCAACATATGACTAAATACTATTTCCAAACTGCAGCGCTTTATGCTCACGCAGAAGATGGAGTCTAACGCAGCGCCCGACTCCTGTTGACACGTACACAAAGAGACAGGCACTCTGGGAGCGTAACAGAGCAAGAAGATTGGCTTGTGTTATGTGGCAGCGTTTAAACAGAACACCAAATGTTGTTTACTTCCTAATCTGCCTACAAAATATACAGAATTGTGGCTCTGGGCTACTTAGAGAGATAACATGAAGGACTCACTTGAGTTGTATATTGACCTCAAGCACTGTAAAGATGTATTTTACACTGTTTTTAAAAACAATTAAAGAAGATTTTTGCAATTGTCTTGAAAAATGTCTAAAATGTATTTAGGGATTTTCATGACATTTCAAATAGATCCCTACCTAACAGATGTATTAAATCTAACACATCTGGCCGAGACACATACTATTTGTCAACATATCCCTAATAATCAATCATACCCCCTTCCAGGCTTTGTGCTTTGCAATTCAGCAGCTTCTCCATTCATATTTTATCTTATTTGACTATTCGTACTACATTTGGACCATATTAAATATCGTTGATGTCTATGGATGCAAACTAAAGTCCTACAAGCCCTGTTCAGATATGGAACTAGAATCCGCAAGCAGCTCTTATCTCGTAAGAAGTCATGAGCTGAAATCAGATCTAAACTCCCACGAAACATGCCCAAGATACAGCACCATAATGGAAGGTGTCAAACGCGCTGCAAACACAAGCCACAGCTCCTCCTTGCTTGAAGGCCACATACAGGATCCATAATAACAGATCTCTCCTTCCCTTTTTCTTTCTTCAGTTAAGATGTGGGGCAAGAAAACGCTGTTTTCTTTCTCGTACCATTTCTCTTACCAGGTTTGCCTCCCTTACCACTGTGTGCAATCTCAATTCAGCAGAACAAGAACCAATGTCTTGTGGTGGATCTCTTAAAATTCACATCAAGACTGACATGTTTTGTAGAAACTCAAACATATTCTGCTTACATGCAAATCACTCACCTCAATATGAGAGAAACTAGTTGCAATTAAATAATTTAAAATGCATCTGTTAGATTTTCTTTTGGATAGAATGGTCCATTTTGAGCATAGATTCTATGAATGTCTGAATCTGTGAAGGAAATCCAAATTAGTGCCTATCATCTACTGCATTGGTTCAGTAAAATTATCAGGAGAAAACGGAAATGATATTTTCCCTTTATCATTCTCAAAGGTATTTAATGAAATACTGAAAATACATGGAGAGGATATTTCTAGTAAACTAGTAACACTTTACTAGTCTCTTTTTTTTTTTTTTTTACCTCCAAGCGTAATGGTACTTTAATAATATATTTCCAAACATTTCCACTTTTTCTTTGGTAAATGCACCAAGGACAGATTGACCCTACATAGCTAGTGAAATACACACTCAAGCAATTCTTCACAGGTATGCCTGTCCACTGCTATATAAATAGGAGGGGAAAACTGCAAGTGACAATAAAGAATATGAATTTAATAGCACTCTAATATACAGTGTAAATTTATATTTGTTATTCTAATCAGTGTATTACAGCAATAAATACAGGAAATACAACTGTGATTGCACGGATTTAAATAACAGTTTTAAGAGACAGTAAACCTTGGTGCTCAAGATTTGATGCAAAACCTACTGAATTATGTGAGTCTCCTTAGATTCGAATGGGCTTTGGCAGAGTGCCTTAATGATATTAAAACCCAGTTGTTATTAAACACCACATTCAGTACAATCTTATGGCAATGCTATAATTTGTTCATACCATTATGCAAAAGTTTAGGTCCAATCCTGTTCCTACTGAAGGCTGCAATACAAGTTGTGTAGACATCAGTAAGGATAGGTCTGGGTTATCCATTTTTAATTGTACTGTATACAGGCATTGACAGAAGAATACAATACAGTATTCACAAAATTAAAGTGTCTTCCATGAAACCTACATAGAAAAGCAGCACAGAATCAATAAAGTAAAAACAGTATTTCAAAAAATAATAAATCAGACTTGGCAGCTTTGGAAAACAATATTGAAAAAAAGACAAATGAATTGGCAAAGTTTAACAACCTAATTTCTAAGTGCACTTTATAATAACTCTCCTTACAAGCTGCAGTTTTCCCAAAAGGTGATCATAAAAAGCCTCATTAGAACATGACTGGTTTATGGTGACAGATTTTATTGCATTGCCAGCTGTGAATCTTAAAAAAAATAATAAAAATAATCAAAAAAAAAAAAAGATAAACACACACACACACACTAAAAAGGTTCCTAAAAACTCTATTTTCTTTTTTAGCATCAAAAAATAGCAACATGGCACTTCCATATATTTGTGAATACCCACAATTCTAGTTTTTAAAAAAAATAGAAGTTAAAGAAAAGTGAATTTTGTCTTAGTTTCAAAAATAATGTAAATAAACATTTAAGAATCAGATATTTCAATGAGCAGAAGGGTATCTACAACATGAAAGATTTGAGTCCAATCCTGCAAATACCTGACCACGAATACAGACTTAAGGACCTGATCAAATGATTCTGCTCATTGGAGCAAAAATGAGTAAATGTAATTAAGAACTGGCAGGATCAGGCTCTTAGCTTCATCCATTATAAGCTTTTACACAGTTTGTCCTAAGCTAAAAAGTATAGATACAGTATATATTCTGTATACTGATTTATACAAAAGTGGACTTCTGTTTTATAGCTTTAACCCTGTTATTGCTACACTAAAAAAAAACAAACAGACATTTGGAAAAAATCTACATGAATCATAAAGGATAAAACTGAGATGCAGCCTCTGACGATTGAATTTCCACTTGAGCCATTTTAAACTGAGTGCACTGTAGCCACTTGCGGAGCACGGAGGAGCTGTTGCTCATTTGTCCTGGCCCTTGTAGCATCCTCAGGCTGTGGTGGTTGACATTACTCTGAATGGCTTGAAGGCGCAGCTGGAGTCCAGCAGATAAATGCTGTTGGAACAATTTCAGACATGCAGTTTCTCTCTTTATTCAGTACACATGCTAATACAAGTAAATACACTATCTTCATCAAAAACTGATTGTTGGCCATGGAGAATTCCTCCACTGGCCCAATATCACATTTCTTTCTTCCATGTTCTGCACTACATCTTGCAAACCACGAGATTTATCTGCAGCACCTTTATTCCCATCACCAAAACTCTCTTGAAAGGCAAACTGCACTAATCCTCACAAGCAGAGGCACACAGGCAACAGTACCTAAGGAATCCATCCTCTCAGTAGGGGCTCCTACTCTCAGTAGTCAAAAGGAAGTCTTCAAACCTAAGAGAACAGCCAGCCTCAGTAAAACAGGTGGAAAGGCCCTTCCACAGAACCCTGGTTAGAGGGAGGATTTCCAAAAGGAAAGGAAAAATAGCACTAAATATAAGACTACTACGCTGGCTAATGATGTTTCCTGTCTGCTCATATCTGAGACCTTCATGGCTGAGCTGCCCACTGCACCTGGATCAACTGCAGTGTCATACTTCCAGAGAGCTGGGAAATCAAGTCTCATGACTGTGTCTCAGCTAACTGAGAGTTAACTTACAGAAATACACAACACTAGCAATAAAAGAGCAAAGTGCAAGAAACAACATACCTTTAGATTTGATTGTATCATTGGCAACCACATTGGTATGAGCTGTATGAAGAGAGAGAAATATTTTATTACACAAGTGCCTGTAAAAGTGCTCTTGTTCTGTGAGTCAGAGAAGAGTTTCTGACATATGTAGCCCTCAGAATGGACATGAAGAGCACTCAGCCACAAATCCAAACATGTGTTTATGTTTATTATATGGGGGCAGTTGACTTTAGAGGTAAGGAAGCCATCTTCCCTTGTTTGTAACAATTACTGATATTACAGATTTCCTGTTTAAGGCAATGAAAAGAGGTCAAAACAGAAATGGAATTCACTGGAATGAGTATAGTACATTCTGCATAAGGTGCACATCAACAGATACAAGACAAAACAAAACACAGAGTAGAATTTCCTCAAAACAGGCTAAATACTTAAGCAGTAACCATTTTATAAGCCAGTAATCATATCATATATCAATGATGTCTATGCCTGGGAACACAGATAAACTCTCCTCCTAACTGCTATGTAGTATGACAAAGCAAGGAGATCTGGGAATCCACTGCTTATACGGTTGATATTATTTCTGTCTCTAGTCCTTCAGAGAACTTTTATTTCTTTGTAAGTATAATATTATAAGCTTATGGAAGGCAAAGAGGCATTTCAAGAAAAAGTATTCATGTTCTCCAATAATAATTTAACCACCAAGGTTATTGTTCTAAAATGTTCCTCCAAATGGCATCAAAATTTGCAATTTACCAATTATGTTACCGGGAGCTGCAAGTTAAACCTAATCACTATTGACAACATTAGATAAAGTGCTGCTTCCCTTGTGCAAGGAACGTTAATTGTTTCAATTTCAGTGCTGTTGTGCTGGAGAACCATATGCAGCTCTGTCAGGACTGATTACTTAGCCTACCAAATAAAGAACCATATTCAAGCCTCAGCATTTACAGACAGAGGAGCACCAAAACAGCTGGAATGCCGCCAGACGCGGCAGACGTGTGAGTTCTGTACATCTTGCCCTGAGTTCTCACACCAAGAAAGTACTTAAGGTCCAGGGGCTCCAAGTCCCCAAGTTGTTTTTGGAGAAGTGAGGAAAGGAAAGCACGCTGAGAAGCCACGCTCCACACCTCATACCCTGACCAACAAACCTCACTGCAAATTTCATCCAGAGCACATGAAGTTCCTGTGGAGCCTGTCAGCCAGCTGGTGACATGACTGGTGTCTGAAGGATGGGAAGCAAGGAGGAAACTATGCAGAATCTCAGGGAAAAGGATTTTTCCAGTCCAAGCTACCCCTCTGTCCCTGAATCAACTGACTAGACATCTTGTCCCATCAGCTGAGAGAAATAAGCACTTCTGACAACCAGTTCACTTCTCCAAGAACACCAAAGCAGGTAGCTAAAATAGATGGAGATGAATCACGGACTAAAAATACCTGTTTATCTCCACTGAATAAAGGGTGCTATGAAAAACTAGCTCATATTGATATCTGTGCTGCAGAGGTCTAAGGTTAGGTAAGATCACAGCCATGCTGCACCACTTCTTTCTTCCAAGGTCTAGACAGATTTAGGGAAACTCAATATTCAGCCTCAGGCTCAGGAAAGCAAAATCCTCCAGTCCTACTGTTGCCAGTTAGATAATTCAGACAAGAAAAAAAAAGATACAATAAAGTATCCTATCTGATATAATAAAACTCAAGCACTCGAGTTTTATTACCCACTTCCCAGCAGGCCTTTTCTTCACTGAAGGAAGGATACATAAAACTAGTTAAACAGAACAGCTGGAAGAACAGGCTGCTGTCAGCGCACCCATTTCGGCAGGTTAATATTGTAACATGTAGATTCCATTGCAAACCTGGACAGAAAACAGGCTGGAGAAGAGATTGGTCACAGTGCTTTTCTGGCTCCTCAACCACTGCGCAACCACTGCTCCAGAAGCTCCCTGGCAGCTAACAGTTACCCAAAATTGCTGCATCTCTAGAAATTGCATTGTGCTGCTCCCTTCACTTCTCTGGGCTCCCAGTTTCCTCAGACACGTCTAACGGGCAGCCAGAGAGCTGGGCTCAGCAAGGAGCTGGTCCCCAGCACTGATGCCTCTCCTGGGAACAAAGCTCACCTGTTAATTTTCAGTCCTCCTAAAGCAAAATGCTGCTCCTCAGAGAAAATATGACTCCCCTTAGAGAAAAACATAATTAATATATATGTAGATACGTGGGCAAGTTTGCATAAATCTTACTCCCAACTGAGAAGAATAGCTGAAATTTCTAGGATGGAAACTTTGTTTTCTACAGCAAATGGGTAAAGAGGGTCTAAATTCAGTTTCAAAAATTATCCCTGAGAAAAAAGGGAATGGCTCAAAGATTATAGCAGGCAATCAGACATGTCTCAAGCTCAGCATGTGTTTAATTTAGTAGCTAAAGCTAACAGAGTACCAAGAGGATAAATGCTCACTGCACCAACACAATGGGGAGATGTAAGAGTGATTATCACTGCCACACTGAAAAGAAAAAGAACTTATTTTAGTGAAGGAGAGAGGCCTATCACAGGCCTTCTCCTATCTCATAGTTTAGGAGAGATTTTCCATCACTTGTCACCTAAGATGTGGAGGAAATAGCCACCTAAGAGAGCTATTCCATAAACCGCCTGGCAACATGTGATACCTCCTCATGGTGATGTTTTAATATAAAATGATGTATAAAACATAAATGTTTGGGATCACATATTATTATACAATGACTTCATTTGTAAGTGAAGTTTTTTGCAGCACCTGATTCTTTAGGTAGAATAAAATTTACTACAATAAACATAATTACGTGTCTGATAAATGCTCACGATTTAATATTGGCTGCTGTGTTCAATTCCAAGAAGTTGTTTTCAATTAGTTTTGCTGAAAGTTTTCAGAAAGGATATTGAGAACTTCTGTTTATGCATATATACTTAAATATACATATCTCCTTCACTATGCTATGTTCATTTGTACATATGTGAATAAAAAAATAAAATGCTTTGAAGCATTAACTTGTTTCATTAAGAAATGCACACTGCCTGCAACAAGCCTTCTGAAAAAAAAAAAAAAAAAAAAAAGCAAAATAAACCAAAAATCAGTCAACTGGTCTCCGAAGATCTGTCATCCTTCCTCAGAGACTTCAGAAGACTCCTCTTTATCTAGTTCAGAAGTCTCTGAAGAAAGTTCAGATCTTCTCTATATAGATCTTTTCTATCATCTTTTCTATATCTACCGAATAAAAGGCAGTCTATAAGCTGACCTTGTTTTAAATCATAGAGATGTCACTCATTTACTGGTTACTGTGTGAAAAATCTTTGCAACTCTGCATCACTGAAGATACAGTAAATCTTTCCCCAAATCACAGCATAGATTTTTTCAGTTTATAGGTATATAACAGATAGACAGAACAAGCATTTTCACAATTAATTATTTTGGAAAAGACAGTAATGTAACACAAATCCCTTAATACCATTATGAATTTATACTTTCCTGCAGGATTTCACTTTTGGGCTAAGGGGACTTAGCCAGTCAGACTCTGCTCTCATCCTCCCATCTGTTAAAAACAAAAGCAAGCTATACAATCATCTAGCAACTCTCTGGCTTTCCTGGGTACGTGAGCTTGATTCTGCAGTACCAACAACATCACTTTAACTTGATTTAACATATTATTGATAGACAGCCTGAAATTTAAGCTTTGGATATGTTCATTTGAATTGTGACAGGAATTTGAGCCTAACGGTCTCTTTCTCATAGCTTTAAAGCCATTCTTCATCTTTGTCAAAACTTGGACATTCTTGACTACCTGGAAGAGAAGCCAAATCAATTAACCTTGTGGAAAGATTAATTTGGGGGCCTGCCAACTCATATCTCCTCCAGAAAAAGCAATGGTCACTTTAATATCCCGGACCAACAGAGTTTCTGTACTGTTCCAGTTGTTGTTGACTATAATTCTGTATTTTCACAATGAATGTGAATACTTTCAGGTCAGTGTACAACAAGACTTTCAATTTTACCTATTACGTTTTCACTTAATGTTCAATCATGTAGGACAGAAGACTCAGAAATTTCCTTTCTGGCACTAAGGAAAAAATATAAACATCTTTCAGCTAGATAGAGACTGCATATAACTACCTGGTTTATTGCTATTTTATTTTAAAACTACCATCAAAATAATACAGTGAGGAAAAAAAAAAAACCTATAAAAGACTACTAAAATTTATTTATGCCTGTCTGGCTACCACATCCCTTCATAAATCTGTTTTGTTCTGATCTAGTTAGTGCAGAGTGTGCTCTGGTGGTCCACAGGAGACTACCTACTGATCTCCAAAGGATTTTCACATGAATGAAGCTGGCAGGATTTAACTGTCATCACAAAAGCTGCCGTATAACTTAGTCCCAAATTAAATCCACAAAATGGACTAAGCCCACAGTTCTAAGACTTTCTTAAAGGACCTCCAAATAACAAAAACTCATTCTTGTTTAGGAACATGCGTTCAAATTTAGAAACTAATTCCAAGGCTAATTTCCAATTTTAACAAAATGCATCATAGCTGTGCTTCTTAAATTTTGCATAATATTTTGCTGATTTTCTCTTGATTTGCTCTTGAATAACTTTAAAAAAAATCATTGCATACATGCTAAGCAACAATTCAGGTTATGTACATAGTCAAACATTTACTACAGAAAGGCAAGCAACAGCGAAGAATAGCCTGTTACACATCTTAGAGGAAGATCTACTCTGTCAAATAATATTTGACTATGAAACGGACGTGTAGACACATAGTAACAAGAAAATCTTGGGGGCACAAAGTTTTGTTACCAGCCTAAAAACAATTGGACAACTGATCTGCCAAGATTCTGTGATAAATAGAAATACCAGAACGAACAACAACGCAGAATGCACAGGTTCTTGCAAAGTCATTGACCCCAGTTTAGTCTATGGGAGGAACAGAACCATTGCAAGAACAGGAAGTAGATTAGAACATTATTTAAAAAAAAATAAGGAGAGTTTGGATCATCCCTTACAGGAGACTTTTTGTTGTTGTTGTTATGATTTTCTAGGCTTTATTTCTGCACTAAGCCTTGAATTTCAGCTTTGTCTACTCTTCATTTTTAGGAGGGAATGGGGGTAGGGGAATATCTCTAGAATTTATTACGTGCAGAATGCCCACCTTGACAAAGATAGTAGAATTGCATTCCTGTAAAGCTTCCATTAAACTAATCACATGCAGACACACCATTTCTACCATCTGAAAAACAAAAATAAAATAAAATAAATATTCAGCATTACAGTGCTATGTTATAAGCCAATAGTCCCTAAAAGAAATCTTCCTGGAGTTGCTTGGCAGTTATACTGGAACCTTAGATGTGTATTTATTAACTACTGACATATAATATTATTATATGAATACATAAGGCACATTCTTCTTTATTTAGTATCCCCTGATGCAGCAATATCTATCTGTTAAAGGTTTCACAGTGCTTGATAGATTTTAATTCCTTTGACACATCAAAACAAGTTGTCTTCCGCTTCTTTCTTTGCAGACATCATAAATCCTTTCACACGCCTTTGCTAGATACTTCTCCTCAATCATTGTGTCAGAAAATGATATTTTTATTTTCTGAATCCTTTGAAAAATTAACATGGTCACAAAAATCATCTTCTTTTGCTCCCCACGAAAAGACAATTTATTGTTCTGAACTGGCAGCAAGTCCATGAATAAATGCTTCTTCAGTCTTGTACAACGAATTATGACAGAGGAAAATACCAGTTACTTGCGAGGAAAACATTTTATATTTTATATTATGTAAATGCACAGGTATAACAGGACATATACCCTGAGCCAGCAGTGACTCTTTACAGTTCTGGTTTAAACTATGTGCAAATTCCCCTTGATAATAATAAACTTAGCTTTTATGTAGCGCTTTTCATCTTCAAAGTGCTTTACAAATACTAACTAATTAAACTTCACAACACCCCTGTGAAATGGGTAAGTATTATTATCTGCATTTCACAGAGCAGTAGCTGAGGCAGAGAGTTTAATAAGTTGCACTGAAGCTACATAATGAGAAACTTTGAGAATAGGATTACAACTTGGGATTTCCAGGGCACATTTTTGTCCCGAGGCTTGACATTTCCCTGCATCTGGCTGAACTACTGGATGAAGAGTTAGAAGAGTTATGCATAATTCTTCTTCACTCAGTAGGAGCTTCATGAACCACTGTTCATGTTCCCAATAGTGGCTGGTGAATCACAGAGAACTCACTAGATGTCAAAGGCTAAAAGCTTATTTAAAGCTGAAGCTTTAGATAGCTGAAGTCCTTGCCTGATATGTAGAAGACATGAGGAGAGTGCAACAGGTTCAGAAGCTACCAGCTGCAGCTCATGCAATTATTTTTCATGTGGGCAGATGTTTCATATAAGTAAAGAGAAATTACAAAAAAATAACACCATACAGAGACTAGGTCTACGTTTAAAAGAGCAAAAACCAAGAGCAAAACAAGGGCAAAAAGCCTGACTTAGAGAACTGAGTCACATACATGTGATCTTTCTCAGCTGTAGCCAGTATCAGATTCTACAGTAAAAGCTGCTGGCTATCATTTCAGTTAAAGCCAAACATTCCTTAACAAGCCTTACCATTCCAGTAGTGGTAAAAGGCTTGTCATGACCTTCTGGGAAGCAGTTGCCCATGAAAAACAAGTTCTCAATTTTAAGCCTGCAATCATCATTAGTCAATGGGAAGCAAAGGTAGCAGCTGTGCAAAGGCTGCTGGCAAAATGCTGCTCCTTACTGTACAAAGCTGCTCCAGCAACACTGAGCAGTTGAAAAATGAATACTCAAAATTTACTGCCAAAATTAGCCTGGCCAACTTCTGAATGGAGTGAACATTTCCCTTTCAAATCTTATCTCTATGCATATGCCCTTGAAAACATTCATTACTCAACTTTGTTTTCCAGAAAGATTTACATGACTCATTTTTGATGGGTAACCAATGAGTTATGAACTGTCAATAGTCAGCTTTGTGTTTTTTACTGAACAGGAATGCATTATATGGTAAAAAAAATGCTCAGATGGCTATTCACTGAAATATGTCAAAACATTTAGTTGCTCTTGTAGGCAGAAAAAGAGAAACAAGATTTTTTTCTGAAGAAGTGTAAATATATTTAAAATGAGACCTGAAGGTGGAAGTCCCTACACCAAAAGCAATGGCTCTAGCTCTTGAGCACCAAACACCAAATTCAGGCTACTGCAAGGTTGAATCACAACTTAGTTTTCCCTTTAACTTCTCAAAAAACATGAGAGTTGCTTTATAAAGTTATTCATTGTGTATTCCATTTAAACATGAAACTCGGAGGGCTCAGTTTTATTTTAATCTTTATGAATTCTGTGCAGAGGATGCGACTCACCACTTTGTTATGTGCCATTAACTGAAGGATGCTAGGTGTCACTCGGCTCCAGAACTCCAGTGCTGTAAGGATTGCTGTAAAACTAAATTCATTCTGATTCTGGACTGTTGGAGCTACTGCTGTTTGTTCACAATACACTGTCCAGAGCTGGGCAAATATAAACGCATGGAAGAGGGAACACATGTGTAGAACAGATGTCTGTAGTAATAGGAAAGAGAAGAAAATGTCTCACATAAATAAATATATGGGTGTATCACACAAATAAATGTATGGGGGCACAGTGCAGTCTTCTGTTAACATTGGCTTCAAACAAAGTCCTCTCTAATGCACTGAACAATCCTGTCCCTCATTTTCCAAAATACTTTGCTCCTATTATGAAATACTAAGTCAGACATACCCAATAACATCATTTCCATGCTCAAAGTCTGATTTATAGACCAAAAACTACACTTGGAAACCTATATTCTCATGCAACCACATTAAGGTCAGTCCCTTTAAAGAAAAGGTTAGTTTCACAAAACAGCTTCTCCTCAGGGACTGGTACTGACACTTCCTTGCCTGAAAACTCCCACTGCAGCCTGTAGAAGAGACCAGAAGCCTCTGTCATATATGACTCCAGTATGACTCCATTTCAAACAAGGTTTAAAACTTAATTGAAGTTTAATCTCCCATAAGATCCTCAAATAAACTGCTAAAGTACAAACCAGATATGTAGTCAGTGAGACGGACTGGAAACCTGGCTGAACTACTGGGCTCAGAGGGCTGTGATCAGCAGCATGAAGTCCAGCTGGAGGCCTGTCACTCATCATATACCACAGGAGCCAATACTGGGGTCAATGATACTTAACACCTTCATTAATGCCCTGGATGATTGTGCAGATGATACAGAACTGGGAGGAGTGGCTGATGCCACAGAGGATGTGTTGCATTCAGAGAGACTCTGAGGCAGCAGAAATGGCCAGAGAGCAAATTCAAGTCATGGCCCTTGGGGGGAATAACCCCAAGCCCCTGTACAGAGGAGGCTCTGATCACCTAATAGAAAGTTAAAACACATCACCTTATATCCATTCTTTTCATTTTTCAGCCATTATCTAGTCACGAATCAGAGATGTCTTCTCAATTTGAAAGTACAACCGTGATTCATACTCTATCGTAGTGCAATTACACCAAACATTGCAATGGTTGCTTGGTAACTAGGAAGAAGTATTTGAAAAAGAATTTAAAAAAAAAAAAAAAAAGAATTAAAAAAAAAAAGGCCCAAAAGGAAAGAATGGGAAGCACCAGGCCTGGCTGGGAGAAGGGAGTGAAAGGGGCATTCTAAGTACTGGACAAATACATACCCATTCAGCTTCCATGCTTAAAAAGAACCTGGTTAGCATCAGAGTGCTAAATATGTACATATATGTGTATATATATCATATATATACATATATATGTATATATCTATGTTGAATTACTATCACAAATGCCTTGTAATTTGCAATAAACCTCCCTGTTCAAACTACTTTCAGAAAATGAAAAAAAAAAGTGCTTCAACTATCACTGCAATGCTATTTTTCCTCATGGAGAAGTAAATATTCCAATATTGGCCTGCTTTAATCTGGTTGAAACTCTTTAACATTTAAAAAAAAAAAAAAAAAAAAAAAAAAAAAAAAAAAAAACAGCTTAACTTTTTTTTTACTGGATTACTGCAGAAACACATTCTAAGAGCTACGGTGTTGGAAGTACATGCAATTTTAGCTTGTATTATTGACATGACATTAGCTTGCATGGCATTGTTTGGGTAATATTTATAAAAGTTCACGCATTCACATCCAAATAAATTATAAGCTGGTGATAAATGCTTTGAATATTAAGGTTGATATATATCACATCTCCTCTTAAAAGATGGAATCTCCTACCTTTGATTGCTCTGGAAAGCCAATGAGAATAACAATAAGGTGGTCTGCAATTTGCGAGCCTGCATCCAGGGGAATAGGCATGCAAGATGATGGAGAGTTTGGACAGACAACGTTGTGTGTCAAAGACCCCAGGAGCAGCCACGACAGCAAACGAATATGAGACACACATTCTATGAACTCTTTGGGCCTGTTGAGAAAGAAGATGTTTTATAATCTGTTAAGTTTTTGTTTTTCCACAAAACTGAAAGTCTCTTTAAACACACTTTGCAGATGCTGTCTCAGTGCCATGGAGGCACAAAGGAGGGATACAGAGAGTGGGAAGACTAGGACTACACCAAACTTCAGGGACTTGACATGCCATTAACAAGTCTAACAGAACATACTTAGTGTGCCTAAGAAACATCCTCTATCCCTGGCCAAATTTAGTGAGCCTCTAAATGAGGGTGGGGAGAAGGGGGAAGGGGAAGGTGTCTGTCTGTTTTACATGGAAATAATCAAACAGAAAAACTTATGCAAATAGAGCTACTCCTCGTAGCTCCTGTGGATAGCACACAGCTGACAAGGCTTGTGATGAAATTTCTTATTCCACTAATAGCTCTAAGGCAGCTCCCTGTACTATTTTTGCTCAGTGTTTCACCTCTCCATCAGTAAAATGCAGTTAATTTCCCTTTTCCTTAGCCCATCTTTGGACATTTGGACTGCATGCTTTTGAGGGTGTAGACTATTCTTTTTTGGGACACTTAAGTATTAAGTAACTATTGAGCGCAATGTTTAATTTCAAATCAATTTGCTTATTTAGTCTGAAAAAGAATAATACTTCTCTGGTATCATCTTGCCTATTCCCTTGCTGTTATCAAGTTCAGATTACTTAGTCATTTTAATCCATATAGGATAAAAATATTTCAGATCAAGAAGCCACTACTGGGCCCCACAAGCCTGGGACAACATTGGAACAAGAATATAGATTTGTTGAAACAAAGTCCAGTGCTCTATCCTCAAAACATCCCTCTGTTGTTAACACTGAGAGAGGGGACCATATCCTGTCCTTCTGTTTCAACATAAAACAATTCAGGTTAGGATTTTTCACAGTGAAAAGAGCATGTCTTCAAGAGCAGGACTTCTCTCATCTGACTTTAACCAGCTGAAGTCAGTATTATTATCACACACTTAAAAGCTCTTGTTTATACTTAGCAATTTCATTGGGCATTTTCCCTGTGCTCTATAACCCCCACTACGTTCTTTATAATTCTAGGCCTGAGTACTGGCTTTGCTTTCACTGCCTGTATCTACAATAAAGTTCATTTCCACTTCAGATCTGCTGATCCACAATCAGCTCTTTTCCACAATCATTCAAGTCAATAGAGTAAATTCCCAGGTTCCTTTAGCCTCCACCTAAATGAGGCACCGATGAACTCCTCAGGAAACTGGGATCTGCTGACCAGCTGTTTCAATGTCCCACGGCCCCCACTCCTGAGTGTAGGTCCTAGCTAAGCAATGTGGCAATAAATGCAGATCTCTGAAGATTTCCAACTCATCCTGGTATTTCTTTTGGTGGAAAGGTGTTCTCACCCTTGTTGCATTGCAGAAGGAGGATGGTATAGCCAAGGCAAATAGCGGATCACAGCTTTGTTGTCTCTGTGGTTTCCTCGTGTAATTTCCATAGCAGCAATCTGAGCTAAGCCAACTTTCAGATGCCCGCCAAATGTGTCTTCATGCAGTGGCTGTGAACATGTCTTCATGTGACTCTGCAAAGCAAAGAGCTGATTCTTCAACCAGAAGACTATGTCATTAGGTCTAACTTCTACCAAGCATCAGTGTGGTCTATCATCCTTCAATCCCGTTTTCAGAGTCTCTAGTTCTATTTATGAAGCTATAGAACAAAAATTAGAAATATATTTAAAACTTCTCTGGTGGATATATCCATAACAGCATCATGAGGCACTCTTTCCATGGAGGAACACATTTTCAAGGGCCAACACAAGAGAACTGTGCAAAATGTACACATACTGTTTGTACCAGCAAACTCAACACCTGCTGAAAACAAACCAATGGTTTCACATCGGGACAGTTTAACTGAAGATCAGAAAATCTAGCCATTCAATAAGGCAGCACTGGGTATGAAAGGCCTTCCCTGTGAAAGATTCCATTTATGTGTACAGAAATAAGTATGACCCCTTCACCAAAGACAGGACTATTTTGCACTACCCATGCTACACAAGCGCATCTAAGGCTTGAAAATATAAGGGCTAGCAAGACATCTAGAAATATTTATAACTTGAAATATAATTTATCATTCTGTTTTGTCAAGTCTAAGAACCATTCCATGGGTGCTTCTTGAGATATTTCTATATTTGTAGTTGAGCTAACCGCATTATCTTGTGTTACAGGAGCATCAGAACACATGCTGAGTGCATGTGCTTGCTTAAGGGAAAGCCATATGCTTTGCACAAGAAAATCCAGGTCATCAATTATTAAATTATTATAACATGCCCTAAATGAGTGAACCTATAATATTTCACAGCAGACAAGTAACTGATCCTGGCAAATTGTACTATCACAATCACTTAGAATCTCTTCCAAGAAGAAAAATAAAATATTTATATAAACATATACACATATATATATATATATATATATATATCAACATGAATATCACCTAGTCACCTGGCTATAGAGAGGCAGCAGAATAAGCAGGCAGGCAAACAAATAATAAAACTTTGTTCAGCTTTCAGAAATTAAAATGTTGTTGCAAAGCAGGAAAACAGTGACCACAACAGAAACTCTAAAGTAGAAAGGTATTCTCTTGGGAAGCAATATTTATACCTTGCTTATTGGTATATAATATATTAGTTAATATTGATGTATAGAATATCTTGCTTAGTAGGCTGCAAGTAATAAGCATTTCTTCCACAGAAACAGGCTGTGGACACTCAATGAGTAGAAATGAGTAAACAGCTTTAGTAATTAACTGTTTCTGTTCACTGAATTTGTAAAGAGGTATTTTTTTACATATATAACATGAAATCATTTGATAACATCTTTCAGAATTTTTATTCTTTCCTCTATAAAATGTCAATCAAAATATGAAATCCAAGATTAAAGTTTTGCTATATGATTGTTACTGGCCATATAAGTCATACGATACTCTTGTCAATTTACCAGATATTGATATTAACATCAGATATTGATGTTAATATTTTCAATAAAAAAATTATACAACTGGATAAACTTAGGATTCACCTTCTATGAACATCTGTGTTAATAAAGTCACTAAGTAATTAAATTAACATAAAGGTGTATAAATACACATACTGCAAATTTGTTTGAAATTCCAACTATTTATGAAGTTTTTACTGAGCAATGATGGCAGTATTTTTCCACCTACATTGGGCCCACAGAATTAATTTCTTTTAGGATACCTACTGGAAGACAAAACAAAAGACTAAGATTTCTCAAACTGTTACAATCTTAGTGAATACAAACTGCTTTTTCATTTTGCAAAGACAGTCAAGACTTATTCTCACAATACATAAAATTGTAGTCATTTGGACTCTCCTGCAATGCTCATCTCTTCTTTGTCAGATTCCTGTACTACATGCCTGAATCAAAACCATGTAAAAATTGGATTAGTTCAATTCTGATTCAATTTTAAATGCTTCATCCTACACATTTTGGAAGCTTGATATCTTATTTTGAAATATGAAAGAGAAGAACCAGAAAAAGTTTTAGTTTGTGTCTTAGCTATATCCATGAGTAAAAATGTAATAAAGAGCAGGAGAAACTACCATCTGATTAGACTTAAGCACTGTAAAAGAATTTATAAAAATTCAGTTCAAAGGAGAGAGGGCAAGCATAAAAAGTTTGAATGGCACAGAGATTTCTACAAAAACATTTCATGTGAGAGAGAAGACACCTGCAAGTATTTACAAATAAAATTTCTCTCGTTTCTGTTTTCAGTCAAATGTGTGTTTTTCTATGGAACTGGCAAACCAGATGTCTCTCATTTATGATTCATGTGCCAACCTATTTTGAAAACAATTCTGAAATGAAAGAGAAATGGGGGGATAACTTTAAAGGACAGAGTGGAAATGGAATTCAATTCAGCTGAAAATGGTTAATTAGTTCAGGCTTTGAAGTAAATTTCTACTCCAGCACAAAAGGCTGCTTCCCTTCTTGGAGACTTTTTTTTTTTAAAAAAACCTCAATGGGATTCAAAGACAAATGTCCAACAGGATATCAGGATATGAACTACAGAGGGATATCTTTGGCAGTGAAACTTCAGATTTCCAGTTTAGTGGGGTTTCTTCCTCCTGCAGCATTGCCTTGACGTAGGCAATGAGTCTCCACTGCGAGGAGGGACGTAGGGACTGAAGCAAGGGGGGACTGTGGCAGATAATCACATAAGGTAACAGCTCCAATTTAACTGGTTCATACATAAACTAGAGTATCCAAACCCACTACAGTTTGTCATTTACTCTCTCTTGCCCATGACAGAAAGTAAGGGATTAATCTGTGGCATGAAGCACTCCACTGCATTGCCACCAACTTTGAGATGAGAACTGGTACAATACAAGAGGTGTCCTTCAGGGGAACAACCATACCCATTTCTCAGGAAAAGAGGCTTCAATATCCTTTACTGGCAGATGCACACTGTGTTAGAGAACAGCAGCAGCTCTACAGGTTAGGATCAAATGCAAGAGCTTTATCAAAGAACTTCTCTAGAAGACTATGAATGTCAAAGCCCAGGCATGAAAGCAATGGCAATATGATCCTTCATAGCTAGAACTAAAGTTTTTTTCCCCGCTGTGAGCTGAACTTCAGATCATGCACACATAACTTAGCAGCTATTTGACTGTGCCCAGCGATGAAATGACCTCTCTTTCAACTAATGAACTTCCCCTTGAATCATCAAGTTCCTTCTGTACAAATATCAAAACCTGTTGCCAGATTTTAGAACTGACATCTTTGACAAACTCTCTTCTGTATTTGGAAAGGTCCTTCTGCTTCACTTCTAAACCATCAGTTTGTCTTGCTAGCTCTGCAGAAGTTAGAAGCATCAAAGCCTCCTTACATCTTGACCTTCCTTTTATGTGCTGAATAAAATCCACCCTTCTGCAGAACGGCAGTATGCAGAGCAAAAGACTAAGGTCCAGCTTTATCTGACATTGAGAAGTGGTATTTAGATGGGTCTACTATTGGATGTTTTCCCTTTACAGAAAGTCGGACTCGAAACACTGCAGTTTCATCTTCAGCTCATTCTCCAGTGAATACTCAGGTTCATATGGCATGAAAAAACTACCTAATGGGACAGGGTTATTCTAAATAACCTACATAACATTGCCCCCTACACAGCATTATTTCAGTTAATATACCAACAGCTGTCTATCAAATTTCATTAGTTCTTCATTTAAGCAATTAACAAAATAGATGAGACTTCAATTGTGATTGAAATTGTTCCTTTTCCAGTTCAAAGTATTTCCTATTATGCTGCAGCAATATGATTCGGCCTAACTCATTTCTAAACATCTTCCTTCAAGACTGTTCATTTTATTGCTCATTTTGTTAAATTTAGGTAGGATGCCATGGCTTCCTTGTCAAATAGAAATTACAAATTTTGACCAGGTAATTATAAATTAGTGTTCTCATGAAATTTATTCCTAAATATTTTATGTTGACAGAAATATTTTCCTATCAATCCTCTTAACATCTGTCCTTTGACATCAAACTAATACTCAAGAATCAAAAAGCAGTTTGGACTACAGAGACAGTTACCAGTCAGTTTTCCCCACCTCAACAGAATGCATTATGAGAAAGAAAAGAGCAGCATCTATATGGAAAGAACTAATGTGTCAATTGCTTCATTTTAATAACCTCTGAACATCTATCTGAACCAAAGAATGTCTTGGTGGGTATGTAACAGAAGCAGAATTTCTCCAGAAGAGTGGAATTAGCACACCAGTAAGAATTTTATGCTTGGATGGGTTATTTTTAACATGACTACTTCTCATTCAATGATTTTGGTATGACATCATCTTATCATCAACCTGCACACTGCATTAAAAAGCAAGCCTGCACTTTTATTCTGTGCTCACCACATTGAAATCAGCCTCCATTTCAACACTCTGCACGAGCTACATTTCGCCCATTCATTAGAAGCGACAAATCTGTAACAGGTTTTTTTTTTTTTTTTTTTTTTTTTTGAAGGTTAAAAAGTCAGTCATTCTCAAGATTTCCAAAGAATTCTTCCAAGGAGATTAATTACAGAAAATACTAAATGTGTACCCATAACTAACCTTTAATTTGGTTAAAGTATGCATATCTGCAATGAAATCCAGCACTTCCCCAACGTATTGCCTCATGCATTCCATTGCAGCTGTTCCACACTGCAACACAAAAGAAATATGTTTAATCACTGGATTTTGAATATATTCATGTTTTCTTCTTTGTTTCTTGTCTATCTCAAATTATTTACTGTCCGCTGTAAATAGAGTATACATCCTTGAAACGTGTTCCTCAGTGATGTGTCTTCCTATCTGATGATAGTATATAAAAACTAAATATAAAACAGTCACACTAGCTGCATCATGCATTATAAAATATTCTCATCTGATACAACGATAGAAGATTATCTGATGAAATTTGTAATAATATCCTTAACAATATCTCCTATAATTTATGCCAGTCTAGAATCAAAGCTTTTTTTAAAGTCAATGAGAATTCCCCAGCTCAGTTCCTTAAGCACCTGAGCATCTCTGCGAGTGAAACAAATTAGTTACAATCCTGTAAAATAAAATGCACATGGCACAGATGCCATTATATTCACATGATTCAGCATAGAAAACATGTGATTTAAGTGACAGTTTTCATGTATATTACTAATGAATATCATTGAAATGTTCAAGTGTAACTTCTGTTCTTAACTAAAAAAGGTTCTGTGATATTCTTGAGCAACATCATTCAAAACACATCATCTTAATTGCACTTAGTTGCAATTTTCAAAAGGATGATGAAGGCAGCATTTGAATGATTCTCATAAAAATTATTTTCACTACACCAATTTTAAAGGTAAGCCTTCTATGGTCACACAAGTAAGCAAGCACAATAAAAATGCAGCTTTTTTTCCTTTAAATCCTTTTGGAGTATCCTTAGAGTCAACAAGGAAAAAGGTTTCTCACAGCTAATGAAGTAGACTTCGGCTAACCCTCATCCATCTTTTTGGATGAAATGTGCCACTGAACAACTCAAACCCTCCTGCTCCTGCTTTTACTTCTACACATGGTCACTAGTCACATAGCAGCAAAGCAGTTATGAGTACTCACAATTTAGCAACATTCCTCAGCACGATATATATAAGGTATATAGCCTTATATACCACCAGAACAAAGCTTTGCATCTCTACTTTAAGCCAAGAGCTATTTGCCAAGATGGAGCCAATGGCTGGTACCTTCCTTCTCTGCTGCCATTTTTTGAGGCATTCAGTTGATGTCCTCCCCACACCTGGCCTTCCATAGATCTCCAGCAGAGCCTTTGGATATGCTCAGTCATATGTGTCATATGGTATATTATTAGTGACAATAAGGGCAGCAAGACCAAACGAAGAGCTTTTTCAACATTAAGAATTAAAGAAGTGTGTCAGCTTCTGCCTGCAATACACCTTGCCAACCAAAGGAGAAATGGGATGAAAGTCCAACTGATGCAAAATAAGCTTAATAAAACATGGGGTTTTTTTAAATTAAAACCTATGAGATGAAGTTTGATACATTACTTACCCCAGGCAAAGAGGAAATCATCTGTTTATGCAAGATTGTTGATTCAGCCAATTTTGTTCCAGCATCTGCACAAACAAACTAAGAAGAAATTAAAGATGAGTTATTTTTGGAGAAACCTTAAGACACTACTAAGTTATTTATGACTTTATTAAGATCACTTGAGATCTTTTCTTGCTTATATATGTGGCAATTTGCCTTTACAGCTCTCTCACTTTATAAACAGCCTAGTTTGTTCACTATTATAAAAATGAGCTAATTTTAATGAAAAAGAAATTTAATGTGCCTGATTAATATGTATATACTGTGTGGGAGCAATTTGAAGAACGTTATATAACAGATACTCTGTGAGCAAAAATATATAGCTTTGCAATTGTTTGGATATATCAAATGTTCTTACTTTATTGCAGTGTAAATCAAGATAAAGATGAACACATGCAGTGTTCTCCACTGGGGTACTACAAGCCAGGCAGTCATTATTTTATCTCTACTTTCAGCATGTAAAAAGGAGTTTTCCTTACTCACTTCTGTTAGGTGACTGAGTCAAAACGAAGGACAAGTGTTTACCAGTTAACGAAGGGCAAGTGTTTACCAGTTAAATCCCACTGTCAAAACTGACATGGTCTTAAGGAGCCTTTTTTTTTTTTTTTTTTTTTTTTTTTTTTTTTTTTGCATTCTCAAATAAGGAACTTTAGATTGATTTACTGTAGAGACTAAACTGCCTTGTAACCTTTGGGGTGGCTTTGGACTGAAGTATTTAAAGAGTAATGCAGAAAAGTTGTTTTATTCTGTAATTCAGGTAAAGTTGATCAATAAGCACTGAAGAACATTGTATCAGGCTGCATCGCTGTATCTATCAAAGAGTGGGTGGTTGCTGTATTATTTGGTGGTCATGACTAGGATTGGGGGATTTAGCCCAGGAGAAAAAAAAATTCTACTCTTTGAAGCTAATAATACATTTTAAAAAAGCCCCTTCTATTCTCTAAAGAAAAAAAAAAAAGTTATCTTTCCACAACTCCATTTCTTCCCCTAATATTGAGGATATAATAATTGTTTTCAGAATTATACTAACTACTATGTAGTCTAACTGTCAATATTATTTCTCTGTCAGTTGGCAACCAGTTATTTCCTCAGTAATGTACCAGCATTCAAAAGCAAACCAGCCTATAGTAAGTATTCTAAAATTGTGACCCCCATAAGAGGAGTGAAGAGACAATGAATGAAACTGTGATGCTGGGAACATTATGAATGATTTACATTTCAATTCCAATTCAAGATTCCAATCAAACTTGTTTCACTTGACACTGCTAGAGCTTTTTGGAACCCTGTGGCCATTTTTTTTTTTTTTATTTGGATGAATTTAGGCTGAGACAGCATCAGTATGAAAATAACATGAGGAAGATCTCCTGTACCTGCACCAAAAGCAGTAGATTCATGTCTGGTAAGGGTGACTTTAACTTGAGTGCCTGTAGTAACTCCAAGATGACACTGCGGGTCAGGTAGAACTTATCTCTTTCCTACAACAGGAAAAGATGGAAGTAAGAATGCTCTGAAATTCAATGACATCCACTAGTAAACCATAAAAGACCATTTATCTAAATTTGAGAGTAAAACGTCATAAAAATTTACTTTTTTATCCTGACATGATCTGTCATTTATGGGATTCTACATAAATGAATCCACTGATCGAGTGGACAGCGGTGAGAATACCTGCGGTCTTTCTTTCACTTTGCATTAGGCTCTACTATCAGCTTTTTTTGTATTTGAAATGTGAAATATGGATAGGTTTTATAAGACATTTATAGAGCCCTGGCATGCACGGTATTTCGCACTGAAGAGTTCCATATAAAGGTAAAAAGGGAAAGAACTAAGGCTTCATATAGGAGAATAAAACCGGCAGTAGTATTTAGCCTATTTCTCTCTTTAAACCCTCCAGAAAAGCCCTATGTTTTGTCACACTACTTCTATTGTTGTCCATCTTAAAATAAGAGGGCCTCCATTACAGCAGCTTGGATATCTATTTTCATTCATTAGACTAGCAATATTTTTCCCCTTACACAGCAAAACCCCTCTTCAATTCAGTTATCCTCATCTCCCTCTAAAAGCACTTTAAAACATATATAGGAAGATAGGGCAACAGAGGTTAGAATGAAAAGGCCAAGAACACAGAATTGTAGAGATGAGAAAACATCAACTTGCAAGAGATAAGATAAGCCTGTTACATGACTGACTTTGACATTCTCTGATGTTAGGAGGTAAGTATATGGAACAAACCTATAACCTGCTACTGAACATAGAGGCTCTAGAATTTTTCAATCAGCAGCTTGATTTATTCTGAGCCCCCTTTCAATTGACAACCAGAGATGAAAAAGTCTTGTCCAGTAGAGAGGGAATATAAAAAGTGTGCCCAAGACTTAAAGATTTAAAGCTTACAATCTTCCATCCTGAAATTTTAACGCATTTCTCTGCTTGCTTGCTTAAATTAAACATGTATAACTTTTAACTTAGGCAGGGTGAGTTCCTCCTCAGTTCCTCTGTGACATCTATAAAATGGGAAAATAATGTTTGCCTCTTCCTCAGAGAGGTCCAGTAAACTTTAGTGGTCAGGGTCAGTTTGAAGCAGCCCATCTACATTTGCACACAATAGTAAGCACAATTAAAAGAGGAGGACTTGGATGAGATAAATAGCTGGAAAGAAGCAAGAGCTTTGATTACAACAGCCCAAGAAACCAGTCACAAGTTTTTCCTCCTCAGAAAAGAGGAGAAGCTGGGTTGCACATAGCCAAGCAAAACTCACAGGAACAGCGAGCACCTCTAACAGCATCCACAAACATTTTATTAAAAGTAGATTTCAAATATCAGTCCTTAATTTCAGAGCAGGGGCCAAAATGGCAGAACTGGAAGCTTTTCATAGGTGGTCTCACACGAGCCTGTGAAACAAATGTCAGAGTTCGCAGTGCAAGAGACACTTCTGCCTGACTTGAAGCAGAAGTTGGAGTGCACAGTCTGGTAACACATTTAGCTGATGGAGGAGGTTTCACTCTACAAGGTGAGCTTGTCTGCTATGCTGAGACAGTCTAGGCAATTAAGCTCACAGAAAGCTAATACTCAAAAAAACAGACTATTCCTTTATGTGAATAACAAATATCAATTCAGCTGGATCAGTTCAGCTGTATTATGAAACCATGTCTCGAGGGGACAAGTAGCTCAGAGCCATGTGTCTCACACAGTATAACTCAAGATTGCCCAGGAGAGGTCAGACCACAAGACATGTGCTCAGTAACTTCTGTCCAGCAAGGCCATAAGCAGAATGCCTAGAGAGGCATAAAAAAACAGGGCAAGCATGTATAATTCCCAACAGTACATTCATAGTCACCAATTATTTTTAGCTCTGGGAGCTTCTGAGCTCAGTATAGTTTCAGTGTTCTTCCTAATTTTCGGTGATTTCCCTTCCACATCCACAGCCACTGCCCTCTTGAATCCACATCAACTTTCAGTACATTATGTGATGATGGGTTTCATGCTGTTAAAACTACTCCTCTTTACCTGCTTTGACTCGAGTTCCTACTAACCTATTACTTTCTACTTCTGGTACTGAAGAAACACTTCACTTGCTTTGATCCTGTTTCCTAACTTGATGCTTTTTACTTCTGGGACTGGAAAATTACCCACTTGTAGAATGTGCAGACCCGTGTCACATTCTCATCAATTTTAGCTTTTTCACACTGAAGAGCTCTTAGTTGTTCTTTATATGTGTCTCATTCCACACACAGATTATCTTTGTTGCCATTACCTGACCTTTCTCCAGTTCAATTCCATTCTTTCTGGAAATGGCAGAACAGAAACATGCACAAAACTCAAGGTTCAAACAGGCCCTGTTTCTGCTAGAAAGCATATCCCCCATGACAGTGACCCTTCCCACTGTCCTGTGCCTCCACAATCCTGAGGCCCATCCATAGTGAAAAGCCATGTTCAGAGGCCTGGGGATTACACCCCTCACACTGGACAAACACTGGATAGGATTTCCTGACAGTAACCTGGCAGGAAAGACTGCACAGGCTGCAAAAGGAACAGGCTAAAATTCTTGCTGAAAGCATTGCGCCCATTCCGCTGCTTTACGGACCATCAGCTACACTCTACAAAACAAAATTAGGCCATAACAAATTGCTTGCTCTGGGAGGGGAAAAAATCTCAATTTTTACATTGTTTAGCACATAGGGAGATGAACTGCAAAATCAGTGCAAATGTTTTTAGGCATCAGACCTCTCGCTTCCTGGTCTGTAAACAGAAGCATTGATGTTGAAGTCAATGGTCTGGAGTCTCCTTTCCAACAAAGACTCAATACTGCCATCATTCAGCTGGTACTTGTTTTTATATAATTTAAGAACTTTATTTTCTAACAGAGAAATGTAAAAGGGCCATCAGTTACATGAGATAAAGCCCAGAGGAGTCACATGTGCCAGCCTGGTCCCAAAGAAGCAGGAATGCAATCCCCTTAATCTTTGTTCAGCCAAAATAACTAAACCTCTCAGATGTCTGCATATCCCCATAAAAAAAAAAAAAAAAAAAAAGCTGACCTTCAGATTAATTTGCCAGAGGTCTACACATTGAATGCAAAATTACTGAAGTTTTTTTGTAACAGAGTCCCAACATAGTAGCAAGAATAAAAAAAAGTATTTTTAATAGAATACTATGCTACCCTTTAAATAAGCCAGCACAAAAGGAGACCACAGTCGCTATTGCTACCACAGTAACTGCTAAGGGGTGGGCTGTTTCATTTTCCTCAGAAAATTTCAATAGCAAAATTATATAATTTCCAATTCAGTGGCACGGGGCCAAAAGAATGATAGTAAAAGGCTAAGCTCAGGTTCAAGCTTCAGCAGCTGCAACAGATCAACAAGCCAGGAAGTGTCCACTTAAGACTTCAAGAGACTGAGTGGAAAATTCTAGATACAAAGATTAGAATCCACAGAAGTGATACTACTCTTAGCTGACAGATCCCATGGCAATGAAACAGGCCCTAATCTGTTCGGTCTAATTGTTGACCTAGAACAGAAACTCAGATAAGGAAATATCAGATTGACGTGACTCTACAGATCAAAGACAAAAGAAATTGAGATAGTTCTGCCACAGACTGTTAGGGAAATGCTGCAGATTAAAAAATGGGGGTGTGGGGAGAAGAAGATTCAGATTGGTTGTACAACACTGAGCTCTGTAAAGCACACCCTGGAGCTCTTTGAAAGACAAAGTTTACCCCATAGCATACCTGAAAGCTGTGCCACTGTGTTTTGTTCCAGAAGGCACACTAGAAGACAATTCTAGTTGTCTAATAGACAACTATTTGAATAGTTTCAACATTCACAAATTATATTACTTCTGGAATTCACTTCCACGTGACACCATATCACAAACAGCACTCCATTTGGCTACAGTAATTCACATGTAGAGAAACCTAGATATCACAACTGGTCTATTTTTCTAAAGGCAGTCATTAGTTTACATTTTTTAAAATCAAATCCATAGTAAACTTTCAGGAATAAGAGAGATAGTGTAGTGTGGAGTTCCATTGTATTAAGCATTTTCTGGATATAAACTGCAAGAAAACATTAAAACTAATGATCCCATTCCTGCGCCACCAGGTTTCAGTAAACTAAATCAAGAAGAAGTTTTGACTAAACGGTATAATCCAAGCTTCCTAAATGCAATTAAGTAGTCAATAGAACACTGAAACAGAACCAAGTATTAAAAACATCTTTTTAAAAAACATTTTCTATAAAAATATTTTTGAAATAACTGAAACTGCACTAGGACAGATATGACTATCCTTATAACTAAACAGCATTTTAAGTCATGCATGAGTATCATAGGACCTCTGAAAATGAAAAATTTTCAAGTCATGAAATCATAATACTTTCTTGAGCAATGTTTTCATCAGATTCCCTTTGTCTGTGCTGGGGATGTCAGAGTCAGTGTTATTAGTAGGCACTGAATCAACACAACTACTTGATTAAGCTAGGTTAAAACTACTTGACACTGACTGCACCTTCGGTTACAGACTTCTACTTGGGAGAAGAGTTTTTTCTGCTTTATTTTCACTTGTTTCCAATGAAATGTAGAGTCTTATTGTTACCTTAGTGAAGGCTCGGTAGCACAAACCACACAGTTCTACCAGGTAGGCCAGAGTAAAGATAGCATTTTGAATTACAAAGCTTAGTAATTTTGAAAATGGCTCCAGAAGACTCTGCAATGAGATGATTTAGGAAAATCAATAACTGATTGCTCAGTAAAACAATAAGCATTCCAGCTCTGAAATGCCTGAATGCAACTGCATCATTATTTTTAGCTCAATAATATCTGTCCGTGATTTATACTGTTTCAGTCAAATACCTGTGCTAGCATTTCATGCTTATAAACATGAATATTTCATTGCTTATAAGCAATACTCATGGTTATAAGACAAATTAGAAGCAATATATCAGCAAACAGTTTTATCTTTGATACAGTGCTTATGAGATATCAGAGAATTTGTAATATTATGCAGGAAAATTATACATTGGCAGTAACAGAATTGTACCAGCAGTAAGATTCACAGGATGTTGACTATTACAGGGTGTTTTGAAGACAATATCAAATCTTTAATAAGATGTATACTCACATCCACACAGAAAAGTAATCCCACTCACATTTCACTGTAATCTAGATTCCAAACCTCTTACCATTCAGCATAGGGTAATGGACTGCACACACAATACTTGCTTAGTTGGGAGCTAAGAATACATTTGTAGAATAGCACAAGCTAAATCTGAGGCAACAAAGTTGTGTCTTCTTTGGAACTTACCCTGGTGGCACTAGTGGTTGGTATCTTCAACAAGCAAATCATGATTCTTAAGCTAGAGTCTAAAGAACACTGGGAACATATTTAAAGGTAGGAAAAAAAGAAAAGAAAAAAAAAGAATTAGCACATTTTTGTGCCCATCTCTTGCTTTTAGTGGTGACAGTTACGAATAAGCTATGAATAAGCAGTCTGAAAAATGCTCCTTGATGATTGATCTTTATTTACTTTTCTGGAACTGACTTGTTCCTGAAGACACATTTATATCCCTCTCATCAGTAATACAAGACATTATTAGGTTTGGGATGAGGATATTTCACTGAAAAACTCCTTGTTCAGGAGTTAACTTTACTCTTGTATGATGAAAATCTCCTAGAAGTACACCTACACTGTAGCGAAATGGCTCTTTAAAATATAAATTTATTTATATATAAGTGTATCTAATGTGTGTGTGTACATATGTGGGTTAACAGGAGGCACACCCCATCTACCTCCTGTTACATTTTTGTCCTTGTCCTAGGCTATGACATTTTGATATTTTATCCCATCCATGGCAGGGCTGCAACTCAGACTCCTGGCATCAGAATGTGCCCTGGAAATAGCTGTTCCAGAAGTCACTCTAAAGATGTTTCTTACAGTGTAATTGATTGTTCAGATGAGATACTAAAGCTTCATTCTCCAACGTGTCTTCTGTGCAAATCATACAAATTGCAGCACAGAATAGGACCTTTCAAGGTCCATCCAGCCTTGTCTCTTCCCTGCTTCAAACTTCTAAAACAGCAAAAGTGTAATTTATGACCCTAACGAAAGGAACAGGAGATGGCAAAGCCACCCCTACTTGGTCCAGGAGCAAGCAAATCATTAATCATACCTGATATAAAAGGAATCATAGTAATCACCCTATCTGAATGTTCCACAAATGGCAGGTATGCAGTTGGAACCTGTATGACTCAATTCAACAGTTTATTATTTGATTCAGATTATTCAAAATCAATAAATTTGGGGTAGCTAGTAACCACAGGGAAGAGCTGTTCCCTGCTTGGCTTAGTTAAGTGTTGCAGAGTGGTGCCTCAAATCACCAACAGCTAGAGTGTTCAGGATCTCACTACTTCAGTAAGGCCAAAGAATCTTAAATGATTTATATGGTTTGCTCATGACATCCAATTTAAAACAAACTTACAAATCACATAAAATTAGATTTTGGATCCTTCAGGTCATACTGAGCAACAATGCTTTGCACAGAAGATATTACTGGGTTCACTCATGCTGTGAGAAATTAAGTCAGAATAAGGGCATCAGAATACATCGTTTACTGGAAAGTCTCGGAAAAAAATTCACTGTGTTTACTGAAAAGAGATATGGAAATGTTTGCACTAGAAGATAAAACCTCTCTGCCTGTTCTCTGAGTAATCAGAACTCAGCTGGATTCAGTTTCTACACGTCCTGATTACAGCCAGAACTATGACCTGGTTGGACAAACAGGCTAGGCTCAATTTTCATTAATCTGAGTCTGTTTTTAATCTCTCTGCCTGTTTGACTTTTGTGTACTTTCAGCAAATTAATGTTCTTCTCACGGGTTTTATTTTGCTTAAGTAATTTAAATAAAATGGATTTTTATTGTCAAAATGTGGATTCTCTCAAATGTAGAAAACGATGGAAGCCAAAAAACAAATAGAGAAAAAGTTCTCTGTGGTCAGAGTTGTTATGGCTACCTTGAAAAACACTATTAAAGAGATGGATCAGACATATATAGTAAACCTGTTCCTCTGGAAACTTAGGTGAATAACTGCAAGATGTTCATAGCAACCTGCACTCCATCCCTGATTCCCTATCTGCAGCTTTTGCACTGCTTTGTGCCAAAATGCACTGCACTGACCAATGCCACCATCCCTCCTGTCTCCAATGTCGTTGTCATCACATACGAATTACCTTCACAAACATAACTATATAAATTAACTTTATGAACATAAACTGCTTTAAAAATAAAATTCCCAATATCATACCTTAAGTGGCAAAACACAGGGGAGTTTGGTAAGGAAAGTCTGAAACTGATTACTAATCGTGGTCCAGAGGTTGCTAGGCGAATCCATTGGCAAAGCTTCCATAAAGGTAGCAATATTTTCCAAACACCGGAGCATTGCACCCCCTGCTGGTAAGTTCTTTTTGTTATTTAAACCCTGAAAAAGAAAATAGATCAACAAATGTAAACATGTCTATAGCCACCTAAACAATATATAAAAATGATGCGGTTAATTAGCTCAGACCAAATACCACCTACCTCTTCTAAACCACTAATGTGCAGGGAATTTGAACTGTGTATGTGACAGTTAAGTGTAGTTCAATTCCTGAAAAACTGACTGAAAGATCTCCATGACAAAAGTTTAAAATGCTAAACTTTGAGCTGAAATATTATAAGCAGGGTCCTAAACATATCCTAATTAGAATGACACAGGAATGAATATAAAACAGGACTTTTAAGAGGCACCAGAGGATTTTTCCATATTTTCCTTAGGCTGGTTTTAAACACGCTACATTCACTAATATCCTGTAGATGTGAGCTGTTTTGACTTGTATACGAGAGACATAGTCAATTCTAAAATGCTTCAAAATCCTTGTTTGTATGAAGTAACCTCCACAGTTTTTGAAGGACACAAGGCTATGTGCAGCTGACTAGTACTAGTGGAAAGGTTATAGTAGAAACAAGGGTTTCTTGTTTCTGCTGGGTAACCAGTCCCAGGCTTGGTTTAAGAACAAAAGTTGTCAGCAAGAGCAAAACGTAGAAAGAAAATGGTGAAGATCACTTACTTCTAAAGGTAACAAGTTTAAGCTCTTACTGCATGAGAACTGAATCAATACATTTGGTATTGTTAACAAAACTAGCAGCATTAATACAGCTGATTACCAACATACCTCTAGCAGCTGGCTCAGAGCAGCAATGGAACTCAGCTCACTGAAGTCCATGAGAGATGTGGCCAGTGTCCGTAAAAAACTTCCATCTGAAATTGGAATGACACCCTTGTTCTGGGTTTTTATACAGGGATGACTGAAAGGGTCAGAAATGCACTCAGGTACTGGACGTTACCTTTAATATTGCTCTGGAAGAGCTGGGGGAAGATGCCATTGGGGGCCAACTGATGGAACACGCAGCGGAGGAACTGCTTGGCCACACCTGCAGCATTTCCAGGGATCATCATGCTGAAAGAATGGGAAGAAAGGGAAAGTATGGGAAGAAAATGAAGAGAGAGAAATTGTATTGCAGGTTAAACACACCCCAAATTGAATACAAAATATATAAAAATATTTTTTTTTACTTTTTTAATTTTTTTAATTCTTTTATTTATATTTTATTTTTAAATTTAAAATTTTTAAATTATTTTTTAAAAATGCTCATAATGTTAAAAAAAATAAAAATGTCTATGACATAGTCATGAATAGAACTGTTCTAATCCAAAAAAACACACCACCATATTGATTTTATGAATTTGACTCAATTATTCAGAGTTGAAAAAAAGTTAAGTATATATACCTGAACTGCTTAAGTCTAAATAATTGCATTTTTCCTGATTCTCCATATCTTTTGGAGTTGTCCATATCTATGAGTTGTCAGGGTCTGAACTCTAATTCCCATCTCACCTATTGGCTGCAGTGACACCAAATGAAGCTCTTGCATTTATTGTAAAACATATGCATTATAATATTACTATCTTCTCAGATCCTTCTTCAATACATGAAGTGAAATGAAAGGGTTTAATTTAAAAAGCTAAAGAAGTACCCATTTATGCATTGATCTTAACTACCAGGGTGACTCTTCAATGTTCAAGGATGTTTCACTTCATAAAACACACACAGATGGTGAATCAAGACAAATACTTAACACCAAATAAACTAGAAAGACCTACATGAAAATTATGGAAGCCAGAGGACAATCTTGAATTACATATGGTTTTGAGTTCCTGTTCATCTTAAGACATCTGAACAACATGACAAGGGAGAGGGTTTTCTCTGATTCATAAATCTAAAAGAAATCTGCCTGATTTTGGAGATGGAAAGGCTGACAACTTAGATCAATTGCTTGATATCAGCCAAAGTATTCGTTGTTATCGTACCTTTCTGCTTGATTAGAAAAACTGGTACTTGATGCCAACCTGGGGAAAAAAAATAAATAAGTGAAGCTCACTTTTTTTTTCTATTTCATTTCAAAGTAAGTCAGTGTAATTACCAATACTTTTAATAACAATTAGAAGTTTTAGAGAATATTTTAAATGCCACTAGAAAGTTCTTTCAAAGCACTCAATTTCAGTCAAATTACGTTTGTATGGCAACCTTATTCAGTCTTTCAACATCACAGACATTTGCCCACTGTAAAGATAATTCTACCTGCCTCCACATATCAGCACAGTGATAATGAAATAAAGATATTCTCTCACTGCATATCAAGGATAATTAACCTTGAGGACTTGGAAGAAGAAAAATTGCCAGAAGCTGTCCATTGACTGAATTGTTCCTGATTAACACAACAACATAGACTGGTCTAATATTCTCCCACACGGCAGGCTGAAGTGAGGCTTCTAATGCCAGATTTTGGCACCTAAATGAGTGACCTAATTTCAGAAACACTAAGTACCTAAGAGCTCTTCCAAAGTCAGATGAGAAATACTGGTTCTCAGCACCCTGAAAAATCAGGTCATTTATTTTAGTATCTAAATACAGGCTTCAAAGTCCAATTTAAGAACATCCCATTACAAAAATACCAAACATAGTATGAAAGTAAAATTATATACTTCAATATCCAGGAGATCTAAATGAATAGGGTCAGAGTTTATAGTACTAAAACAACTAATCTAAAATCAAATGTCACCTGTAAGAAAACACAAATATGTAAGTTGAAAGTATCTTTTACATACAAAATATCACCTAATTTTTACTTTCTTCTGCTGCAAATCATGATTTTTAACTAGCATAAGTTGATAACATTTGAACAGAAAGTTCAGAGAGCTGGGCTAATTTACATCCACTGATGACCTGGCCATCATGTTTATCTAGTTCACAATTTCTTTAGGTTGGATTTAGCTGTTGTTTAATCTCTTGTTAGTCTGAGTTTTGGAGACAGATTCCTCTCCAATCGCCTCTACAAAATCCAATAAGGATCCAAAATCGCTTCAGTCAAGTGAGGTATCACTACTGCATTGTTTGAGGAAAGACAGATGCGTAGGTTGCTACTGTGATGAACTACCTTATTATTCAAAGCAATTCCTCTATGGAGATCCAATTATTGGAACTGGAATTATGCAGAAATGACAGACAGTAGGAATGACACAGGACATTTAGCAGTCCCATGCTGTTTGCCATCTGCTACTCTGAAAGAATCAGTTGTGTCATTCTAGAGATGCAGTTCTTCCTTAAAGCACTCAAAAAAGTAGCCCACTACTCCCTCATCCTTTGATAGTTTATCTCACAATAATTTACTCTCTGTGGTTTCTTAATGGTCCTTAGCAGTGCTGTATTTACAAGAATCGTATAGAACGGCAAAACACTTGCCGTACAGGCAAGTACAGGCAAAACACTTAAGAAATCAGCATATAATGAAGTTCATAAAAACCCAGTTTTGGCCACAAAAGTCTTTCAATCATATGGGACAGAGGAAAGTTCTGAAGTCACCTTCCAACAGATTGCATGATGTCCAACAGTAGAGGTGCAGCCAAGTCTGGACTAAGGTGAATGAATGTGGAAAGCACAACTATGGCCAGGCCTAGTGTTTCTTCATCATATTCTTCAAGGATAGCCCCACAATCATGGCACCTAGGGAAAAAAAAAAGAAAAAAACAACCAGTTGCAAAAACAGATATTAATAAATTTAAATCCAAGTATATTATATATGTGTGTATATATACATATATATATTTATAGTTTTAAAAAAAGATAGTTTATTCAACTGAAAATTTATTTAGAAAGGTAACAAAGCTGTGATCTTTCTATCGTCAATAACATAGTCCATGGCTTTCAAACCCAAAAATGCTTTTTGAAAAAACTTTTCATTAGCTGAATTGGCTGTGTCTACTGTTCATCTACTGATAAATAAGAGGGGCACAGATCGGTCCCGAGTACTGGGTCCCTCACTGGCAATTGCTAGCTAATTCTCTGGACTTGGACTGGACTGCTTCTGTCTGTATCACCTACAAGAAAGCCACTAGAGTGCGGGCTAGGCCTCAACAATGTGAATACCAGCTGGTATGTGGCATTTGCCCCAGGTGAGGAATCAGTTCCTGGCACCCTCTATTTCACAGTACAGACATAGACAACATCAGTCACAGATGTTCTTCAGTGAAGCAGTTTCACATTGTCCTTTCTGTCAATCATGAATTATGAAAAAAATATAATTATATAATCTTATATAGCAAGGACAAGGACTTCTCAGGGGCACAGAATCTTAGAGTTCAGAGAAGGCCCCTTTCCCAGGACAGATTTGCTGCTGCGTCACTTATCCCTCCTGAAATGCTATGAAACAACTGTCAAAGTTCTGAAACAGCTCTTTAATGTCTCATCATAAGGAGGATGTCAGGAGAGATGAGACAGGCTTTCTCAACCAGATGAGAGCAGTAAACCAATGTGCAAAACTGGTTTATCTCAGAGCTATAGGAAAGCTTGCTTAATTTGATCAATCAGCTGCTAATGACTCCAATAGATTGTGATATTTTAACTTAATGGAATTGTACAGGCAGTTCTCCTGCCTTCATTATGGAAGTGGAGGAAAAGATGCCAATAAAGTCATGGAAGTCAAGATCATCTGGCCTGCAAGTTAATAACTGGTGCAAGAGCTTTGGGGAAATTGCCAAAGAAAATGCCAAAGATGAGTCTGTCCTTGAGGAGGTTCAATTCATTGCACAATAAAGCCTAGCTCCAATCATAACCCACACAATGGCCCTCTTTCACCAGTGATCATCTTGGATCAGCTGCCTGCTGGGCTGAACATAGGGCTACAAGAACTTACAGCTTCTCGTCCCAGTTTTTGACCAAAACAACACATATCTTTCTGACAGCAGTTCTACTTCTCCATTAAAAGATTACACGTTTGACACTTACCTCAATGGCATTTTAACCAAACAATTACAGTTTGTAAAAGCTTTTGAAGTCAGTGAGGCAAAAAAGCATTATAAATGCTATATTGGTAATAGTCAGAAATGCTGACATGTAGTCTTGACTTCCTGTTTTACTAGAAAACCCATAAGAAGTGAAAAAAAGGGCAGGTTAGTGGATCATATGGAACCATGGGTTTAAAACAGGCAGCAGTATTTCATCCATGAACACAACCAGCTTAAAAAAAAAAAACAGCAGAGAAGCACTTACTTGTCAGTCATCACAGTGGGCTGGTCATCAGCAAATTCTTCTGGTGCAGGAACAAACATACTGACTATACTGGGTGCTGAGAGCAAGCTGGATTTTGTTGCACCTTGAGGCAATCATTAAAAAAAAAAAAAAAAAAAAAAAAAAAAAAAAAAAAAAAGGTTACAAAGTCCACACTGCATTGGCCTGAAGAGCAGATGATTAAATAAAAGCCCTAATGACTTTATTCCACACAGAAACACAAAATACACTTGCCTGCAAAAACTCTGGCATATTCCTTGCTTCTGCCATACTATTCAAATTATCTAGAACTATCTATTTAAAAAATCCTTTAAAAATCCTTTAATAAGATAGTAACAAAAATTCCACAAAGACTGATACAATTCTACCTACTCATTTTTTAGGGAGGGAGGATGAGTTGTTATGAGAACGAACACCAGAAAATTTGCAGTCCTCCCCAGTCTCTAGAAAACTGCCTTCTCCATTTTTGGAGACATGAAGAAAAAAGTCAGTTCACATACCTCACCATGAAGTCACCAATCTATTCATATCATTCCTAACCAAGGAATGGGAATTCGTCATTTCCAGCTATCTGCAGTTTCACATGTAATGTTACCAGTTGCTTGTATAGCCAGTATTTAATTACAGAAATTGGAGGCATCTTCCCCATCTAGGCTAGGTTCAGATAGAATTTCTAATGAGATAGCCCCAGTTAGTGCAGGAAAAGCAAATTTAGTATCATCTCTCAAGGAAAGTGATTTGGGAAGCTTCCACAATATCCAGATTCAAAACATGCGGAGCACTGAAGGTTGATTTGATGGGAAGACAGTTTCAAGCAGTCATTTTACTAAGTATGGAAGTGTATACAGGGTTCAGTTCTTCCCGTCTCCTGAGATTCTGCAGAATATGAAAAGACATTCTAGGAAGTCCAGGATACTCTTCAGTAATGCAGGACACCATCCAGAGCATACGGAATAAGAGTAGATTTGCCTGTATTTCTAACCAAGCTTTTTCTGCTGACTGAATAAAGACTCTTATATTAGGAATGTGAAAGTGTTACTGCTGTCATATCTAGACGCAAGTGCTATTGCAGCATGTAATGCTAAAAGCTGTTATAATGCAGGGTACGATGTTGGAATGAGACTTAATTACTTATAAAACAAATATCCTTCTCCCATGCACTCAACAGGAGTAGAAATATGATCCAAGTGAAAAAAAAAAAAGGTAGCTTGCTGCTCCAGTGCAAGAAAGGCTGTATACTTTTGGCTTTGGAGCAGGAAAGGTCCTAAAGCTAAGAAATGAGATTCAACCACTGTGTATGGCATCTTTTACTTCCAGATTGCCAGTTCAAGTCAAGCTAAAGTAGCTATCAGCAGAAAGTCAGTATCTCTTACCAGCTGCTTCTGTCTTAAATGAAATGTCTTATCTGATAACTTGTCAATAATATGTTCTGCATGACAGTTGAGGACTTTAGTAATGCTAAAAGGAGCAGAATAAACACCTCCACTTAAAACTAAGAAACAGCCCTTTCTTCTCAGTCTTAATAGAGAGAACAAGTCAAATGAAGACTGAACTAACCTCTGATTCTCAGTGGGGGTCCCTCCAGGTCAGGGTTTAGGCAAACAGGGACATTGCAGAGCCGCTTCCCATGCTGTATCTGCTCTGTGAATAAATACAGAACTTCAGCCTCCAGCACTATAAATCCAGCATCTGTTACCTGCACTACAAGTCCTAGACAATTAAAATAAACAAAAAAAAAAAAGAAAAAAACAAAAAACAAACACAACAGCTAGCAGGTAAAAAAAAAGTCTTTAAGCACAGAAAGTACAAAGGAAAATGAGAGGAAGAAAGAAAGTAGTAGTCCGTGAAGGAAAAAGGATGCAGATTAAGTAAAACCAAAAAAAGGCATTTTAGAAAAGCGTCATTTAATAAGAAAGAGTGTACATTGTAAAGATTGAGCAAGAAATGTAATATGTAGAGAGTCACAAAAAGAGTTAAGATAATGTTTAGAAATACCAAGACATTAGAAGTTCATGGACAGTTTGTGCTGACAGAAACTAGACATGCAATGATCTTAGTTTCTCATACTCGTTCTCTGTGAAAAGTGGTTTGAAATAAGAAATGAAAAGAGAGAAGTGATATCTACTGTCTTCTACTACGGTTAAAAAATATAAAGCATACATGAAGTGATATATTCCCATATGCTTGTGTAGTATAAGACTATTTCACAGCTGTTATACCTGAGAAGTAGCCATTTGAGACTTAGCCCCAAAACTTGGTGTGACATTGAGATGGCAAGTAGTCACACAGCATTTGTCCTGAAAAAAAGCTGTTTTAACCATCCAAATAATAATTCTGTTTTAAAACTAATGGTTGAAAGAGACACTGAGGTATGTGAAAGCTTTCTGGAAAAACACATTTCCCTTAGTATTTCTATGCTTGGAGCGTTGTAGATGAAATGAATATTGGCAGAAAAAGTCACAGAAGTTGTGAAGAAAGCTCATGAGCATGGAACAAGATTAGTAAGATACTATCCCTGACTGGTTTGAGCACTGACTTGTCCCTCTGGAAGACAGGCCAACTGTTTCTCCACAGAATGAAGTCATCAAGTTACTCATTTCTAAAACTCTGCCTAATAAACTAGACTATGCCAACTGAGTCCTTTCCACAAACTTACCTTTTATTAATTGCTACCATTGAAAATTTCTGAATGAATTAAGGATCTCATACTGAGCGTTCTGCTCGGCAAACTAGAGTATAAAGGGAGAATCGTGCACCTAACTACAAAATTCCACTTTTGACCTAAGCTTGATCATTTCTTTCCAATGGCAGAACAGAAATACTCACTTTTTTAATATTGGTTGATAGAAACAATAATTGTTTTAAGGGCATAGAAATAAAGAACAGAAATGCAGCTCACCAGTATCCCAAGTGCTGATATTGTGGGGAGCACTAGACTGGTGTTCCAGCTGTCTCTTCATTAGCTGGTTCATTGTCAGAGCTCCCAAAGAGCCTCTTTTCATTTGTCTGAACTGAGCTGCAAGTCAGAAATGCAAGAGTTCAGGGGCTCACACAACATGTAAAACTACTCTCATTTCCTGATCTTACCAATCAGAAAAATATAAAAACTGACAGGACATGAACTGCTGCTGTGAAAGATCTTGCTCAAGGCAATGTGCACTTCTCACACAACTATATGGGATGAAATTCTGGCCCCAGTTATGTGTCATCAACAACTCGAATCCAGGATCTCACCCACTGTGCCAATTGTCAGTGCCTTTTCCTCACCATGTCATGAAAGCTCTTCAAAGCACTAGGTATCTGTGAGGTATAAGACACCACTACGAAGCTCCCATACAGACAGGTGATAAATATACCCTTGAATCTCACTTGCACGCAATGTGACAAGTAAGAGAGGTCAATCTCCGCACAGCAAAGTATGGGGGAGTACTCTGTCCTTGCTTACTGGAGAAAACAACGTTCACTGACTGCAAACCATCGGCACCTATCATGGATATGACAATCCGAACAGGCCTCCTGACCAGCCACCACTGAGACATCTTTGCAGAGAGGTCTCCACCTTTATAACTTTCCATGCTCTACTTATACTTCTCATTCCTCTTATATGACTATACCTACCAAGGAACTAGCTTTTCCTTTTTTTTCCCCCTTTGGATATTTACAGTACTTCCTTAAATGAGCATTACTCTGTTTTAATGTATACGTCTCAGGAGACAGTGCTCTCAGAAAAAAAGTAAAACAGTGGGGACTTATAATTTAGGAGTGCTATTGTCACGTATCTTTTCAGTGCTTAAATGTAGGTAGAAACAGGTCACACAACACTCCTGACTTTCCAAGTTTCTCTCCTTTCATAGAAGAGGTTACATTGAACAAGACTAACTCCCTTTCCCAGTTGAGTCTGAAAATGCATTTCTACCAACGAAGCCAAAATCACAGCACAAAGTGAGTCTTAGAGCTCACGAAGCAAAGCTTTTGGATGTGTTGCCTTAGCTATATGTTTAAGTGCTTTCCTGAAGGCTTTGAGTATTTCATTGCAGCAAAGATAACAAAACAAAATCGTCTTCTTACTATCATTCTAATCTACAACTATATCCAATGTCATTTAAAATCAGTATTAACATAATGTCAGATAGTTAATTCTAAAATTCCTAGTAATAATCAGCTAAGCTCTGAAAATAAATCCAGTCTTTCACCTTATTAACTACCAACAAGAGATAAACTAGAACTTTCCAAAAGCTTTGAGGGGGTTCAATATTTTGTTCCTAAACTGGATCTATTCATTTTCTAAATGAAGGTTTCAAATTCATAGAAAGCTGAGAATTCCCTAACAAAAAAAACACAGGCACAGAATAATAAAAAGCACAATGATAAACTTCAGTGGAAATTTGCACACTGAAACAAATTTATTAGAAGTAGTTTAAGTTTTCCCTCATTACATCCTTTCACTGCAGAGTACATTTTTAACTCTATTTTTAGCCCAAGTACAATAAACTCCTCCAAGCCTGCTGCAAAGCAGTTCTTGTATAACTGAATCAAACCAAATTCAATGTTTGACTTGAAGTTATTTTGCAGCGGCCTTTCATAGCAAATTAGGAGTACAATATAATTTCCATCGTTTCCAGGACAAGGATTTTAAATAGATGTTTTATCACTTTACCAACCACAGAATTTCCTGATGAAAGAAGAGCAATTAACATTAGAACTGACAAGACTGCTTGGAGTGCAGATGACTGTCAAAACCTAGAAAATTATCTCTTTGAATTTTCTTAACAGCTTTTATGATTGTAATTAAAACTTTTCATGCATATCTCACATTATCAGGCTACTGTTGAGCATGTTTAGATTCCTAGGATTATTTACCTGATTTTTTCAAGGGCAGCTGTGATTTCAAATATAGGAAAAAAAAATCCCCAAACAAAAATCCTAGAAACTTGCAAGCCTTGGAGACATACTAGAGCCAGGCTGGTTGCTGCAGAACAGCATGTGACTTTTCATACCTTATTACTGACCAGAACGAGGAAAGTTTTATCCTAGACTTTCTTGACAGGAAAATAACAGCCTAAAAGGATGGATAACTTTCATATGTTAGCTGGTGATATTTTTATATGTCAGCTAGCAATATGATCATTCATTCTTCCATTTCTTCCATTCTGTTCATTCTTCCATTTCTGTTGAATTGTCTACACAGAAAAAGCAGCCCCGTGACAACTGTTTGACGACGTGTGTTGTCATCACGTTGATGACATGTGGTCTGTGGCCACGCACTGGCTATACAGTGTTACGTATTTGTGTTATGGGAAGTGCCTGTGTGCACAACTCTGATCATTGCTTATTACACTAAGGACTGTAAAGACACATAGTAAAAGATTAAAAATATTTCATATAAATAGACAAGAGATAGAAAGAAGCTATTCAGGAACATGGAGAAAAGAAAAGCATACGCAGGAAGAGTTTGGATTATATATGATGTTGGGACTATTCCAGAGTCCCTATACTGGAATCTACAGAAACATCTGGCATTCAGGAAAAGCTTGCAGAGACACACCCTACCTAGCACCCCTTCAGCTGCTTTTAAATTGCACATGGGTCATTAGGTAGCCAGACAGTGCTCACCTCAGACTACGTGAGGCACCTCACACATGATGCTTGTGGTAAAACTGGAGAGGGAACCCGCACTCTGAGTCCTTATCTGGCATTTTCACAATAACATTATCCTTTAACAAGCCAGTTACCCCTTCGAGCAAATTCAGCAGATACTGCATTTCAAGCACATAACCTTCCTGCACCGATCTGACAGTCCCATTGAGTGAGATGACCGGGCTGAGCCAGCCACTCACTGTTGTTCAAGCAGGTCACCGTTTCCCCTCCTTTTTCTACCAGCAACAGAGCCTTCCCCAAACAACCCTCGGTAGTTCTGAAGCACTATCCAGATGGACACACCGTTTTGGATTCTGTGCACGTTTTTCAGGAAGTCTCTGCTTTTAGCTGCTGCCTTCCCTAAGTTAGGAAAATTAAGATCATCAAATCACAACAGAAAATTCAGCAGCCACTCGCTGCTAACATCCCTCTGAGCACCTGAGATTGCAGACCTAACCCTAACACCTAACACAGCTGTATTTCCAAGTATCCATCACATTGAGAAGGAAGAATTTCTTATATATTAAATATACACCTGATTATAAATGCAGCAACTAAGACACATTCCCCAAAGCAGCAGTAAACTTACTTGATATGGAAGAGTGACTACTTGTCTCTGGCACTCCTGCTTCCAGGGTCGGTGCAGAGGATGATTCTCTGGGCATTTCCAGAGTTGACAGTCCTTTTGCAGCAGGGTCTGCATATGAAAATGATACTTAAATTCTCAGGATTTGGAATCAATAAATATTTTCCATCAGCTTTCTCCCTGGATGCCTTTTTCACATCTTTTCAATTTTCCTACTACCATCTGGTATTTCCCACAGTTTTAAAATGATTCAGTGTGTGGTAATTACCAAAGAAGCACAGGAGTTTATTATTTAAATCACAGTCAAAGGAGTCTGGTACATATGGATCTTAAAGTTCAGAATTAATAAATGTACACAGAATTTGATTTCAATCCCACTCAGAGAGTGATCGTTAGAACTGCCAATATGGAAATAAGAGATGCTTTATTAATGTAAACTAGCTTAAGTGATAGATTAGCATCTTTTAAAGATTTAATTCCATTGATTTTCAGTCAAAATTGGCTGACCTAACAATTGCTCAAAAACATTCAAAAAATAGATGACTCAATAAAAAATATACTATTTAAGCTGATGTTTTATTTTATGGTAACAGATACTGTCAATATGGAAAGGATAAATCAAAAGAAATATTCAAGTATTGTTGCCTGATTTCATGATAACTAATACAAAATGATTTTGTATTTTGTATTTATGTATGGATTTGTGCTGTAAAAAGTCTTATGTAGGAAACTGCACTGCAGAATTGTTCACTTGAAGAAACAACCCATTAAGATATTTAATTGATAGATCAGAAACCATTCTAAATCATATGAAAATATTATAGGCTAAGCCAGAATAAGACTTCAAAATCATAACTGGCAAATTATAATGGTGATAAGGCTATATAAATGAATAGCAGTAAGTATGTTACCAAATAAACTAAACAACAAGGATAAACAAAGCAAAATAAAACTTATGAAGACAGAAATTAATCTAAATCATCAAATTACCAAGTTACTGAACTGCCTGTATCAACCTATAACATCCATGAACACTTAGTCAGTGCAAATGGAAGAACTTCTTTCCCGTGTGGGTGACAGAGCCCTGGCACAGGCTGCCCAGGAAGGTTGTGGAGTCTCCTTCTCCAGAGATCTTCCAAACCTGCGCCCCGTGCTCTGGGTGTCCCTGCTGAAGCCGGAAGGTTGGACTAGAGGATCTCTAGGGGTCCCTTCCAACCTTAATGAGTCTGTGGTTCTGGGAATGGTTTATGCTTCCTCTTGGATGACAGCTGCATGTAACATCTATAACACAAGTAAATGTTCTAGTTCTGGGTTCCATGTGGTGTGTCAGAACACAGCTCCAAGTATGTTAGCAAACTTAGATATGAAAACTAGCCCGTTCTGATGTACGAGTCAAAAAAGCATCGAGTATAAACATACTGTTCTGTTACGGTCATTATTCTCCAAGAATTTATGTGGAAGGTTCAAAAGCATTTGCTTTTAATTTGTTTTACAAAGCTACAGAGCTTTGTAAAAGCTTAGTATGATAGCTTAGCTTACCAGAACTACAGTTATTATATCTTAGCTTACCAGAACTACAGTGGGATGTAGTTCTCAAACACAGGGAATAGCATAATTATGATCACTGAATGATTTGTCTATGTAGTGAGAAATTATAATATGGTTCTCTCCAAAATGACCAAGAAAGAAGCAAGGCCAAGAATACATAAAAATTGCCCTTCATTTTACTGGCAACAAAAAAACTGAAGCCTGAGGAATGTTTTCCCTTTCATATTAATAGTAAATTGATTGATAAAATTTCAAAAAATGAAATATCCTTTTAAAAAAATAAAAAAGAACAGACACAGAAGCAACAAGTCACCAGAATGTACTTCTTGAAATTGTCTTCAAACACATCCAAGTGGCATCTGAGCACAGTTAAAATACACTGCTTTTCTACTTGAAAAACTAAGTAACAAAATCCTGTACTGAAATGACTCACGCTAACTAGGGATACACAGAAATACTGCACGTCTTCTCCAAAACTGTGCTTTAAATCCTAAACAAACACAAACCTTGCAAACTTTGTAAATATCCATGTGTCCAGGAGGTCAAAGGATTCTTTAGTGTATAAAAACTAAATATGGGCAAATCTCTAATCCTAAAGGCAAACTGCAGCTAATTCCATTTGCTCTTAGATCTGGAGAGGTCTGCAAGCTTTACCCTTTCTGATCCGATTTGCTTTCTACTGCTTTGTGTCAGCAGAAGTAAAACTCAAGTCCAAAAACACCACACACAAAGATAAACAGTGTAGCACGGACTAGATTAGCATGTTTTAAGGATAAAAGGCACAAGTAGGACTTTTTGTTTGTTTGTCTGTTGCTAAAAGTTTCACACCTTTTGATGGGAGTGGTTGAGCTCACCTGCCTCCTTCTGCTCTCCCAGCTTATCTAGGATGTTAAAGGAAATGTCCAGGTATTCTCTCTGAATCGCACTCACAGCGATCTTCCTCTGCTTCCTCTGGCGGGGAACAATCTGGATTTTAAACTCAGACTCCTCAGCCTCCTCTTCCTGCTTCTGCTCCACAGTTTGTTCAGGGTCAGACTCTGCATTGGTGTCAAGTTTATCACTTTCTATTTGGTTTTCGGAATCCTCAGGAACTTTAATAAGGACTGTTTTGACATTTGGGCTTGGCATCGCTCCGCTAGGTCTAATTTCTTCCACGCTGAATTCAGAATTATCATCGAGGGACATTTCCGGGAGGGCAAATGACTTCTGCAGCAGGTCCCTTTTCTGTTTCAGCGTTAGCGAGTTCCCACAGGACACATCCTGAAGTTCCCCTGGCTTAGCTAAATCTGAAGAGTCCTTTCGATCTCTGGGAGAAGGGGAAAGGATCTCCTCCTTTCCTGTGGAAGCACTGTTGCTTGCATCCTTGGAACTGAAGTCTTTGGAGCAATCTTCAATGCTGAACTGGACCAGAGGAGTTGTGCTGAGGCTGAGAGCAGACACATTTATCGGAGTTGAGGGTGACGACACAGCAGTTTTGCCAGAGACCTCCTCGTTCAGCTGGTTTGCTGCTTCTTCCTCATCGCTCTCCACTATTCTAAGGGGAGGAAGTGGTTCAAAGACTAGAGAATCACTGTCTGATGTGGAGAGCACTGAATGCTTTTCAGGACCTGATGTTGAGTCGGAGGACAAATCTATCAGATCCAAATCCTCCTTGGGACCAGAAGGTTTAACAGGAGAATCCACTTTCACTTCATAGGTTTCCATGCAATTTAACCTGACTTCTGGTATGACAGGTCGTCGTATTTCCTGAAAACTCTCTGTAGGAGGGGGCGTTTCCTGTGTTTCTGTATTTTCAGCTTTGGTAGAAGAATTCTGCCGAGGTCGTCCATAATCATTCTGTCTGTGCATGGTGTACGCAGCAGGGACAGGTGGTTTTTCTAAGTCACATCGGTCTATGCAGGACTTCCTACGATGTTCATCTAATGTAAACAACAGGGAGTCTGCATTCCCTATATCAAGAGATTTTTGTTTTAGAGAGCGCAGTTTTTTTTTCTGTATGCTTTCTTCTCTCACACAGCGTAGAATACTGTCTTGTAAGGCCCCCGTCTCTCTATATTCAGCCAGCTCTATTTCACCTGATTAAAACAGAAAGAGCTGATACTATCTTGGTTGAAGACTTTGGGCAGGTATTTGCATTTTCATCTCACAATTTAGCACATAACTGGCATTTCAGAGAGAAACCCAGTACTAGTTACATATCAGTCAAAACTGCTGAAGATTTGTTTTAACCTCAGAGGCACATTACATAAATTTTTACAACAAGCAACAGAGGTGCCACTACATCAATAATTCTACTCATCCTGGATAGGTGTACCCTGAAGGATCCACTTGATCCTATGCATCAAATAGAAGATGGCACAGAACAATAATTTCTGCAACTGCTTGGGATGGCTGCATTATGGATGAGAAGTGGAACAAGAAATGAGTTACACAGATAACCTCAAATAGTTTTGAACATAATGGTAATTGAATTGTAAATTCTATTGTAATTGAATTTAATTACAGCTTTGTGCACAATGTACATTAGAGCACATCTATGTGTTTCTATTTATAGCAGCACAGGCAGGTTTAACCAGAGTGCTTTGAATTCAAGCAAGGGTAGCAACAGAAGTCCGGCTGTGGCAGCACAAGCTTCAGCACAGACAACTGTCCAGAAAAGTAATCCTCCAGAAATGTAGTTGCTAGTCTCTGCTGGGGTTTATCTCATCATATAGTCACAGCTTTCCATCCTAGTAGGAGTAAAGGGAGCACAGTGGTGCTATCGCTGGACTTCTAATCTGCCATATGAAAATTCTAAAAGATAAGCGTTTTCATGACATGTAGTCAAGTAAAACATAATATTGCTGATCATTATCAGACCCCTACTTCAAAATAATCCACATAACAATTACCATGTGTAAAAGCAACAAGAAAGCTGCTTGTTTGCAGATGTTGGTTCTAGGGTTCTAGTCAGAATGTTTTTCCATAAGAAAATAAAAAAAGGTGGGAGCTCTCGGATGATTTAGTTTTAGGGTGTACCAGGATGATCAGAGGCCTGGAACATCTGCCATATGAGCAAAGGCTGAGAGAGCTGGGCCTGTTCAGCCTGGAGAAGAGGAGGCTGAGGGGGGACCTGATCAGCGTGTATAAATACCTCAAGGGAGGCAGTGAGGAGGGGGACGGCCTCTTTTCAGTGGTGGGCAGGGATAGGACTAGAGGAAATGGCTTCAAACTGAAGCATCGGAAGTTCCACAGGAACTTAAGGAAGCATTTCTTCACTGTGAGGGTGACAAAGCACTGGAACAGGCTGCCCAGAGAGGTTGTGGAGTCTCCTTCTTTGGAGATTTTTAAAACCCGCTTGGATGCAGCCCTGTGCCACGTGCAGGGGGGTTGGACTCGATGACCTCCGAGGTCCCTTCCAACCTTCGGCATTCTATGATTCTATGATTTCAAATCCCCAAATCTGTAAAGAGAACTCTTCTGTATTTTTTGGAAACCAGCAATTCACCCTTTTATTTAATGAAAAACTACCAAATTTGTTACAACAAAAATAACCTGTCTTAAAATTCCACACAATTAAAAAGTCAATTTCTATTAAAAAAAAGAATAAAAGAAGGTTATAACAGACCTTCTTAACAAACTTTCTGATGTTCAAAAGTTTTCAGAAAACAACTGCTAGTTTTACATGCTTAAATGTGCACTAACTTCAAAAAAAAAAGGTGATAGCTTGAATCTAGCATGTATTTCTGCATGAGTTTATGTTAATAAAATTTCATACTTCTCTGAGCATTCATCTCAACTGGTTGATATTTCACCATTTTGCTGCCACCAATTCTTTTCAGTCTTGCAAAGAAAGTTTGAGACTCTTTATTGCAAGGTCCAGTTGGCGTATCATGAATATCAGATTCATCAAAAACACTGTCTTCCTCTGCTGGAGAGAGAAAAAATGTTAATACTTATAGGAGAGTGCAGTTTCTTAAATGAAAAACAGTCGATGTAACAAATAGACTAGTTTAAATTAGCTTTGAATTGAAAAATGAAGATTCATCTGAGACTTGTAAAGAAACATGTAGCCCAAGTATATCCTTTGCCATTCTTTTTACATTTTCATTTTTTAAGGTCTGAAAGGACAAGAATATATTGAAAAATAGGATTCAACACAACAAAAGCATTCCAAAGCTTTTACCATCCTAATCTGCTTTTTCCTACTAGGAAGACAACAGATTCCTTAGAAGGAAGAAAAACCACAAATCTGGACACTGACTTTATTACACAACTGATCATAGCGCTCAATGAAAGAAATAGAAATTAGCACAAGAACTGCAAAATGAGTGCAAAAGAGAAAAGTAGAAAGAGTTTGCTTGTGGAGTTCTACGAGAATTTTAGGACAAGTTTAAATATTTCTATGAGTCACTTACTAAATCTATAATACAAAAGTACAAATAAGACCAATATGAGGTGGATAACCACCAAGAAGGATAATCTAAGGAAAAAAGTAGTTGCAACAGAGTGAGACCTCGCCATGAGTAATTATTGATATGGGATGTAATAGCAAAACATCATGCTTCAATTTGAGACCTTGCAGTTGGAGATGGCAGTGAAGAAAGATTCAAGTCTATTCATCCAAACAATTAGCATATGTTACTTGTATGAAATGACTATTAAAAAAATAAAAATCCAAGCCTATCATGTGTCTCGTGAGGCATCTCAAAGGAAACAAGAGACATTACTAAAGTATTAAAGAAAACAAAGCACTCATCTTAAAAGAAGAAACTAAAAGAGTTTGCCATGCTTATTCCAGTAAAAAAGCACCGAGAGGCTGTCTAGGAAAGAAGACAAGCCTCAGAGTTACAATGACTTAAAAATGAAGACATAAGGAAGACATTAAAATATTTTACTTCGAAATTGGTGGAAGGTTTCTAATAAATGTGAAATTATGGAACAACCACCTAAAAGCATCAAGGATTAGAAACCCAAATGATAAGATGAAACCAGAAAATTAAGAAAATCAGTTGATAATACAGATTTTTGCAGGGACTGGACTTAATATACTTGGAGATCTTCTATGTAACTGGTATTGAATTTTTCCCTCCGATTCATCATCACAGGATTCATCATCATTTAGCTCTATAACAATCTGTAGATATGCCATGACCCCACTCACAAAGCGTTGCAGAAAAATTAGGACAGCAGTTCAGAACTTGGAAAACCCATCCTTGGCAGAGATTCTTGTGGCCTAACCACAAAATCCTCGTGCTGATCATCTAAAGATCACCTTTAACGATGACAGAAGCTCACATACTACCTAGCTAGAAAATAAACCAGCCTCCCTAAGAAAGGTGAAATGGGCTTCAGGTTTCCATATGCCTGTGGAATGACATTGGCTGTTTCTTGCATACGGAGGAAAACTTCCTTTTATTCTCTTTTTGCCCTTGTGTACAATTGCAGGAAAAGGAGAGATTCACTACTTTGATTAAGTCAGAATTTAAAAAGTAAAAGTTTGCCTCTTTATAGTCCTTTACTTCTGACCAACCCCCAAATTTTTGCAAGCTTGGGAAGCTAGTAAATATTATTCACCCTACCTTAAATATGAGAAACAGTGATGAAATGAGACAAACAGCCACTAAGGAAAACGATGTCAGATCCATGATAGAAACACTGATTTTCTAAACCAGCTTGGTACTGAACAGCAAGTGGACTCTCTAGGACCTTCCCTTAGTCTTGGAAACTTCTCTGAATCAACACAGACATTGAATCTTTTATAAATTCATCTTAAGAGTCTTAATCCTTCTCTGGCAATGTAATATGTTCAAATGAATTAGAATATGCAATGTATCGTTTACATCCATTTTAAGGTTGCTTTAATTTGCTAGAACTGGTTAAGTTCTTCACATAAACAAAATATGTGGTCTTTGTTCTGTTGGATATCTTTTCATTGAGCAAAGAGCAGCAAAAGAGAAAAGGTACTGACATGCATAAAAGGACAGAGTGCTCCTTGCATTCTTCTTCTTCAGGAAGAATAGTTTGCTGCACACTAGGAAGAGTGTTCGAAAAGGAGGATGTAAATAACAAATGACTAAAAGTTAGCTGTAGTTTAACATCAAAATAACCTTTTAAGCTCCGATTAGATAAACTTATAATAAACTTTGCAGTTGTAGGGTCAATCACATTCAGTGACATTTATTACTTCTCAGGACCTAAACTTACACCAGTTCACAACATCATAGTACCTTTGTTATAGCTGGCAAACATATAGAGAAAAGTTAACAATCAGACACAGGTTTTGCGGTTGGAAGCATCCTCCTGTGCGCTCAGAAATCTATATCACACATGTTTGTATCTAACCTAGGTCAGCTCCAGCTCCTTTCACAATCAAGAAAAAAAAAAAAAACCATAGACTGAATGATCATTTTCATACTTCAATATCTACTGTTTGTTAGTATACATGTTACTATAAACTAGGTAACATATAGCATTCACTCTTCTACCATCTGCTTTGGAATGAAGTTATCTGCACTCCTAAAGCACTGGTTTTCCTCTTAACTCTGACAGGATTCTAGACAGCTAGGGCATATAGATTTCTAAATTTACTCAGATGAAACCCACCCCCAATATGTGCAAATAGCTGCTGCATGCTAATGGATTGACTGCATTTCCTGTGTGTGGGTATGGTTAACCATCAGCAAATTTGCAAGCAGTTTGAATTTGCAATTCATTAAAAAAAATAACAGCTAGTCAGGCATGGTGTCTGAACTAGTGAGTCCTCAGTTCACTCCCTCCAAGTTAGGCTGCTCCAGACAAATGGCATGTTTCCCTTCCTATTGATAGCTCTACTTGGTCACATGAATCACATGTTGTCTTCATTCTGAGACCTATGTTCTAACCTCACACCACACTTACCTTTTATCTGCAACAGTGAGACTTAATGAAGTAAATTAAAGAGTATCACAAAAATTAGACTGTTTAAAATACCTTTTTCTTTTTCACTGTATCGGCTTATGTTACTGTTGTCACTATACAAAGGACCAGCAGTTGCATGGGGCTTGCAGCTGTGATACTGAGCATTGAGGGTATTGACTGTGATGTGGATTAGGTGAAGTACAATCTTGCTGATTTCACAGTCTCTGTAGGGGTACTGTTCAGTGAAAGAGAAGAGCTTCAGCTTAAAAACTAATTTAGGATAAACATTTAGGCAGTAAAAGAGAAAAATGACAAGAATATTGTCAGCTGGATGCCCTTTGCCTTACTTTGATCTTACAATTCTAAACACATCATGAGAAGCAGGCCTGTTTCCAGCTTTGTACAGACATTTATTACGTAGTTTCCTTGTCTTTTTATATTACAAAACCAATTATTAATAATATTGCAAAAGGTTGCAATATCAAAAGTAACAAAAAAATTCACATCATCTTTGCATGTAAAGACATGGTATTTTAATAACACTTTCTAAAAGCAGCACTTAACCAAGGAATAGAAGTTGTTAAGTTGACTCACTCCATTTAAAAACTATTTAGCTTTTAAAAATGAGTACTGAGTTACACAGAACACTGTCCACGACCTTTCCTGTCTATCAGCTTTTGGAAATGTATATAGCATTGTTCTGTTTTCAAATATTTTTCCTTTCAAATATTTTTCCTATCTCAGATAATTGAAAAACAATACAGACAGCAAGAAGAACATGTCACTAGCACAGATGAAAGCGTAAACTACTTCAGACAAATCAAATACATGTAGTAAGAAAAATCACAGAAGAGAACTTTTTAGTACCTTTCATTCATTTGCAGTAATTTAGGTGCTCTATCTCTAATAAATTTCACTTTGAAGTATGAATTAGAAGGTGGATGGCATCTTGTCAAAGCCACTCACCTTATAAAGGATGACAAGTAAAGCCTTTAACCACATCTGCCGAATGTGAGGCTTGAGGGACCAAAGGGAGCAGCGAGGAGGCTGCTGGAAGTAATGCCTTAGCTGAGGGCAAGTGCAGTATTTCAACACCTGCACCACCAAGGGAAGAAGGTGCTTTCCAAGGTTGATGTTATAGTCCATCACCTGAAAAGAACAGTAGCACAGGAGTTAGTTCACAATGCTGATGCTGAAATGCAAAATATCTAATGCGGTTTAAATGTTAGTTAAGTGGAAATAAGTCTGTTTTCAAGGCAGTCTCACGGTTAACTGCTTGCCAGTTTGTAACAAGTGTGCTGCATGTGTTCTTTCCTAGTGAAACTGCTGGTTTATACCTACCATGACACACCTGACAGTCTCTGCAACCTTCATCCAGGAAGACCTGCCCACAGAGCAGTGCAGGGTCCACATCATCCATCTCCTTCAGTGCTGTATACCTCCCTTTTGTTTTTTGTTAGACCATGGGGACAAGCCTAATTTGCAGACACAAAATGCATCCTTCCTGAACGGGCTGATACAGGATTTTATAAGAAAAACAACTATTTCAGTGTGCAACTGTCTCAGAATTTCCTACTGTGCGCACAGAGGAAAAGAAATGAATCCCATGCCTATCCCTGTAGGGTGCCCTGTTATCAGATAGCTGACACCCACTAACATGGTCCTGTCCTGCAACACCTTGTGCCTGCAGGTCAAGCTACGGTTACACAGCTGGTTCAAAGTCACCCTTCAAGGGAGACAGAGCCCTGCCATTACACAGTGCATCCTATAATGCAGACACATCTTCAGTTGAGTAGATACATGTTTTCAAGATGCCATAGGCAGATTTGGAACAAATGAGCTGCAAAACATGAGCAGAACTCAGCCTGGGATCTGTCATAGTGCACTGCAAGGTTCCCACACATGCTGTACGTCCCCCTCAGACAGGATTGTACAATATTGCCACCACGTGGGGCAATACTGAACTGACTACAAGCAGCAAAATATGTCCACAATTATTGCTAGAAAAAAAAGGCATTTTATCCTTTCAAAAATTTGAAATACTCAGATTTTATGATGTGAAATGTAAACAGAAGCTTTTGATAATGTTTTCTTGAAACATTCCAAGTTCACAATTAAAACCAAAGCACCAGCAAATTAGCCCAGTCCCAATGTTTGCAGAGATGATAGTGGAAAGCAGCTAGATATGACCTAGGGGAGGTACAGGGGGTTGGAATTGTTATCTTCATTACAATGAGAATGTAATAGGACATAACATTACAGGAAAGTAAGGACAACTTTGAGCAGTGTTTGAATTTTACAACAGCTATTTTAAGAGTCTACCAGCTACATAAAGCAATAATACTCTCTTCTCCTCCACTGTAATCCTTATAGGATACTGTGGTGAGGAGAAAGTGGAATTATGGTATTAATGAAGGTTCTTCATCATGAATAATAAGTATTCTGAGCAATGTTTTTCAGTATCACAAAAGGAAGGCTCTTTCAATAAGAATCAAGCCTCAGAAAAGGCTTGAAGGTAGAAGAAAAAACTGCCACCCTTAATTTAAAGGAGGAGAAAGAAGAAACAAGGCAAGTGCTCAAAGTTCTACATGTTTTATGAAATGGGCATCATTCACTAGGAAGGGGAAGAAAGGAATTTCTGGTACGCTCTAAGGAACGAGGGCAGGGAATCTCCTGCAAAGTGAGGGATGCCAGAAAGCTTACAGATTATTCACACAGGGGACAGGCAAGGGCTCAGGACTCCCACATACTTTGGTATAAGGAGGGTTGTTTCTGCGCTCTTCACTCTGTCAGTTCAAACTGCAAACGTGGCCATCTCAAGCTCAGGTAAAGAAAGAGAGCTGCAAAAGGCAGGAATTGCCTTCCCCTACCTGTGCTATTCCGGCGATAAAGGCATTAAAGCAGGTCGACACGCGCATTTTCTGCGGCGCAATCATGAAGCAGCCTTCCTGCTGATCGTAGCCAAGCAGGACATAGAGGTGGCGCTTGACGGTGTTGAAAGCCTTGGCGCTGCTGATGTCCGACTCGGCGCTGCTCTCATCCTTTGCCATGAACTTCATGAGCACGGTTATCAGCTGGTGGACGGTCTGGTGATCAATCCCCGCATCTTCTGGCAGCAGATCTTTTATTGTATTGTCATTCTCTGGGGAGGGTTGTCCTGTCAGTACAACAGGGCCACTGGTGTTATTCCACCCATTTTTGTTTTCTCACATTTAATAAAGCTGCCAATCTCCCCATCCCAGTACATCTCTGCCAAACTGAGTTGCCATTCCTTCATATCAATGTGAATTAAAAGCAAATCCAATTCCATGGTGACCAAATTCTCATCGAGCACAGCCTTCATGCTTTCTCAGTAAATATTAGTGGGAAGAAGTCCTTATTTAGTGCTCTCTACAATGCTGTCATATCTGCTCTTTACATCTTTATTTCACTTGCTCTTTCTATGACACTGTGACAATGTGCACATATGTTCTGTAAGGATGAGCTGATTGCCAGCTCGCTGTGGACTGATCTGACAGGGCAATGAATAACGCTAATTCAGATACTCTCCTAATCCATTTTGCATCCCAAAAGTTAGTGCCTATATGAGCAAAGCATACTTCTGTTCCACTGATGACCTGGTACACTGTGAATCTGTGTCTGCTGAGAATATTGTATGTCCTGAAGAAAGAAATAAAAGATCTTAAACTGAAATTTTCACTTCCCACTGGTCAGTGTACACAGGGCTCAACCAGAGCAAGAAATGCCAGTGCTGATCATTACTTAGTGATTACATACTTCTTTGGCCCCTGCTGATCTAGCTGTTCAACAAATGGTTGACTGAAGGGCTGCATCTTCACAAAATGTTGTCAGAAAAATAAGTATATACATAAGTATATACTTGGCTATATATATATATATTTAAGTATATATAAAGTATTATACTTGGCTATGAGTATATACAGAGGGAACAACTGCAACGCCCAGTACTTGCATTCAAGAACATTTTGTTTACTTGTGCTTTCACTTGAAGTTGAAAGATCAGCCTGATCATAGGTTACCCACTGGATCAGCACATTTAAGATTTACTAATTCCTAAGAGAAATGAAACACTGAATGGTCAAACATTTGCAGAACAACCAACTTCTCTGTGATTATAACTACTAATTTACAATGGAGGGCAGTTTTCAGTACAGATATAGAATAAGACTTGAGCTTACACTTTATAGAAATATCTTGCATAAGTTTACCTTCTGAGTTGGCAAGACCTAGTGCTTTGTTTTTCCTATTCCACCAGCACATCCTCCTTTTCCAACCTACCTGGAGTTTGGTCTGGGGTCCCACCAAGTGCCGGAGCAGACTGCTCATGTCTGGTCAAGCTGACAGCTTAAAGGAAAAAACAAAATAGTACAAACAAAAAACACCACCACAAGAACAACAAACAAAAGAACAGCTCTGTTTACATAAGCAGTACTGGCATCTTAATCGTCAGCATATATTCAGCACCACCATATATGCATTCATTTACTCATGCACTCTTGTCAGGCAGTGAGGTAACTATTTGAAACACGGCACTTCTGTGCTCTGTAGATTTCGTGCACTGGGTTCTGTAATTCTAGTTTTCTTCATCATTCAGTTTTGCTGGTACAAGAGTCATCACACAGGAGCATCTGTGCAGGATCAGAAGCTGATTGAGAAGGATTACATTAGTGTCCCAAAATACAGTGTCGTCTAGTTTGGAGAAAAGGAATTACCTCAAAAACTTTAGCAGTTCATTAGTACCCAAAATTGAATGTTATTGTAAGGATACGAGCAATGTCTGGGGTCCAATCTGAACGCCAGACTAATAGGCATTCTCAAATTCTCAAAATGAGAATAAGTAAGTTTTACTTTTGCTTGGGAAATATCTGTATAGCGCTCCATACAGACCTATGATTTTCTAGCACATAAGCTGTCCTCCTTTCCAAGATAGCAGGAAGGATTTGTTGCATGCACATTCCTTTCTTGACAAAGGAATTCTGAAGATACCCAACCGCTCATCCAAGACTTAGGAGTTGTTTCTAAGATGTCTAGCAAACACTGTATAAATTGACCAATAATTACAATAAATAATTTGTAATTGTTCTATGAATGCTATTTCTATTTTATTCCAAATCACTGTGTATTAGTCACCAAAAAAAAAGATCTGCCTACCAAAAAGCTTTAGAACATTTTGTTTTTGTTGATATTTTAAATAAAGAGAGCATAGAGCATAGACATAATGTTTGTCTATGTTCTTTGCCAGACTCACTGACTTGTCATTATCTGAACAATGTCCAAGTCAGTCAGAAATCTGAATTTGCTTTCCCAGTTGGACACAGATTGACAATTCCAATGAGTTCCCAACAATAGGACACAATCCTAAGGGAGAAGATACAGGTGCGTCACAAACATATAAACAGATACTCAACGAATTTTGGTGGTTAAGGTTTCTGGAAGGGAGAGCGCTCTCTTGGACTCCACTGGTCCCTTCACACTGTCCCTCAGGGAACGCACACTCTTCTGACGATTACGTGCGAAACGAGCCCTCTTGATCTTCCACATTGCTGCATCACTGAGGTTGGCGACATTTGTCCGGACAGCAGTGATAGCTTTGCAAATGCAATTGACCAAGTTAGGATTCATTCCACAGCACGGCAAGGCCCTAATGCTGCCAAGTGCCAAGCGCAAATGGGCCCCAGGTCCCATCGAAGTCAAGAACGCTTCCTACAGGTTCAAGGGGTCCATCTGCAAGGAACTCATTGCATGCGTTCGGTCTAGAACGTGTAAAACCCCAAACCACACAAGTGTGTTAAAAAAAAATAGTTGTTTTTCTTTATTTAGAGATTGAACCAAGCCAGACTCTTTTGGTTGATCCCAAAACTGAATTTCAGGATAAGGGAGTATAAGGTGCCCTCTATTTAAAGTGGCAGAAGCCTGTTAGTATGTGTTATATCTAGTGCACTCATATCAAAATGTTACCTTTAGTTCTACCACAAACTAAATTCTGTCCTGCCTACCTCTATGATCCTGATCTGAACAGGATCTCAAAAATCCTGTAAGCGTGGCTATGCTTTTCCACTGCTGTTACCAGTAGCATCAATGCATCTGTCTCAGTGGAGTCACTAGAGTCTTTCTACATTCATGGCGGTGGCATATTCAAAGCCTTTGAATTTTATTACCTGAGTCACTAGAGCTGGTGACTCCATCCTTTGAACCACTTATGGAAAGGACAAAGAGGAAGGAACAAAGGAATTTTGAAAAATATGTTTTGCATTGTAAAAATTAAATGCTCTCAAGTATTTTTACTTTAAGATATGTCCTTACACATGCAGCTAGAGGGGCTATTGACCACTGCTGAGATGGCCTCTCAGGTCACAGCAATAGCTCCCAATTTTGGGCCAAGCAAACCCAAGGAGGAGAATATGTTTGCAGCTCCATCCATTTCCTAGATGCAGGCAGCAGCATCACCTGGGCTTTTCTAAGCACCAGGCTTCATACAGTGCAAGAGGAGTCATTAGGCTGTTGATGGAGCTGATGCTATGCAGGCAGATGTTCCCCACCTCCTCCAAGCAAGCCAGATGCAAACAGAACTCGCTCATGGCCACCACTTGAGTGAGAAAACTTTTAACTATTCAGTATGTTAAACAAGCATGCACAGGTTATTATTTTAGTCCCTCCCTCCCTTTGCAAGTGAGTGGAAAGAGACATGTAACCTCAGCAAGAAACAAAATAGGGACAGTATAAACATTTACAGAAGTTTGTTACCAGTCCCTGCCAGAACAGTTAACCAAGACTCTGCTCAGTTCCAAACATCTCATGTCATGTCCCATGCAATTGTTTGTGCGTTGGGGAATATGTAGTTCCTAGGCCTGGAATTATACCTTCATCTGGCTTTTACACAACTGGGTCAGGCATGATCTGGCCCTTTGAGAATAGTATGTTAACAGTGCAAGAACTACAAAGGAACAAATACATTAGTATGGCTTGAAGCTGATCCATAACAGAACCAGATCATGTTTCAGCAGGGTCTGGAATCACATTCTAGTGAGAGGTAAAAACACAGTGCCCAAACTTGCAGTGAAACACATCCTAATCTGCATTTGAGCAGTCAAAAAGTGTTTACTTTGAGTTATTCTCTTTTGACATGAAAGATTAGTTAGTTCCATGAAGTTTATGCAGGTGAGGCCTACATCCCTCTCATACCCTTGTAGAGAGCTGTAATTCCAGCAGCTGATAAAAGGCAATCAAAATGATTTGGTTTCTGCTTACTTGTTGGGAAAGGGAATTCTTTGTTGCAGTCCAGATGAAGCTGTGCTTCCAGAGACAGCGTCTCAAAGCGATTCACAAAGAACTCCCAGCTCAAAGCTGGAATATCTGCCTTGAGAAAATGAAGTAGCAAAAGCTTACTAAGAATTGTGGGCCTGTCCTTAACAACTGTGTCAAACTGGAAATCGAGGCAGAGGCAGAGACCCTGTGTAGAAGAAAAACAAACAAACAAAAAAATGCATTGAACTGAGATAAGAAGACACTGTAAGTGTTTTTAAAACTATGGAACGAAGACCACAACTTCCATCAGTTATTACAGAACAAAGGTTTAGCTCCTCTTTTCTAGTGCTTTAAATCAGGAGCAATGATATCAATATCAGCAGAAAAAGGAGATAAACAAGCCCCATATTTAGAATGGTGACTTTCCTACACTGATTTTGAAGAATACAAAGGTATAGACAAAATTCTACCTACTGAGCATTTGGTTCATACTATCACAGTTTAACAACATTTGCAGTTTTCTCCAGCAACAGTCCAAATGCTACAGTAGTCCTTTGGAGCCAAACTTGGGGCTAGGACAGTATCATTTCCTATAGCTTTTTTGTCAACTATCACAATTTGTAAGGCTCGTCTTGTGACCTATTAACAGTGATAACAGAACTGCACACCTGCACCCCCTTGAACTTTGGGTCAAAATTCAGTTTCTTATTTGAGCTTTCCTACATTTTGACTCATATAATGAGCCTACCTGTAAAGCTGGCCTCTTTATGGTGTCAAGTAATAGTCCAGCTCTTGTAGCTACAGCTGGGTTGACATCTTCCACAGCAGTCAGGAAACAGCAGAATGCATGAGCCAAAGAATACTTCAGTAGGTGGTTTTTGGTCACAGAGTGAATATCCAAAAACCTGCACAATACAGCCACCTTCTCCACTATAGCAACCACAACGTGAGAGAAAGCAAATGTTCATTTTAGTTTAGACAGCAGCTTCTTTACAGCCCGACTAAGATGAAGATATTTTTAGGAGATGTGTATCAGAAAGCAAAACCAAAAAATAGCAGGCAAACATGACTATGAATTTGATCTTATTTTAATTATCCAGAATGTCTCATGTTCTCCTCTATTTTGCTGCCTTTTGGGGTATGGTATTGTGATATGGTAAACTATCTCCCAAGCTGCCCAAACCAGCAAGAAGATAACCACCAGTTGCAGTTCTCCTCACTTACAGGTGGGAAAGCTTTATCTCTTCAGCAAAGCAACAAACACACAGCCTGTAATTTCCACGCCTACCTGCTTCAAACCTCATTTTCCAATCTTTGCTGTTGAAATTGCTGTTTATGATTGTCCAGAATATGTCAGCTCCATGGGGAAGTGAAAGAGCATGGAGAAGAAGTGGGACTGCCAGGGAAGAAAGCTGAGAGAACTCAGACTTCACAACTCCCCATAAGCTGCAAAAAACAAAACCAGCAAGTCTGCTTACAAAAGCAATCCTTTGGCATCCTGTCTTCTAAATGACCACACTGTACTGGGGAACGTGCTTTTCATGACAGCCTCTACGAGCCATCCTAAGCACTCGTGCGAGCACTATGATTGCTGGTAGGATTGCTGGTATGGCTCCATACAGTTTCCAAGGATAATTGGATACTACAAAGAGTATGAAAGTATTAGTATTAGAGCCCACAATTGGCTTAAAATTCCAAGTCTTCAAACTTCAGGCTGTCTTCTGAAGCTATATCCAATCTATTTTATTCTGTTGTTCTGCAGTTTTATGAATCTAGAATCTTTTTTCTAGCAAAAATGCTATCTACAAAAGGCGTGAAGGAGAAGCTCAGTGAGTTCGAGTCTTAACTCCCTTGTAGTAAAACACCTCATACAGTCACAGCAGAAGGAACAGAGCAAAATCAAGATTTATTTCCAGGCAGACTGAGGGCAAAATGAAGTGCTGATCAAAATCTTTCATTAAACATTTTTTCATTAAACATTTTTCCCCATTTCTTTGATAAAACCTTATTAAACTGTAAACTCTTGTACGTCACATCCAAGAATGCCTAGTTGGAATGAAAGTATGAGCAAAATGTGTGAGAGCCTACCTTGCAATCAGCATGTGATTTTGAATATAGGCTAGAAATTGTGGATGGTCCTTTCTTGCTATGTACAGGCATTCTCCATGAAGACACAGAATCTTCAGACAGTTCAGCATATTAAAAAGAATGTCTGGCTCTTCAAATCTTGACATTTCCTGTGCAAGCAGATGTACTACTCTCAGCACAGTGAAATCACTAACCAAAACTTGGAACTAGACAAAAAATCAATATTACCTGCAGTATAGTATATATGAGCTTCAGGGTGACTGGGAGTTGCTGATAACAAAATTTTCTTTCCGTGTCATTTTTTATAGCTGTTAAAATTCAAGTTACATAAACTGTTATTAGAGTATTGTATTCAAAGTAAAATTAAAGGACATAAATGTGACAAGAGATAAATCAACTCTACAATAGGATAAAACAGCAAGGGATTCAGCATCTAATATTTTTGCTACATCAAATGCTTAATATGCTTACAGAGAAGTATCTTTAAAGATTTTGGAGAGTCAGTTTGGTTTGCTACCAACATAATACAGTCTTCTCATAAACTCAGAATGCTGGAAGTCCTAAATGCATGAGAGAGTACTAACAGTGCAATGCTGGATTTGAAAGACTGCTTGAAAAACGTGTATTCCTTTGAGAGGTGTCCCACTCGAAGCCTTACTGAAAACTCCATCCCTCCTCATCCTCAACCTACCAGTGTTTTCTGTGGTCTCTGTGTGATTTCCTGGGTTTTCTCCATGTTTTGGTGCTGATTTATCTTCCTCTTCTCCTTCAGTTCCTATAATAAACTCAGGTCTAGTATACAGAAGACTATCCTCAAGGTTATCTGTGGGCTCCTTTAAGAACATAATAAGTTAAATTCGTTTCTTGATGTTATCCAAATACAATAGGCCAAATTCTGCTGTTTAAGTTAGATTGTACGTGGAGAAAAAAAAAAAAAAAAAAAAGAGCCCAAGTGAGGAAGAAACTGTCACTATGACACTTGTGCATTTAAATCATTTGCATATTTAAAATTTTGGATTGGCAAACGCATGCTGACTATGAGACTATGTTTCATAGCTTTGCAAGACCTTAGCAGAACTGTGTGTCCTTATTGGAGCTGAGAATACAGACAGAGGCTCCAAGATTTACCAAACTTAGCATGTTTGCCTTGGAAAAGTCACTCCATTGCACAGAGAGCAGGACATACTTCTCTTTGCACTATGTAGTTATAGGCTTAGAAGCAGATGCTATCTCAAACACTTTTACATTGAAAAAATAAAATACAGCCCTGGGTGTCCAGCAACTTAGGAATACAAGTGGCTATTGCTACTGTTATAAAACTCAACATTGATGCTAGAAATGCTACAAAGCCCCAGTCACTGAAGAGTCTTTACCATTGCCTCTTTCCATCTGAGACAGGAATCTGAACAGGAAAAGGCATGAGATGACTCTTCTAGAAAATGTTACTGAATTGGGTGTCCACAAAACCGGCTAGTAGCACGTTCATCAGAACGGAATTGCAAACCTTTTACACACCAAGAGGATCACTGTGCCCACCATCAAAAATAAATGACTAAAAGAACCTGTTACGACCACACGTCACTTGCCGTAGTAAATCATTAGGATGAGAGGAGTGGTGGCACTTCCTGAACTGTCAGATGGAAGAGCACATACAATAAATATTCAGGTGGAAATAAATTCATCTAAATTCATCACATGATCAGTACTGTTTAAAGTCACATGTGACTTTGCAGAAGAAATAAATGTGACTAGCAGAATTTGGTTGAGATTTCCATGTCTAATAAAGCTGGATTCTGAACATGAAATATTTCAGGAAAATCTGCATTTTCAATAATCAAGTATCAAATAAGGTTTTTCAAGGTGCCCATTTGAGAAATAATTCAAAAATCTTTCTAAAACAATATTCATTTGAGAATAACCACTCAGCTTTTAAAACAAGATGGAAAGAACTAAATATTCACATTTACATTTCACATTTCACAGACACATTTCACATTTCATATTTCACAGACAGTCCCACAGTGGTGTCCTTCCAACGGGAAGCAGCACTTCAGCAGTGATAAGGGGAAGAGTCCCATAATGGATTAATACTGTAATTTCCCACGTATTCTTTCTTTTAATCTCTCCAACTCAAACCTGTAAGATTTTACAGGTCAATAGTATTTTTGCTTTAACCTCTCAAATGCTCCATAGCAGAGGTCAGTGCAACTTTGCTCCTTCATGCACAATGTAATAAACAAAACTAAGATGAAGAGCTTCAGCACACCATTAATATAGGCCCTTGTTTGCTCTACTTACCACAAGTCTGATTTCTTCTTTTGGAGCAAGCTGTTCCAGCAGCTCAAAGCCCAGCTGGTAACACAGTATACTGGATTGACACAGACCACATTCAACTGCTTTTTCATCTTTTTGACAGGTATGGGAACCACCCCAGGGTGCCTGCAACACATTGTTTATGATGGAAATTATATCTTTTGAAATACTGTTCTCTAAGCCCAAAGTGACACCATCATCTTGCAGTTCCATCTGAAAAAGAATAAAAAAAGTAAGGATTAATCATTTATTTAAAGGCCACAGCTCTGACTAGTCTGCTAATTCCTACATTTCCGGCACTGTTAAAATACACTACTGGGAAGACTGTGAGATGAATTTGAATTCACAGTTTCAGATATAGCCACTGATGGTGAGACACAAATTTTAACAGCTAAAGGAAGATTTTCAAAGTCAAATAGAGAATTTTAAGCAGAGGATCCATTCATTTTATCTCAAGATGGTTATCCAAACCACTTGGATTTGGATTCATAATGAATTAATGTAGCGATTCAAAAATGAAGCATTTAAAAGAAGCCTACTATCAGGCCGAGGCCTGCAGTTTTTAGAAAAATGTATCTCCAAAGGGCAGTTCATTTCAATCATATGAAACATCTGACACAGGGTGGAGGCATCTCCCCTCTCTTTATTAACCATGAACACAAAACTTGTTAAAGTAAAGCTTGGTGACAAGTGTATAAAGCTTTGAATATCTTGCACTTCACGCCATTCTTCAGCAGAAAGGGAATGAGAACCAGTGAGTTGAAAGAACCCTAGTGTTCTTTAATGTATTTATTTTTCTTCTGTAAGTACCTGCTTCAAGATGAGATCAAACATGAGTATGAAGCAATTAAGATTCATCTCATCATCCTCACAGTCAAAGTCAATAGTCTTTCCACCGGGGTGTCCGAAGTTTTTGAAGGGGCTGGGAAAAGGACTTCGTAATGGGCTGCGAAACGGGCTCTGGAAAGGGCTTGGGAAGGGACTCAGCGTGTTGTGCTGCACTCGGCGGCCAGGGTCAGAAGCAACACTTACCTGAAAGCGTTAAAAAAAAAAAAAAAAAAAAAAAGCAAATGAATGTTAAGCAAACTCATTTATATGAAACTATGGAACTACGGCAAATAGCAAGAGCTTTGACAACCTTATTATTCCCTTTTATAGTTATCTTTTGTAAAACTTACAAGTGTCCATTAATGCCATTAAATGCTTAAATACAATAAAGTACAGAGGTCATATGGATGCACAAATTCTTTTAAGTTAAAATTACTTAACTATTAATTCCACTAAGGAGGAAATTTTGTATCATAAAACAAGCAAAATCAGTATAGGTAGCAAAGTAGCTCTCAAGGTTACAATATTCTGCTCCACGATCAAAGGATATCAACTTCAATAGCAGGATCCCAAAAATAAACAAATAAAGAAGAGGTTGTCTAAATACAAGATAAAATTTTGACTGTGAGGGTGACAGAGCTGCCCAGAGGGAACAGGCTGCCCAGGGAGGCTGTGGAGTCTCCTTCTCTGGAGATCTTCCAAACCTGCCTGGATGCCGCCCTGTGCCCCGTGCTCTGGGTGTCCCTGCTGGAGCAGGGGGTTGGACTAGAGGATCTCTAGGGGTCCTTTCCAACCTCAACCATCCTGTGATTCTGTGATCTCAACACAGCAGCGCAACCAAGGCCATACCAAGGATACAAGCAGCTGCAAACAACGGAACACACAACACTCCTAGACTCCACTAAACATGTATTATAAGAACATGCAGGCTCACGCTGGGTAATCAGCTGTCCGTGATAAACTTGTTGATGGTGGTGGTGAATAGAACATGCAGAGACTGAAAATGAAACCAAGACAAACACTCCAAATATATACCCAGCAAAACAGCTCTCTGAAATACTGTGTAGTTAATTCCTATCTGCATTATTTTCACACTGACCAAGTGATAGGTATTAATACAACGAGTTATATCAATCTTTTCAATTCTTCATGTGCATTTTATTATGAAAACTGTTCTAAAGAGAAAAAAAAAAAAGAAAAAAGAAAGAAGGAATTATTACCCTCCGAGCTGCAAGATTTCCTGACAATTCACTGACTCTTGATTTTCTTTGATTTGCTAACTCTTTTACAGAATTAACTCCATCAGAAAACATGCTGATTAGTAACTGAAGAGGGACAACAATGTCTAGTTCAGATAACACCTGAAGAAAGACAATAATTAAAAACAGCATCAGCTTTCAAACGTGATCTAAAATATCAGCTACTTTTGTAAGCACATTTAATCACACAATCCCCAGGTCAGCAAGTTTTTTAAGGGACAGTTAATTTAAGGGGCAACTAATATAGTTGGGAGTCAGTGGGGTGAGCTGTGAGCTTAGGCTTCAGTAAGAATCAAGGCAAAAGAACTAGGTATTTTCAAACTATTTGTCAACATCTCCTTTAATGCTACTTGTGATGGCTTTACAGGCAAACACACAGGTGTCAGAGGTTGCTCAAGAAACAGTTTCCCTGAAGCCAAAATATTACCAATACTTATAACTATTTATTATGTTTATTATTTCTATTTAAAACTATTTAAATAGTGAATTCCTGTAATTATCTTAAGAATTTAGTCAGAGTGGTTGCTACAGGCTTTAATATACTGAGAAGCCTGGTTATCTGCAAATCACCAAGGGAATATTCATCGTCTCTTTTGTCAGCAACAAAGCAGCTCATTTGTGCTTATCAAACTGTTACTAGTAGCAAGCAAAATCTACAGAAATCGTACCTTACTAGAAAATTATGCATACAGGAAAAGAGCTATAATCATTGAGTAAACTGCTCTTTGCAGAGGCTACACCAAAATAACCCTCAGCAGACCACAAGTGATAATGAGCATTATAGCTATTATTCTAAGGACTGGGGCTGTGGAAAATTTCATGTCCCTTTGAATGTCCTTCCCCGAGAAGAAACACTTTTTTTCTGCAGCTTTTGCAATATAAATACCAGCTTTGTGGACAAATATAGCACAGGAGGCCGAGGGCAAAAAGTCTGATGAGTCCAGAGCCATCCACTTGTCTATAAGTGAAAAAGACTCCAATTGCTTCTGGAGCTTGGCATTAATTTTGGAATACACAGAGCACATTGTGAAGAGACTAATGAGCTTAATTGGCAATAAGCCAGAGATATGTGGCACAAGTGACAATCAAAGGGAAAAGAATGTCACAATCTTTCAGTATTATTATCCACGATGGGTCAGTAAAACAAATCTTCCCAGAACTATCTATATCTACACCGGGCCCAGACCAAAAGCAGAAAGGTTTCCTCGTCCCTGAAAAAGAGGCTCTTTTATTTTTTCAAAAATCACAAGCTGCTTCAGCATGACCTGTCAAGAAGGAACACTTACATGCAGCCAAAGCAACGCTTGCTCTTGCACAGAGGATGGATAACCTGTGAACCGACAACTAATGAAGCCAAACATCTCTTCCATAGAAAAAGGGAGAGGGCAAAGCTCAATATCAAACATTTTGCTGAAAATAAGAAAAACAACACAGGATCACTAACTGGTTTCATACACTAAACTGATAGAAAGTTAATCTTACTGCCAGCAGTAGGGATGCTCCTGTCATCTTGCACCCTTTCTTTCCAATCAGACAAGGAACCGAGCTGTGCTGCTCATATTGTCTGTGTGGGCTACACAAGGTCAGTCCTGACCTGAGCGGTGCCCCTTATGAGTGTACATTACATCTCAAACCAGGTTGTGCAGGTAACTCTGGGGAAAACAGTCTTAAAAAGTATTTTCGTTTGATAGGACAACCCTTTTCAAAACTAAATGTATAGGAACATTTCTCATCTCATTACACACCCACTCTTATTTATACTACAAATGCTTACATCACCCCCTCAAAGTACAAAGCTACAGTCAGCTTAAAAGGCAATGTAAAGTTGTATTGCAAAAAGGAGAACAGCAGACAGGGAAGTATGAGTCAGCCAGCCACCATTCTTATTCCAGGGCTTCTCTTGCTCAGCAGGGGAAAACATTGCCTAAAATTACCTAAATTGCCTACAGTTATTACCTACTCCTCCTGAGCCAGCTCTGCAGAGCTGCTCAACAGGCACCAGGCTTCTGCTGATCCCCACCTTTTCACATTGACTGCTGCCCAAAGGAGAAAGATGCTTCCTCCTCTATGCTGCAGGAAGCCACTGAAAATGCACCTCACTTAATATAGATTCAAGGATATCAAGAGGACTAAAAGAAGGCTTTCACAAAGCTTAAGTGCTCTAAATAGAAGCATGAATAGTCTAAATAGAATTCATGAATGATTCAGCAGCATTCACTTGCTACTGTCTACTGGACTTGGGAAAGCAATCTGAATGGCGTTTTTTTTTATTATTATTATTTAATTGTGCTAACACCCTAAACAATTGACACACAAAAACAGAAAAAGGCTCCTACGCATCCCTGCTTACCTTAACACTTCCCGGAACTCTTTCAGTTGATTATCAGGCACTTCTGTCCTTATAGCTTCCAACCACTCCGGCATTATACACTCCCATACTGGCTGGCTTATCACATTGTACGGAATCAAGCAAAGGATTCGATTCAGACCTTCTTTTAACTGGGTCACAGCGCTACAAGATTTGTCCCAGTATCCACCAACCTGTGGGTATTTCCAGCAATCATACTGATCAGTGATCACTCTAGTCCACATCATTTGTCCAGCACCATAAATTTTCTCAGTGTGTTACAGGTAAGAATCTGTGGGGGATGATCATTAGCACCTTCAAAACAGAATTTAGAGCTCACCCATGGGGACTGCACCGTTTGTTTCCTCTTTCATTTGACCCACAGAACAACAAAGGACTGTCCAAAATTTACAAGAAGCTTGTTCACTTCCAGGCTGCAACACAGAATAACCCCCCATTGCCTACCCTTCTCAGTGCAGGACAAACTTACAGCTTGGACAAACTTGCAGCTTCCCTTCTTTGCTGTGCTCCAGCAGTTAACATTGAGTCTTCATACTGAAAAACTTGATCTGTATCACATTGTTTTTCTAAATGTTTTTTCTTTGAAGGAAAGTTCTAAGTGATGGAGGCCCAAAATATATGCTTCTAACTTAATACATAACTGGTGTACAGTTCTCTTGTTCTCTCTCTCTCTCTTTGGTATGCAAAGAGCAGAGAAACACAGATTTGTAAATGGAACAAGCAAAGGACAGGCTTATACCTGAGAGCAGAGAAACTGTGCTTATTTCCTAAGACAAATTGGGATGTTTTTGGATTTTAATCTTTGAGGCAAAGTTACGAATCTTCATATAAATTATTCTTACTCTGGCAAACTCCATTGGCTTGGGAAGGAGGCACATAACCATGACATCAAACCGGACATCACAGACGGTCTTCAGCCACTTGGTAACAAACTGGGGCTTAAGCTTTTCAACCAGGCTACCAACTTCATCATCCATCATATAAGCTGTAGAATGAAACCACTGGAAGACCATACTAACCAGCCTTGCTAAACTCTCTGTGGGTGTATTCTCACTGGGAGTACAAAGGCTCACCTGGAGAACAGAAACACAAATCAAATTTAATTTCTAGAATTAAAGAAAATGGGAAAGTGTTTTTCTCTACTACATTTTGCACTGGATGCAGATTACACAGTAGGTAATTGAGCAGGAAACAGTTTTAAGAATAGAGATTGGCACAAGATTATTGACAAAATATTTTCACAATCAAAAAAGCAAATATTTGAAAAAGTTAAGTATCAAATTTCTTTTTTAATTTCAGTACTGAAATATCAATGCAGAATGCTTTAACAAACTGTAACAGTTAGTACAGGCTTCAAATGACTTTTGATTTTAAAGTGTATAATATAATGCCCAGAAGGAGGAAAAAAAAGAACGAGAGAGAAATTATGTAAAAGTTAATGACAGGTCAATGGAAATGTTTCAAAGTTTGAAAGTGAACAGCTTGTTAGCAGAATGAAAGAGAATTCTGCTTTGCAGAAATGATGCTGATTTTGACTTTTTGTTCTTATTTTGAACAGCACAAAAGCAGTCCACATCCGAGCCCAAGCCTGTATCCCATCTCACAGACAATCCATTACCACCTGCTATTTGAGTTTGTGGCCCCCCTTCTGGGGCAAGGAACCTTTCAAGCCAGTTTGCTGTACTGAATCCAAAGTGGGCATTAATAGAATGGCAAATAACAAACAGGAGATTTAGGACTTGTCTTCTAACCACTTCTCAGCTGCTAGGTGCTACTTCCTAGTGAATACTGTATTCCCAGTGACCAATGAGAACTGCATTGCAGCAAGTGCAGAGAGAACCTGCATTCATATCATTTCATGGAGAACAGGTTACCATGCTGCCTCCCAGAGAAGACCAGGACCCTTTTTAAAAGTACTTTTCCTTTATGTTTTTCTGGGGCTGCAGCATCTAACAACTTCCCTGTCGATTCAAAACGTTGCCTTGACTGTTTAAGTAAAGTTGTTTGATTACTTTCTGATGCCTGTCTCACTTGAGTGGTAACTCTAAGGCACTGTCAGCTTTTTTGACTGGAACTCTTGAGTTCAATTCCTAGATGAAAGGCATCTGTTTAATGGGGAAAAAAAAGAAGGAAAAAGAAGGAAAAAATCCATCACAGCTCACTATTTATTCATAACAGTGCTATCATCTCTGCCATTACTCCTTATGGAGAGATCAAAGGATTTTATATAGAAAGAATGAATTAATGAGCTACCCTTCTTGTCATAGAAAGATATTCTTAGTGTTAGGATGAGACGTTATAAATACAGTGCAAGAAAAACTGTACTGTTTTCACTTTGATTCTGTTTCTTCTGGAGATAGAGAAAGGCCTTCAAACTTTACAAAGCATTATTTAAAGCAGAGCAGATGAATGTGGGACAATTAAAAAAAATAGCAAGAATTTCTTACCAAGAACCAGATTCCAAACTGGCTCAGGAGGCGCTGATCATGCTTGTCATCATCTTTATTATCAAAGTCTGTGTTGTCCAAGGAGTGATGGGAAGAAGAGAGGCCCATCTGCCTCCTGCGGTTGAGTTCATGCTCCCTCTGCTCAGCATGAAACTCTGCTTCCTTCAGCAAGCTGTAAAACAGGCCTGGGGTCAGTGAATATAGTTTTTCTGGAGGTCAGGATGCAGGTAGATGACTAACAATACTTAGAGGTTAAAGCACTTAACGTCTTCATTTTCCTGAGCACATTAGTGAAACAAGATCAAGTCCTATGATTCAAGGCAGAACTATTCTGTGAGGACAACTCTCACCGTTCATCTGCTAGAGTGGCAGGAATTCATTGCTCCTGCTTTGAACTCATCTGGGTGAAAGCAGCATCAATTTGCACAAGGTTTGCAAGCAACATTTACACAAAGGCCGGATTCTACTTTATATATTGACCCTTAATTATATTCACTGCCGTGTTACCTGATGACAGCTTCCACAGTGCACACCAGCTCCTCGGCCCCGCACTCCCGGGTGTTGATGGGGGGTGGGGAGGTCTGGTAAAGGTGGGTTTCTGCTGCCGCCCCAACTTCACTGCTGTGATGGTTCGAATGGCACCTCTTGCAGTAGCGAACCGGCCGGTTGCCGTGGCGGCCGCAGCAGCCTGCTGAGAAGCAGGTGACCACAGCCCTCCTGACATGGGAGCTACAGTTCTGGAGAGCGAGAAAACGGAACACGCATCAGGTGCAGGCGCCGGGGAGAAGAACCAAAAGCAGTGGCGAGAATCAGCACAGGAGAAATGGTGCCGCTTCCAAATTCACTGCGGCTACATAGAAACTTCTGATGTCAAGTTTAAGGAAGATGAGTTCAGGCCCATCATTGGGCCTGGACTTAAATGTCATGGTTGCCTTTTTTTTTCTTTTTTCTTTTTTTTTTTAAAGAATAGACCAAACCAACGTTTCACTTTTTGGCTTGAGCCCTGAAGAAAGCTTCCTTCTCCCCACTGCCCAAAGGCATTCATGGATACACTGTGAAAACGTGAAAAAGGCAAAACAAAACAAAAAAGGCACAGTAATGGAATGGCACTACACACAACATCAAATCACGGCTCATCACACAAATGACTACTTAATCTTACCTTCTTCTGACATATAGCAGAAATTTCAGCTGTAAGGAGAAGGCATAATAAACATCAACACAGAATGACAATCCTTGTTTTTTACTATGGCAACCATAGGGAAATGGAATTAAATGGAAGCGTTACAAGGAAATGTCCAGTGCTAAATCTGTGTTTCAGGATATTAATAAAAGCTCTAAGCTTCTTTGACTGCATGAGCAAGGACACTGTATTCTGAGGCCTCCTGGCTACTTCCACGCTGAAATGAAAGAACAGTCTCAGAGTAGTAATAGGTGTGACGTGTTCAACACACTGTCCATCTTCTGCTTAAGCTTCTGCCTCACAGATAGGCTTCTAAGAGAGGGTCCCTTGGGATGTAATAAGATTGGTATGATGGGGGAGACCCTGTTCAGGTGGGTTCACACTACCAGGGAAGGTTTGCAGGACAGAAGACTGGTGAGATAGATAACAGACACAATGGAGCTCCATACAGAAATGTCTGAAGATTTAATCAGTAGGCAATATATATTCAGTCTGTTACCCCTGTAATATCTAATTCAGTAAATATGGGTGCTTGAGTAAAGAGAAGTACTTCTCTAAGTAAACACTGCAAATGTCTACATTGGATTTCAATTAAAAGGAGACAACAAGAAAAAACAACCTCAAAGTCCTCAAGATTTTTCAGTTTGCAGGAAAAAAAAAAGGCAGGAAGTACCTTCCCAGCCCTTGACAGGGTAACTTTAGAGAATAATCAACAAGCTTTGTCTGTAGCTTAACTACTAAGAGCAGCACCATGTTCTCTGACTACTCAAGGATCCCAATTCAACCAATGACTGTACAATTCAAAAATATTTTAGACCAATTTTTCGATACCTTTTGCAGCCTTGTGTTGTTAGGATAGATTTTCAGAAGTTTTAATAGGTTTAGAATCAGAGCCAGGTTTCTGAAAGAACTAGCCCATTTTCAGACACCTGTGCTGGGTGCAATTAATTCAAAAACATCAGTCATCAGTTGTGGATGTTTGAAGATTTGAATATCTGTCCAAATGTTTCTCTTTTCTCAAATATAAGGAAATACTACTTAATTCAGGTAGAAGACCAGCTGCTAATTAGTTATTTTAATAGAACTTCACAGACATAGTCTTCAGTAGAAGCTACTTTAAAATCCTACAATATCCCTTTAAAACAAAATGCAGCATTTTAACTGATGCAGTATGCAGAAATATGGATAAGCATCAGGCTGTACATTTATGATTAATCTGTGCCTATCTTTAAAATAACTCTTACCTTGTGGCAGAAGAACATCAATCAACCATTCACTGTGATCCCTTAAAAAAGAAGAGAGTATCTAATTAGCTTGCCATTATTTCATTTATGTATGCACTTATTCTGGCACAGAGGGAAGTTATTGTTCTGAAATAGCTGTTCTACAAACATAATTTTATAAACGATGCTGCTTTGCATTATCTGTCTTTGTTGTGCCCCACTTATTGCAAATTATCACTGTACTGAGGTTGGGCCATCATGCTTAAGGCTTTTAAAAATTATTTTTAAGGCTTTAATTTAGCAAATGAAAATACTCTGTGTTCTGGATGTCTGGGAGACAAATAATGATAGGAAAGAATGACAGGTAAACGTGGAAAAAGTTTTACCATTTTTTGAGAGTCTCCGTAAAAGCTCTGCTTCTAGTAAATTTAATTTCTTTTTGTTTTTGAAGCTTTAAATCAGCAATAACTTCTATGAGATGTAATTACTTTTTCCACAGCTAGTGTGATACAGGGTGTCTGCTAAACCAGATGTCTGCTAATCCTCTCCCCACTGCCTCCCTTCAAAAAAAAAAAAAACCCACACAAAAACAACCAACCAAAGTGAATCTTCTGAACTAACTGCAATCTTGTCCATTTGAACTAAAGACTGGAAATATCTTTGAGAATTAGATTTTATAAATTTGTGCATACCAAATAAGCAGTACAAAAATTTAGGATAATTCATCTCAGAATTTATGCCTCTCATGTATTAGCGAAGTCAGGACCAGCTTCAGTCCCTTACTCTGCTACTTCTCAGTGGACTCTAGAGAATATTTTGAATTACAGAAAAGTAATGAAGTCTCTGTAAAAGACTTTTCACTATAATGCCTTGCTTTTAATGACTACCAAGAGATGATGAAAGAAAACATTTTATGAGCAAAAGGTTGATAAGTAGTTTCCCCTAATGCAGCCGATGCATCCTGCAGTATCAATTCACTCAGAGATTCATTCAGCCTTTAAAACTCTGCTGTCCAAAATAATGCTGATCTTGCTTGGCAAGTTTCCGAAACCCTTCCTCAAATACAGGGAGTGGGAGGCAGGGGTGTCAATAGGGTTGTCTGTAAGTCATATGCTGTCATAATGAAACAGTCCTCTGCAGCAGACTGCTTCAAATTGTGCAGCTTAACAGACTACACCCAGCCTTGCTCCATCTCTCAGTTTACCTACCCTGCAATTCTCTGGCTACATTCTTCACAAAGATACAGGGGAGGTGGTTTATCACCCAAGGCCACGGACAAGGAAGGGTCAATGCACATCTGAAACACAGAGGAAAGGAATTAATGCATCTGCCTGTGGAATATCACTGAGGTAGTGTTCAACACATTCTAGCTATAACACACAACACAACACAGCTTAGGCAATCCTTCAGAATACTTAGTGAAGCAGAGGAGGGCACTCAGGACCTGGCAGCATGAGATCTTACATTATTTCTGCCAAAGTATATAGCTAAAAAGAATCACCATTTTCACTCTGAATTTAAAGCATAATCTATATTGCACATTCACATTTACTTATATTTCACAGTCACTACTGGTTTAGTTGGTTTTTGTCCTCCCTGGCCCGCCCCCCCCAAAAAATGACATTTAGAGGATTCATTGCTTTGAACTGGGTAAGAGAAAAGTCTAGGTTTCTCTACCTCTTTTGACAAAAATTAGATTTTGCTATTATATTTGTTAGTTATAAAGCATGATTTGGTGACAAAATGAATTATGGACACGCAGCAGCACAGGTTGCCATTTTCCAAACTCAATTCTCTGTGCTGGATTAGCTTTTATTCTTCTGTGTGTTAGGCAGTCACCTAACAATATGAACATACATGTTTAGTTAAGTGCTTTGTGTTGTTTAAGGGAAAGCTAAGGAGTAGTATGCATACACAACATCTTCACTTCTTCCTGTTAGCCACTTCAATGCCTTCTTGGTCCATCCAAGGGCAAGATGCTACTTGCAAAGGCAAATGGCTCACTTGTGTTCCTGGTCTTTGCTACTCAGATTTCCATTAACCTATGCAAGGGCCATTTCATCTAATACCACAAAGACAAGAGTGTCGTCATACAAAAGTAAGCTAAGAAACCACTCAAAGTATTTAAATATTTCATCCATTAAACTTGGAACTCTAAGATTCATTAGCATTCTTTCCTTAGTCATTAGCCTGAATCTAGTGATCTTGAGGTCATGAAGCAACATCTTTTAGGTTTTTTTCCTACGGAGTGGAAAAGGGATCACGGAGAATGGCTGGAGTGGAAGGAAGTGGTCCCCTGTGGGACCTGAGATCTCATATCATCATCATTCCTCAGCAGAAAAAAAGCTCACTGAAGAACTTTGAGTAATGGAATTATGGCAGCATTTGAACAACGCCAGGAACAGCAGTCAGGTCTGCAAACCTAACACAATACAAATTAACAGAAACAAATGCTACTCCCAACAGTAGCATGCTCTGGATTTGGGATGCTATTACGGCCTCTGCACTGCTCTACGATCCTGGGAAAATCATTTTACTTTCTGTTAGCTTAAGTGAAAACAGGGAAGATACCATTTATTTCCTTTAAAAGTGTCTATGAAAAAGACGAGTAAATCTTTGTTGCTCTTTGATACAGGGCCCCCTCCAAGAAAAAAAAAAAAATCACAGTCAGAGCTAATGGGCTTTGCTTCAATTTCAAGAACCGTATGACCGCACTCAGATACCAACGTACACACGTACCTCTCTAACCAACATAAAATATTATATATGTAATACCATCCACACACACACATACACAAGTATGCTAAGGAAAATATTTATACTGATTAGCTAGAACTCAGCTTAGAAAAGTCCAGAACATATTCACAAAGTTGTGGTGCCTTTAGCCCCCATAGGCCATGCTGTTCTCTTAGCACCTACACCTTCAGTCACCTGCCCTTAAACAGGGCATATGGCTGGGCTCAAATCTCAGCAGGCACCTCCCACCCCCCTGCTAGAAACAGCAGTACCTTTACAGCTGGTTTGTTAATTGCATTATGGCACTCAATGTGCTGGCAATGAATAGGATTCCAGGCTGCAAAATTGAAATACAGCAGATTAATGAACAGAGATGAGATATTTATATTCTTTATGACTAGTAGTACCAAATCCTCTTGCTCTAAGTGCGATACAAAAATGGGAGGCAACCTAACCATATACTTTGTGAAGCATAATAATTCCCATAAACAACCTAGATTTAGATTATACATGTCTTCTGACCTGATGGATATTTAATTATGAATCCAAAGAAAAGGAAAAATTTAGACACAGCCACAGATCTTTAACTCCTTCCTGCACCCAGCAGATCCTGAATTAGTTGATTATTATTTCCCTCCAGAAGCAGGATAATACATGCAGCTTAATCCACATAAATGCCAGGCAATATGCAAACATAGACATGACAATAAATAAATAAATAAAACAATCCATCTAGGGAAGAAGCCTTAGTGTTATAATGGCAAGAAGCAACAAAGGCGAATCAAGCAGCAGCACTTGGACGCTGTATGGAGGTCCAAAAGTCAAAGTGTCAGGTGACTGCAGAAAACTCAAACCTCATTCTGGGAAATACTAGCAGAGAATTTATATAAAGATTTATATATACTGATTGATATATATATTTTTATATATATATATATATAAAGAATTACTCATGAGAAAGAGAAATACCTAAGAATCAAGACAGTTCAGTCCTTCAATGGAAGGCTTTAATGAAGATTTGACAAATACCTATCAAGAATGCTCAAGGCATATGTGAATCAGGTTCAAGTTGAAGTTCACAGCTAAAGTTGCTCTAGAGATTCTCCTAAAATTCCTCCCGATCCTTCATTCTTACTATTTTAAAAGTGGTCTTCTAGTGCAGAAATTTTAGCAGTAAAAACCATATCCCCAAATGAAAACAAGACCTTAAAGCGCAGAGTTAGGCAGGCTGGAAAAGCCCCTTGCAAGCTTCAGGACAGCGATGTCCTCCCCACCACCAAGAGGAACACAACCCAGCCGTTATCAGCAGGGAGCTGGGTAGGGAAAGGCCCTTGTGCCACCTCCTCCTCAGCTCCAGCTGTCTCGCTGAATTCCTCTCTCATTCTCACTCTGTACTCAGCTTTGGGAAGTTATCCATTAAACTGACTGCACCTGACACCGCCTGACTTTTTTGACAATAACAGCCGGATAAAGAGTCTTAGCAACAGCAGCAGCAATAGCAACAAGAGCAATAATTGCAAGGAACGTAAGACAGAATCCTTGTGGAAGTGGCAGTTTTATGGACCATTTTAAATGCTGTATTTATTTCTTCTCCTTTTTCCTTCTGCTTTTGTTTAGTTAGTATTGGAAGTAACACAAAATATTTACTGGCCATGATCACAATTGTTATTTTCTGTAGCATCATCTTCTGAAAACACAATGTCTATTGTTTATACTTAAGAAAATACAGACAGTACAAAAGATTTCAAAACATATTTTACCATTATAAGCATCTTACATTAAAACACTATAATTTCCTATATAAAATTTATTTTGGTATATATAAAAACATCTACACTCACCTGTGTACTGCAGGCCTCTGTACTCACTGATTGCCCCAGGGGGTTTTAAATTGGGCCAGTAGTGAAACAACATTTGTACTGCTGGAGGTTTAACTTGAGATGGGCCATAGGCTATTACATACAACAGATCCTAAGCAAAGACAGATATGAGGTGTTTATTTTGCAAGATAGGAAAACACAACTCAATGCATACTATTTATGTTTGCAAAGATAGTTGAACACAAAAACACACATTTTACATCTACCAATCACCCTTGGTAAGCTTTTACAATTAGCTTTTACATTTCACAGCAGCTTTCTGAGTTTGACTAGGACATCCAAAAGCTACCAGCAGCTCCACACATATTTTATAATGATATACAGCAAATGAAGCCTTTGTCTAGCCAAAAAAAGGGGTGATGTGGATAAATAACTAGATGCAGACCAGATTAAAGCTCAAAAACACTCACAAAAAGCCCTCATAAAAGCTCAGTCCAACATAACTGTAGAAGATTGGTTATTAATGATTATTAAAATGTTTATAAAACTGCTGCCAAATGGAGCCGCATCCAACTAGAGCTGTGTTGCATGAAGCTGCTTCTGCAAACTAAAATGTGAGGGACATTCCTTTACATAACTATGAAGGAGAATGATTAAAAAGATCACCCAGTACTTCCTGGCACCCAGTTAGTCCATGTTTCAAAGCATTTATGTTTACAGTCCAAATGCAGTCCTTGTTGCAAAGCATATATGATCACTAACTTACTTTCCATACTTCTTGCTTATATTTCATGAGGCATTCCAACAACTGGCAATGATACACTGAGAAAGAAGAGACAGCATAGACATAATACTGAAATGGAAACTCAAGTAACAGAAGTGGTGATTAGCAGACTGCTTTTCCTTTGTCAGTCCAAAGCTCTACGTTCAATTTAATTGCTTTTTATTTTATAGGGTGTGCTAATAAATTAAAGCTGTAATTAGATAACTAGTCATTCATCCTGAGACAGTAATGTACATGTTAATGCAAAGTGTGTAAGAGAACATCACTACCTCATACACCACAGGCTCTGGGAGCCACTCTGCCATAAACATGACAGCCAAATGAGCCAGCAAACAACTTTTTGACTTCCCAAACCACAGGATCAAATTTTCCTGTGATAGCTGAGAACTGGGAATCAAAAATAGAATATTTAATAAAAAAAAAAAACTAAAGTATAAATAGCTTTTTGAAAATGTGCTTTTATTTACTGTTGTGTTCTAAATTAGCATGACATTGTTCTTCTCATGCACACACAGCTGGGGAAGAGGGAGCTTCATCTACCCCCTAGATGAATACCTAAAATGGGAGAGTTGTCTGTTGTGATATATGACAATTCCCTCCGATTAAATTATTCAGTGTGTAATTGCACTGACTTAACTGGGGGCTCCACCACAGTAAGAGAGAATAGCATTTGCATTCAGAGATTTCTAATTAGAATAGTTCAGAGTCTCTAATCCTGGGCCCAATACTATCTGTTCATCGCACTGGGATCTCTTATTGCTGTAATAAATACTTCAAACAACGTACTTGGAGTACAGTTTTGAGTAAAATACCTTATTTTTCATCTTGCATTAGATGCTGAGACAGATTTTCTCAACAATTTAATTTTTCAGGTGGTGGAATTTAACACAGTAAATACCATATTAAACAACTCATAGCCTTTGCAAAGAATGACACCATGTTGCCTATTTACACATACCTGGGTTTGATGTGTACTGCATTGCAATCATTAGCATTGATGATGCAGATAGATTGACATGGGCTGGAACACCTTCCCTTTTTGAGGATCCCACTTAAAAGAAACAGGAAAAATAAATAAATAAATAAAGCAAGGGAAATTAAGCAAGAATATAATTCTCAATACAACTGACGCAAATAAAATTTCCACAGTATCACATTCTATATTCCAGTAGGCAAAAATTCTTCTCTAGTGAAAGAAGAAAGAGATGCCCAAATACAATATTGTCTCACAGAGCATACACTTCATTTCCCAGACCTCTAAGACTTCTTTCTCAGAGCTCCATTATCAGGCAGCGATCATCTGGCGCCTTCATAAAGGCCTTCACTTCATAAACCCACAGAGAGGTCAGAACAGTCTCACGCATGCAGCCACATGTACCTAGGGGCTGGATCTTACAGAAAGCAAGATAAAGTAGAGTGTAAAGAAACAAGAAAAATGGAAGGCCTGCTGTTGAGGTAGATGTGAAGTTTTGGTGCTGGTGGCAGCCGATGGCTCTTGATAAAGGGTACAGATAACTACTTGGAAATCATATGTCATGAGTTCAAGTTATAGTATAGCTACATACAGGAAAATGTAGTTCCCTTGTTCTGTGAGGTGTGTTAGGGTACTGAGGAACAGCAATACTAAAGCGCAGCCAAGCTGCTGGGACTCTGACCCCACACATGATGGGGATGGCCGGAGTTCCTTCTTGTGTCTGGTTCATTGGTTACTACCTAGAAGCATAGTTGGAAAAAAAACAGCAGAGGTAGGTGCTTATTTCCCGAACAATAATGTGACATTATTGCTGTGAAGGCAACCTTCTACAGAGGCGTGGCATGTCCTCTCCTGCCCTCATTCGTGAGCACTTTCCCAACCCTGGCTACCAGGGCCCAGATACCAGGGATTTAGGATGCAGCTAAAGAAATGCAGCCACCAGTTCAGTGAGATTCATACAATCCTTCCTCCCTTTCAGTTTGATTCAGAGGAAAGTTTTCTGTCTTTGTCTCTCTCTCTCACAGTACTAAAAGAAAATGCAAAGTAAAGCAGACTAGTTTCATGCAAAATCTAAGCAGAAGTGCTTGAGAAAACACAGCACAAGAAAGGTTGCTCTCAGTTATCTGGATGCTACCTCTGCTAAGGACAACTAGAGAACGGGCTCTATTAATGACAGATCTGGCTCAACTGGTTGCTTTGAAGAACAGTTGTAGAGATCTAAAGATACATACAACAGGATAAATCACCTACATTAACAGATGACAATACTGGGGGGAAAGAGTTAATGCAACATTAACACAAAGAGGACCTGCTGCACATCTGTATGAAAAATACTGTAGTATTTGCATATTGTTCATAGATCTTCCATTACAGCTAACAGAAAACCTCACTGAAACATCTACAAGGGACTATTTTACATGGTAAACTGAAGTCCAAAACAGGTAAGAACTTCTCCAAGACCACCAAGTGGTGGAGCCAACAAATGTAGGTGACCAGTTTCCACAAAATCTTATTCTACAAAATCTGGACCATGCTTCTTTCCATGTTGTAAAAGCATCCTCCATGGTCATCACCAACTTGAGTGTAGATCTCAGTACAAAAGAAGAGTTTCATGTTTTTCCATAAAGGTCTAAAATGCAAATAAGGAAAAGACATTCTCACAGAAGCACAGAGCAGTTAAGGTTGAATAGGACCTCTGTAGATCATTTAGTCCAATCTCTCCTGCTCAAAGCAGGGTCAGCTAGAGCAGGTTGCTCAAGACTGCATCCAAAGCAGAGTCATTCTTGTACATCCAAATCCAATTCAGACACAAAAGCTACATTGCACAATTGCTCAATCATCTTAGAAGTACTCTCTCTGTCCATTGACTGCATTCAGGACTTGCACTGCTGTCACTAGAAGGTCTGTGAGCCTCAGAATAATGCATTTCTTAAGTTTAACACCACCCTTTAAATGAAAGAAGTCACACAGTAAGAGAGCATAATAAATAAATATGTCCATAGAATTATCTATTTCAGAAAAACGGTCACCTGGAATTATTCTTGTATATACATAAGGTAGATCAATTACAGTCCCATTACAACTCTATGACAAATCAAACACTGAATCCTATCTGATATTATTATAGCAGTGTACCACTTTCCGAGACAGAACAAGACCAGAATGAGTGCTACTTACATATAGCCATAGGCAGAAAAGATGTGCTGAGATACTCTATAATATCCTTATGTAGAAATGGAGGAAAGGTAGCTAATGTTGAAATCATTGTATAAGGTAAAGTACTCAAAATATCATCATTGAGAAAAGGAAGTAAGCATGTAGTAGTGTAAAAAATTGATTGCCCAAGATCTGTTGAATAAAATAAAATAAACACAGAATCATTACATTGAAAAAAATAAGGATAATCTTATTTGTAAAAATGTTTAGCTAACAAAACTACCAAAAAAATACATTTAGATTCAAGCTTTCTCCTCAGGTTATTTCAGAAATTTAACTACTACAAACTAACAGACAGGTGATTTGGCCCACTATTTTTAAGCCCCTCCTAAGAGGAATGGAAACATCTGTTCAACAGTACGCAGCCAGTTTGGAGGAACATAAACACCACAATAAATAAATTTAGCTCCTCCACATAGACAAGTCTGGATTGAAGTAGAAGTTTTATTAGAAATAACTGATTGGGTAAGAATTTGATGCAAAAAGCATCCCAGCCATTGGATATCAGATTTTGCTCTTAATTATCCTTAAGAGAGCTGCAAAACACACCCCACATGGACACTCTGACTCCGACGATTGATGCAAAAGGAAGCATCACTGTATTTTTCAGATAATATGTGACTGAACTATGAAACTTGCTTGCACAGTAAGCCATGGAGGCCAAAAATGGCCAGGGCTTAAAAAGAACTGGATATTTATTCAGAATTTCCAGATTTAATCTGATTAATTATAAGCTTTGGAAGGGATGCTGAAGAAAAGTGCAGCTTTAACATCTATATAGAAGGGGCAGATGATTGTCTGGCTACGGTGGCATTTTTATACTATCTAATGAGAAACTGAGCGGGGAAAGCTCAACAGCCCTCAGAAAAAGGCTGCAGCAACATGAGGCTGGAACCTGTAGGATGATTTTGGTGCATCACAGAGCCCTCTCCCTGCGTGAAGGCAGTTTCTTTTGTAATTGATTTCCTCCACAACTTTAAGCCTTCAGCCTTAAAGTTCTTATATACTAGGATGATTTATACCTGTATTTGCAAATACTTTGAGATCAACCTATAGGTTTAACATCATATGAATTACAGCAAGTAACCACTCCTTTTGCCTTTGGAGTCAGATCCTTAATGCTGGAGAGCCTCTCTCTCTTGCTATAGATATTTACCATATTGTCAACTTTGTAGAATCCACCTGGTGCTCCAGTTGTACTTACCCAACAACATTGATTGTTCTGTTAAAAAAAAATGCTTTTCTTTTAATCAAATGCTATGCTGAGGGAGGAACAAATAACAAGTTGTGTCATAAATTGCAAGTCACTGCACACAGAACCACGGGAAATACAGAGCAACCTCCCTTTAACCTTAGAATGAGTCAACAACATCATTCCTGGCAGATGTTTATCTAATCTGTTCTTAAAAATTGGCAAGATTGAAAGCTTCACACCTTCTCCAGGCAATTCATCTTACTGCTGGACCATCTTTACCATTAAATGGCCTTTTCTTTTTTTTTGGATTTCCTTTGTTGCAGTTAAAGCCTACTGCTACTGCTTATCCTACGTGACTCCAGCATGGTCTGTTAGAGTTTATTTCTCTTTGCAGCAATCCTTATATATTTTCATATGAGTATCATGTCTCCTTTTAATCCTCGCCTAAACAAATCCAGTTCTTTCAGGCTTTTCTCACGGTTCAGGTGAGCTTTCCTAGACCTCACAGCTCTCTGATTCTTTTTCTTGGCCTTCTCTCTTCTTGAGACTAGATGGACTAATTTTAACATTTTGTTCCAGCCAAGGCCTTTCTAAGGCTGTCAGAATAAAATGCAATAAAAAACACCTTAGTTTTTTCATACACAAAAATTCCCATTTATATATTGCTAGTATGATATTAGCATATTTGTGATTTATGATCCACAATAACATACAGAGCTTTCTGCAGTATTGCTTTCAAGCTTATATTCTCCCACTTTGTTTCTGTATATGATTTCTTTCACTTAAATACAGTACTTTACATGCATCCTAACTGAATTGAAGAGTTAAAATAGTATGCAATTTGCCAAGATCCTTTTGAATTAGATTTGTTTCACCTGGAGGACATGCTATTATCCCCCTCTTGATATCACCTGCAAATCTCAATGTTTTCATTTCCATCAGCCAAATATTAATAACAACAACATGAAACCTAGCATATAATCCTGTCAGAAACCCACTGGGTACATTCTTGCAGCTGCCATGATCCACTGGTAATTACTCCTGGAGTGTTTGCCCCACATAAGTGGGGCAAATGCTCTGATTGCTTATCAGAACGTCAAGCAAGAGAGCAACCAAAGCCTGGCTGAGGACAAGGAGGCCCCACCAGGAGGATCACTGTGCTGCCATGAAAGGAAACTGTTTTTGTTCAACACCACTTGTTCTTTACAAGTCTCCATTCAATGCTAATTAACATCATGTTACCTAAAGTGTTTTGAAATTAAATTCAGAAATTAAAAGTCAAAAATTCCCTACAGGCCCTCTTTTCCAAGGTCACACCATCATTACCAAAGACAGCAGTCTATGTAAAATATGATGCTGACAATTCAAAAGGAATTTAGAACTCAGCTGAAGCAGCTTTCCTGCTAAAGAGTTTCAGCAATTTATCAAATTGGGCCACAATCCTCCCTGCACTGAAACATTTAATTTCACTCCCCTGTATCATGGTGACAATTAGTATTTGGCTTACACACCACAGTGCAAGTACTGAGTTCCTGATTCACAGTATGGGCACTCAGAGATTAACAAGCTGTACATATGCAGAACTTAAGGAACAGAATACAAATGCAGCAGTCACATAAATCTTGTTACACAGCAAATTGGGGTTTTCTGAGCCAGAGAGATATATTGTTCTCTTTTTTTACCCAGTAATAATTTTAAAGCCACCTCCATTACCATGGTTAGGAAGATTTTTCTTCAATCAAACATATATTACCTTCTGTTCAGAGATGGACCTTCACCAAAACACTCAATCTGCATATTCCTGATAGACCAGATAATGCACTTGCACTTAGTTCATGCCTCTTTAAGGAGTCATCCCAAAAAACCAGTCTCAAGATGATATCCCAGCAGATTCAAATTAAACCTCCAGATGGCTCAGACCTACTCGTATTACTTTTTGTCACATTCCAACATATTTTAATTACATATCACCAACATATCACTGAAAATGAGTCAGCCTCAGAATTCAAATCCAAATCCACAGTTAGCAAAAAACATGTTTTATTTAAGCAAGTCACACCAAACACTTGGATATAAATACATCCCGGAAGATTTGAATTCCAGATCCAGGTCAGTTTAGGCCCATCTCTTGTACTGTATTTACGCCTCACTCATGGTTCACAGCACTGAAGCTAAGCGTACTGGAAGGGTTCAAGGGCCTGCTTACCATGTTGACCATGTTGTAGCAAGGGAACTAGATCCAGCAGTGTCACCAGTGTCACGTAAAGTCCTTGATAGTCCAAAGATGGGTAGTCTGATAACTGAGCATCACGACTTTGCTGGCCACGTTCAGATGGAGCATCTCGCAGGACGCTGTAAAGGAGGGAGCGAGTAACAGTAGGGTTGATGGAACTGACCTGTGGTCTTAGAGATGGGGTGAGTGGGAATGGCACAGGAAAAAGACACATGGTCATGGGCACTGTCAAATTGGAGGCATCTTGATTCTCCTTCTTCCCTGTGCGGGACAAAATGCTGTTGGGGGGACAAAGAAAAAAAAGAGACAACAAAGACACAAAGAACAGCACATTACATTGAAATGACACTATAAAACAAATAATAAAACACCAGATACCTCCCACATAAGATGCAATCTCTACCAAAACCAGTGTGTCTACAAATCTAGCAACCATTCACTTTCATGCTTCAAAATAGGAGAATTAAAAATTGACATTTATGAAAATTTTCATTGCATCTCATGTGTTATCTGGTTCATAAGGAGCAAAAATATAAAAATGCATGTTTCAGTGCCCTACCCATGTTTCACAGTTGAGCATATTTCTTGGTGTTTGCTATGAGAAAATAGCAGCATCAATATATGTCACCAATATCTTGGTATTTTCCTCTGATAATATTTTGAGAGGTTTTTTTTTTTTTTGCTGTGAAATTTTGCACGGACTGAAAACATGTAAAATATAGGTGTGGCACTTGTAGAAACATGTTTTAGCAAAGAATAAACATGTGTGTTTGTTAAGATAATCTTAAAAATCACATGTTTATTGCATCAAAATAATGTCTGTATGTATTTTATGATACTGTTTCATGACCACTCAAGTCAGTATCATTTGAGATAATGAAGTTTAAACAGGCACATGGATTTAGAAATAATATAATATTTCTAAAATGTTTACTAAACTACATTTGGAAAAGCTATAAAATAATATATAGTAGATGGTCTTTAGCATATGTTTGTGAGCTAATGATAATGGTTGTTCATGTGTGTTTTTAATTTTGCCCAAGTTTTGGGAGGAAACATTTTACTTTATAAATACAAACACTCTTTGGGTAAATAGTTACCTTCAAAATCTAAGGGCTAAGCAAGCAAAACCAGTTATGTAACTACAGATCAGACAGGGTGTTATCATACATTCCTGCTGCTACTTACGTTATTACTCAACAAAACTCACTATAGACTAAAGGAGAGATAATTTGAAAAAAATAAAAAGGATTTAGTGGGAATCAAAATAGAGGCTCTATGTCAATCAGCTTGCTATGTCATTTTAAAAATGTTGTAAACATGTCCTTCCAATTTTTGAAAAAAGAAAAAAGATACCATGCTACTTTAAAAATAGAAATAAACTGCTGCTTAAGCAGTGGTACAAGTTTAGCAATATAGGGTTAGCTTGTAACCTTCATATGTGCCTATAGAAGTATAACACACCTTTTAAATATATTAAACCACACACAATAGTTAAAAAGTACACCCTTTCAGGGAGTGAGATTTCCAAAAGTGATTGCTGTTGGCTTAACCCTGTTCCTAAAGTCAGTGTTAAAGCTTATAAGAAACAAATCAGCAGCATCACAATTTATTTTAAATTGACTTCTGAAGATCAGAGTTATGTCAAGGAGGGACACTCCTGGAAATCTCAGTCCTCTTCAATAGCACAGAGGTTCCTGTCTTAAAACCACCTCAGCACAACCATAACCTACCTCGTAAGTCAATGCAACTCACGCCAGTAAATTATACTCATGTTAAGGTGCTTGTAAGAGGAGGTGCCATTCATTAACACTTGTAGAAGTAGCTTTCTGCCAAAGAGCTACCATCAAGCAAGCCTGACATGCCAACTTGCAGTCAGGAATACATATAGTCTAGTTTTAGAAACTGCATGGGTTTTTTTTGCTTTTTCATTGTGTCTTAAATATTTTCCAGATTCTTTTGTTTTCTGTTACCCAATGTCCAGTGCAAGAAAAGAGATATCTAAGACTCTCATGAACATGTTTATGAAATCATATCAGAAAAGCAGCTAAGAACTAGTGTAACTTTAAAAACAAATTATGAGAGTGCTGATTCTTCTTTTTCCGCATTAAATTTTAATTTGCTTGACTTTCATTTGCCATACGTTGCAGCTCCTATTTAGAGAAATGAATATAGTAAATTGTATTCTACCCCTCTACACTAACGGTACCAATTACCCATACCTCTACTGGCAAACACATCACTTCAAAAGGTAATTATTTCCAGAAAAGATATTATAGTGTTAATTAATCCTCGCTTTGGAAATTGTAAGACTGGGATAGAGAGGTTGCACTAAAGGCTTCCCTTCCTGTTAACCTGGAGCTACAGCTCTTCAGGTTAGAGACCCAAGTGTAGCCTTGTATCTTGCTTAGGGCACCCTTCTGCTTTCAGCAGGAAGAGCAATGAGACTGTATCTTAATTACAGTTCCAGTCATGCCAAATTTAGAAAACTTTCAGATCTGATCTTGTGCCTATCCTATATGTTATAGTGGGAACGCAGGGAACAATCTCTTCAGTGTGGTCCTGATACTGCACTAACCAAGTACTGAGAACTTGAAGTGCCTACAGATCTTAACTCCATGCTGAGCTTGCTCCATGTCGTGCAAGACAGCTGGGAAACCTTGCTTCAGAACTTGTACATTTTTGCTGTAGGTCTATCTCGAAATTACTGTCTTCAAGAAAAGGTTTCCTAAAAAGCCTTCATGAGAACTCTATTTCTCTAAGGCAGCAAAATAAACATGACTTAATTAGCCACTGGGCGTTTATACCTATCCCTTATGTAAAACATTTCCGCTAAAGAAATATAGAAAAAGAGTTTTCTCTAGGAAAACAAGTATGAGCTTTTCTATAAGATGCTTATTAAGCCATATTCCTCAAGTGAAAATACTGAAAATGAGCAGGCATGAAACTTAAATTCATGCTGTAATGTAAAGAAATGCTTTTGCCCAAAGAGAAAATTAAGGAGGAACTAAATGAATCAATGTGCTATGCATTGTGCACGGTGATTTTATGTGATGTTTATTCAGAGAAATAAAGAATTGAATTGTTTCAACCATTGCACAACTGCCCCCACCACCCCTAAGCTTTCAATATATTGAGGCTATTTACAGAGCAAAGGAGGAAATTAAATCCCTTGTGCAATCCAGCTACAGCTAGCAGGATTAAACCAGTTATGAATGTGAACCAAAACAGTGGATATGTCCACTGAAAAGAACACTGTCAACTTGTTCATAACATTGAAAGATAAAGTATAATAAACAGTAAAAGCTACACCTGTAAAATCCCATCATCATATGGAATTTCTTTCAACTATTTCTTCAACTATTCCTCCATTACTCCTTTGACTGCATACATTCACCAAATGCTTACCCTAGAAATTCAGCTGCAAAGAGAGTACAAACCCAACTGGAAAACATTTTGGAGGAGTTATTTTAAAATAACAGCAAGGTGAAGCAACTTATTTTGAACACCAAGTCCAAAGTCTCTGGAAGCCAATTTTTGATATTGTTTGATCAGTACTCTCTTAGCAGTCTGAATCTGTTGTTTTCTGCTTGTAGCTGGAAATATTCTCCACCATGTACTCCTCTATCACTGATGTTAAACCTCATGTAATGGAGTCTCAGTGTAGGAGGCAGAAGGAAGTCTCAGCATGCAGAACATTCAAAGAAATTTCTGAACATGCTCTTCAGAAAGCCTGGAACGGCCTTGACAAGGCCGTTTTGTTTCAGCATAAATCTAGCAGACATCTGCATACAGTGAGTGGGAATCTCCTTCTTTCCATCTGCTACACTAAAGACAGGGTATGTTTTGTTTTGTCTTTTTATCCAGGTTCTTTCTTAGTATCAGCCAGTATATAAACTTACAACGGCTCAACTACAGCACTCAAGCTTTGGCCCACAGTTCAAATTCCCCAGTCATAAAGATGTAGAAAATGGGTTTCACTTTGCTTAGTATCACAAAGCAGTTCATAAATTTAGAGCCAAGTCCTGGCTTGAATTTCTGGTGCCCTTTAGCCCTGAGGCTGTTCAAATCCAAGCTCACAAAGCATGAAGCTGATTGTGAACCCTGTGGGTGTGAGTCTCAGTTACTTGTATCATTTCTGCCCCATGAGGCTCAGGGTTGTCAGCATCAGGGTTCTGGTTCAGTCCCATTCCAAGTTCAAAAAAAAGAGACATCCAGTTGCTCAGTTTTTACTGTTATTTCTTATCTGCTAAGTATAAAGTGTTCTTTCTCCCTCCCCATCTCCCATCCAGTAAGCCCAGAAATATCTCTGCTCATAGGACATCAGGAATTTGTCACACAGGACATGCCAGCTGTATTGCTTAGGAAGATGGCATCAGAGTGGTAAAACGTGTGTTTTCTTTAAGCAGTAGAGTCAAAATGCAACCAGTCTCCATGGACTTTTTCCCCCCAAAACAAATGTATGTTATTGTAGCACTCACTAGGTACATCTAAGAGGTAAGGAAGGAAAATATTCAGAATTCCAGCTTTCTTGTTTAACCACATTTAAGTGGAGACTGTTTTATTATTTAGATCCTCAAATGTCATTTAAATGTGTCTGCTGTGCAAAGGATCTATTAAAGTGTCTAAAAATGTCCAAAAGAAAGCCGAAAAAGCCACTTCCTTCTTTAAAAATCCCGATGTAGAAACAGTTACATTCCAGAGATAATTTCAACAACTGTGAATATCTTTTTCTACTGCTACAATTTAGTGAGACAAATATCATTTATTGCTCTTAAAAAGTTCCTACAATTGCTGCAAGTTTCTTCATCATCCTGAAAGGTTTAGTAAGTGCAAAAAGTTTCACAATGGTCAAAAGACTCTTCTTAAAATATTCAGAAGTAAACATCAGACTTTAAAGTTTGCAGCAAAAAGACTTCATTGATGAGTATTTCTGTGTATATATCTTTTACAAATCTGTACTTTTAAAATACAAAATATATTAAAATATTGTAAATTAATAAGCACATATTTACTAAAAATTTAACTTAAAAACAGGTTCAAAAACCTTGTTACATTCCACAGGTTTTCAACAAATGTTAGAATGAACTACAATTGTCCTCCAACTTTAAATTCTTGCTACTTAACTTATTTGTATTATAGGAGTATGTGCACAAATACATAGGTTAATTGTATTCTGTTAATACTTCCTCATCAAACAAGACAGAGGTCTGGATTTTCAAATTAGCTTCTGACTCCAGGCACATAGTCTTCTCAGGTAATATATTAATAAGTACATGCTGCTTTTATGCTTTCATAACATTTCTGGATATGAAAACTAGTGCTGGCAAAAATTTGGGTAGTTCCTCTGCTCTGCACTTTCCCATCCTCTTCCCCCGCAAAAAATCTTCAGTTTCAAAAGCCATTTTAAAACTAGTTTGAAAATATGAATCCAACAGGTGGCACTATGGAAGCAAGTGGAATCTGGGTGTCACTCTTAATGACTTTATAGCAAAATGGGAAGTAGTATTTCCCATACTACAGAGATTTTATTATCACATGGTATTGAATACTACCTATTATAGCACTATATATTGTCACTAAACACTGGAATAAATCAAATCCCCAGATTTTCATCTGGTACAACCCTCATCTACCATGCAATCCGTTGCAGACCTGGATCCAAACTTGGCACGGACTCTTATGCAGAGCTGAACCAGAACCCGAACGTGAGAGCCAGCTGAGCCCAGGACAGGGAGAACCTAGTTCTGCTCCTTGGGCTCATTGCTCTGGGATCCTGAAGCAGCAGGATTGTCAAGAAGGTCATAGGGACACAACTCTAAAACACTACAAATCATCACCTTTCTTCTCAAGTTCTGCATATTTGTGCACTCAGCTAAGGCTTTGGAGGGCCAAGCAAATCTTTAATTAACCACTTTTTTTGTATTTATTTATTTATTTAGAATCAGCCATTCATTAAGGAGCTCAACTGGGCTAATTGGGCAACAGCCACTGAAGAAATTCAGACCGTTTTCTTAAATTATATTCTGAATCTTTTTGTTGGAGCATTGACCCACTGAATTTTGCAACCAAGCAAAAACTTAATGAATCCCCCCACAATTCTTTTTATTTTTTTTCTTTCAGAGCATTAGTTAAACTTACCTCAACAACGTCTGAGAAAAGTATTTCAAAGTATTTGCAATGTCAGTTCCAGAGGGTACAGGGTAAATGTTATGGAGAACTCGGTTATGGTATTCCTGAAGGTAGCGGATTTTGGAAGCAACTAGATAAAAGACAAAAAAACAAATACAGAAACTTTCAATTAGTGCATTGCAGGCTTTCCGGGAACTGCATCTGTTCCCAGCATTTCTGAATCTTTGAAACTGAAGAACTGAACTGCATCAAAGAATAAGTCTCTCCTTTCTTTCTAATTGGGCAGAATTAATTGAATATTCTGCTGCAAGTGTGCCAAGGGGATGGAGAGGAAGGCAGTGCATGCCTGAATGTCTGTATCTGTTTTAGACTGACTTTGTCTTAACAAGTCAAAACAAACACAATTTTCCAGTGTCATCAAGGATCTTGGGACTCACTTACAAGGTCTCTGGATCACACATAGTTCTTAAGAGGTAGATAAATATTTCTATTGCCAAAGCAATAGACTTAAGCTAACATACAGAGAGCTTATGTGATTTATTTTCAGCTATGAATTTACACAGTGACACACTGATATGAAATGATCTGTGCTGTTTATTTAATGACTTGGACAGTCCTGAAGCTCTGCATCTTTCCTGATGCTGTTTTTTTTTTTTAAAGAAATAACATTGATTATCTTTCCTAATAAATTGACTCGATCATTGTTGGAAGAAAGTGATCATCCAACTAAACTTCAGTGCTTTATATTGCCTGCACGGCACAAGATAATTTCATGGAGAGATATGTGAGCACACTATGTACCCATTTATGCTCTGCTCAGACTAATTCATCATGCTGAGAAACACAATAGTGAGGCTGTACCCCACTGTACCAGCTGTACCAGCTCAACTACAGCATCAGCTAGAACACTCAGCACTTGTTGACGGCATCAGTCCGTGCAGACAGTCTCGAAGAAAGCAGAGCTGGCTGGGAACTCTTCAGCATGCTGGGGGCAGCAAGACCACACAACAGACAGTTGAAAGGGGCCAAGCTTCTGAATTACTTGAGCCCCTTGAGCACTTTCATTATGAGAGTCTCCAGCTACAACCAGATCTACCCTTGCCACCCCACCCAGGGCTCCTTCAATGTTGGAGACAGACGGTGCTCTCTAAACAAGCAGTTAACACCTTGTTTTATTCCCACTGCTCAACACCATGTATTTAAGCATGAGTAATTCTTTAAGCACTAAGAGTAATTCTCTGCACAGTATTAACTTCCAAAGGGATTTCCCTATACCCTCTGCTGCTATACCCGAACATTTCAGGAGCATTCTTGTGAAATTTTCTACATCACTGATGCACTGAAAGAGCTGGCATTGTCTCCACAATAAGGAGCAAGACTGAAGCAAAGGCATCAAGAGCAAAGTGTCTGATCTTGCTGTTGGAGGCTCCGACTTGAAATAGGGAGCCACTTTTTTTTTTTTTTTGTGAACTAGATAGCAGTATGTGGCAGTTTTACGTTCAAACTATCTAAATGTATCTGCCAACACCAAGCAACAAACTAGGCTTGATGATTGAAAGTCAATTACTCAAAAAAATGAGAATCACTCAGTTAATAACCAGGGGAAGAAGATTGCTTGACTTAAATGCTGGAAGACTGGCTCTCTTGTCATGCAACTTAACGAGTCCTTATCAAGCTCATCTCTTCTCTCCTATTTCTGCTATACTCACTGCACCCTTCCAACTTCTGCATTAAGTGAAGCTTCTACAGACAAAACCGCCTTCATGGTGTCACCCTGCTTCATCCCTGGCAGAAGGCCCACTGCATGACTGAGAAGGGCTGTGGGAAAATGGCAAGTGAAAAATGCAGTTAGCAATGGTGTCATAACACATATGGAAGAGCAACAGACTAAGGAGGCATAAGCAACCTTGATTGTGATATATTTCCTCACCTGTGTTATACTTTATAAGCTTATTAAGACGATTATAATGGATAATTAAAATAGATCACTATTTTTAAGGCAAGTGAAAGCAAATGTTTTGTCACTGGCATCACACATGCTATAACTACAATTAAGACTAAAGCATTTCAGGCCACTGCATAGACCTACATCACATAAGCTGTGCTTTTTAGTAGGTTATCCCTGTCTGTGGGAGCTGCCACTGCTAGCTTCCCACACAGCTGCCAAGACGGTAACATTTGGTCATCATGGGTTTCACTTCAGGTCAGAGGAAGAAGTTTACTTTGACAAAGATCTGTTTTCTTCCCCTCTTCCCACAACTCGTCTGTTCTGTTCATTAATTCTGCTCCCATTTTGGATCTGCATGTCAGTTTACTAGAATTAAAGACAGACATATATCCTTTACTAGGATGACAAACGTCTGTATTAAAAAAAAAAACTAAATAGGATTATGTAGAAAAAAATAATTACTTCATTTTGTGATGGCACTTTCTCTTGCAAGTCTTGAAGCTACATAGGTGCATAAATGACCTTATTTTCCGAGTTACTGAGCACCTAGAGTCACACTGCAGAAAGGGATGTCACCCTGTGGAAGTGCTTAGCCACTGTCATAGGATCATCATTAAAAAAAGAAACAGTGAGGTTACTCCATGGTGCTGTGCTAGGTATCTCTGTAGCATCTACATAGACCAAACTAAGACCCCAGGCCTTCTGTGAGCCTTGACTGAATCATATTTAAAACTCTTAACAGATGTTTTTCCATTGCCCTGATGAAGCACAGGGCAAGGCCATTCCCACAATGTTAGTTAGCACAACTAAATGTCAATTATTCAAACTATCTTTGAATACCACAGAACATCTCAGGTATGATGTTGCAGTGAGCCAGATAATGGAAGTCACTGTGACTACTTATTACAAAATCCATGCAATGACAAAAAAGGGAGGCTTCTCAAGGCCATTTTCCAGCTTGTCATCATTTAACCTGTTGCTTATGCAACCAATCAAAAAAACAGAGCTGTCGGGTGGGAAGAGTTCCTGCACAGCCACAGATACATGTTTAGACCAGTGCCTTTTTCCTCTTTTTTTTTTTTTTCCCCTCCCCCACTTTCCTTTCTTTCCCTGTATTGATCAGTATGTTTCCTCATTCATGGTATTTTGCTGCTGTTTCCTGGTAAATTCAGATCCCTTATGACGTGCGACTCCTATCCGAGCCGTTCTGATTCTTGCCTGTTGGCCAAGCAAGGTAGCAGGAGCAACAGTCAGGGCATGGAATTTTGCCTGGCAGCCATTTATTCTACAATAGAACCCTTGCAGAAGTCCACCACAATACAAATAAATAAATAATATAAAAAGTCCTTGGCAGTGCTATAAGAGCTAGTCAGGGGAGCAGCATCAGTAAACAAATTCCATTCAGCAGGTCAGAAAGCACAGGGGATGCCCCTTAATTTAATACTCTACCGGGGCATTGTGAGAAGGAAAAAAAGAAAGTGTTGTGAAGGGAAAAAAAAAATCTATAGGCTGTTTTTAAGAAAAAGTCTCCTTAAAATCAATCAAACAAGAGGGACATGGCAGAGCCAAGGTGCAGTCTCCTGAGCAATACAGGGAGACGACAAGAGAAAACAGCCAGGTAAAAATATAGAGAGCAGCTCAAATTGAGCAGACTAGCAAAACATCAGGAATGGAGAAAGAGCAGAAAGGCAGCTAACCGCCAAAGGCGGCTGTTGTGGGGCAGGAGAGGGCAGGAATTCGGGAGGCCGAGGCGCAGGCGAGGCGCGGCGAGGGGCGCAGGGCGGCACTGCGCAGGGCTGAGCGCTGCACAGGTCGGGGGGCCACGGGGACGGGGGGCCACGGGAACGGGGGGCCGCTGCTCCGCTCAGGAGGCCAGAAGCGCATCCTCGAACCAGCGCTCGCGCAACAGTCTCATAGCAACACCATCCATCCCTGCACGCCACCCGCTAACCCGAGGGGAAAAGCAAACACACAAGCACCGCTTTCACCGGCCCAGTGCAGCCCAGGCTTACATAAACACAGGGCTTCTCGCAGGGGGTTGGAAAACCCGCAAGGCTGGCGCCAAGGGGGCAGCAAGTTCCCGTAACCGAGGTGCCCGCCGGCCGAGCAGGAGCGCGGCCGGCGCTCGGGGGCTGCGCGCCGCGGGCAGCCGGGGCAGAGGCGCCGGCGGCGGGGAGCAGCCCCCATGCCGCCTCTCGGGGCTCCGCGCCCCTCAACATGGAGGCTCGCAACGCCGCGCGGGGCCCCGCAGCCGCCCGCGCCTCCTTCCCCCGCGACCCCGAGGCCGGCGCCCCCCGCAGCTCCCCGGCCGCCCCGCCACGCAGGAGGAGCCGCGGGGAGCGCCCGGGGCCGGCCTGGGGGCGGCGACGGGCTCCTTAACGGCGCCCTGCGGGGAACATGGAGGCCGAGGCGCTGCGTGAGGGGGCGCGCGCGGCGCCGCCCGCCCCGCTGCCGCCGGGAGGGGGCGTTGGGAGAGGCGGGAATGCCGGCCGGGAATGGCTGGCGAGGGAGCCTCCCTCCAGCACGGGCTCTGCTGCCTGGGCGGCTTCTCCCCAGCTTGTGCCCCGGGCTTTCAATGGTGTGCAATGATCCCATCTGTTTATTTTCCCCTCTTCTTTTCTCAGTGCTGCAAGCATCTCGGGGACGGCCGCTCGTGCCAGTAACTTCTTTCCTCAAGAGATGAGGGCTGAGCTTAGATCCCCAAATGTGAATGTGTCCGCTCTCCTTAGCTAGTGTCCCAGTCAATGGCCCAGGCTCCGTGGGTGCAGGATGAAGTGGGGTGGAAGGACCAAGTGTGGTGGCAATGCTGGAATCCTCATGAGGAACCCACGCCAAGGCAGCATCCAGGTGCCTGTGGTGGCCCCAGGAACTGCTCATGCCGCAAGCAAGGAGGCAGGATCTCCTTCCTTCTTCTGCAAGTGGAGCTAGGGATATAGCAAGAGGAGCGGGAAGGAGAAGCAGCTCCCTTCAGCACAGAGGTCCAAAGGAGCACGGAAAGCGCAGAATGGGAGGTCTGTGCTATGGACATCCCTGCGGTTTCTAACCTAAGATGGCTGAACAGCCAAGAGCCTGAGGTTTGTCGCATGTCCCTTCCAGATTCACATATGGAGACATATTTGTTGGCTTCTGGACATTCAGGAGGACCCCAGTAACAACTGTAGACTTCTGCCATGTGAAAGTATCATTAAAAAGCTTAAAGACATAACACTTTCAGAAATATTGAAAGCATGAAAAAAGACCTTTTTTTTCTTATTCCAGAGAAAAAGCAACGGAAATTGAAATAGTACACTTTTTTTTTTTTTTTTTTTTTTTTTTTGGAAKTGAGCAGTATGTATAGTTGACTGAGCACACAGCCCCCTGCTGATCCCACTTCAGTTTAGACACATCCCTGTGGCATTCAAGCTGGGAACCTATCCTCCGTGAGCACGTCCAGCAGTTTTGCTCCAGAGTCATTCTGCCCATCAAAGGTCCGAGTCGCCTTTCAAAGGTGCCTGTTCTTTCCAACAATTGCAGAGGGATTCTGTGCTTTACATAACCTTACCTTAAAGTTAGGGGTACCTTAAAGCAGGAAGATGGAATCTGCTACTTCAGAAGAAATACAAGTCACATAAATAGCTATTTTTTCGACATTTTTTTCAGTATATATATGTATATGCAAACATATTACATACAGTATATTGGTACCCAAAGTAATACAGAGTATGCATACTGAGATATTTATGTATTGAAATGTATTTGTATATTTGTAAATTGAAGTAACAATTTAAATGTTGAAAACAGAAGAAACAGAATACTGTTGATCTGAAAACAATGGAAAGTGATACTCATTGTGCATGGACAGAATATATAAACAGAGCTTTAAAGCTTTTCAGTTATAGAAGAAATTCACATTACTAAAGCAAGAATTTAAGAAATAGGCCAACCTCATACTGGTTTTGATCTGAATGCTAAGTGAAAAAAAGGGTAAATATTTTCTACAGCATATAGCAACTGTGTATTTCCTAATTATTTTGAAATAAAGAAACTTAATTTGAAGCATTGACTGAAAGCATTCAAAGAAAGTACAATACTAATACAATTTAAATCCTTATTCTTCTGATCATTCCAGAGAAATTATCTTATGAATGTGCATCTTGTTAGTTCCCCAGCTCTCTCATTTTTCCATATTAGGACTCAGAAGTTAATGGCTAGCTATGATTTTCTTTTCTGAAACTCTCCAAATCTCATTCATTTTTTTTCACATCCTCATCCTTCTGAGAAAGATATGTGGAGGCAGTATGATTACATCAGCCAGGGCATGGGACAGTTGGCAGATCCAAAGCCAATTGGAATATATTCTCTCTCCTCAGAGGGCTGGAATGCCTAAGACAAGTAGGCCCACAATAGTCAAAGAAGCCAGTGCCATGGAGGTGGAGAGAAGCAGGTAAATATTCTTGCTCATCATGTAAGACAATGAGTCCAAGTTACTGCAGCCCAGATTTGGGGATGATGCACATTCTGTGACAGGAACTGAAGTCATTGGCATTTAACTGGTTGGCTTACTTTTTAGAGCAATCTTCTAAAAAGACTGAATGTGCAATGTTTTTCCAACACTACTTAATTGGTCCCAAAACAGAGCTCTTACTCCATTTTCCTTGAAGCCATCACAACCTTCATGCAGCTCTTTCCACACTCCCTTCTATTTGCAAACCCCAAAGAGGGAGAGGAATCAGTGTAAACTCCTGCCACTGGCTAGTGTGAACAAACTGCGGTAACTAAAATAGTACCGATTAACATTGGAAAGACATCACTTAGGTGGGAGAAGAATTGCCTTTTTTTTTTTTTTTTTTTTTTTGAATAGTACTTTTTTAGAGTACTACTTGAATAGTACTCAAAGAGCAGTGGGCCTGGACAGTGACTTGCTCCTATCTGTTGATCTCTCTGCAAGATCCTGCAAAAAGCTCCATGAACAAGGGGAGGCAGAAACTGCTTGTGCTTGTATTCACTCTCTTGTCAGAAACTAATATTTGATATCTGATCCAACCTCTACCAAAGTCAATGAAAGCCTTTCTGTTTATTGATTTTTATCATCTGTCCGGGAAGGACACTTGGAGCTACAAGCCCTTCAAACGTAGGCCTCACAAC